ATTCCGCGTTCGACTTCAAAAAAATTCGATGAAAGTCTCCTTGACACCTTGAAACAGTGAGAATTGCCAGTGAATTATACATTAAAATATTTGAAACATTTTCAGAAGTGAAACTAAATATAGTAATCTGATTGCCGGAAATGATGAGTACACTATTGGGATGGACAAGGACGAAATCGTGGCGATCAAAATCCCTGGACAAATGAAAAAGGTTCGAGATGATCAAGTGATGAACAACGCCGGAGGTTTCGTGTTTAAAGTCAGCGATGTGACAAGAATCCGTCGGTTTTTGATCCTCGGATGCGAGGGCGGAACCTTCTATCAGTCTGAGAAGGAGCTCACCTTCGAAAACGTTCAGAGCCTAATTAGAATTATCGACGAAGGTATCATTAACACATTTCATAGCTTTATATATATATATATATATATTCCGTTCAGGCAACGCCTTCTTAATTCTCAAAGAAATCGGAGAAATCAATGCTCAGAACAGAAATCCGAAAATGAAATCGATGCTGTTCGCATTGGCTCTTTGCGCACGCTATCATGTCCATGACAAGAAGAAGGCGGCGAAGTCCAAAGATCCTATGGTGGTGGCGTATTCGAAATACATTGACGCAATGCATAAGGCTGCGTGCTCGTTGATTGCACAAGTGTGCCGAATTCCGACTCATCTCTTCGAGTTTGTTGGAAATTGCGAGATTGTCGCCAAGTCAGGAGCATTCAATTCTAAACAAACATCGACTGGATGGGGTCGAATGATGAGAGCGGTTATTACGAAATGGTAAGTTATAATATTTTCTTAAAATCACAGATTGCAAAGTGTTCGAATTTCAGGTACGAATCGAAGACCCCTGAACGTTTGGCGATGTTCTTGACAAAGTATCCCCAAAGAGGAGGATGGTCCCACCGCGATTTGTTTCGTCTCGCTCATCCTGAAGTTTTTCACCGAAAGGCCTTTTATACGTCACCGGAAAGATTAGAGCTCGAGCAGATCTACCGTTTCGTCGTCAAGGGAGACTTGCAGGAAAGAAAAAGAAAGTCGCTGAATATAAGTGAGGGTGATTCGAAGGATGCTGACGATGTCACTGCTAAGAAAGTATACACTGAGGAACAATTGGATAGAGAAGAAAATAGCAAGGCTCTTGGATTGATTGAAGCCTATCTCAAATTGAAGAACGAGACGAATGAGGAGATCATAATTGCGGAAATCAAGAAGCACGGGCTCGTTCGTGAGCACATCCCAACGGATGCATTGAAGAGTGTCAACGTTTGGAAGGCATTATTGGAAACAGAAATGCCGATGACCGCGATGTTGCGTAATCTGGGAAGAATGTCTGCAATCAAGTGTCTTGACGAGTAAGATTTTTCTGTTCGATATTTTCATTGTAGCAAAGATGATATTATTTAGAAATCAAATTGCCGAAATCACTAGAAGACTCAATGATGTGGAGGAATTGAGAAGAGCCCGCATTCATCCGCTGAATGTTCTCATTGCCAGAAGCACTTATAGACAAGGCGGTGGCTACAAGTCAGCCCTTAAATGGAAGCCCGAGAAGAAGATTGTCGACGCTCTTGAGCAGGCTTTCTACAAGTCATTCATCAATGCCCCACCTACTGGAAAAAGGTACTGCCTGGCAATTGACGTCTCCGGAAGTATGGCACAACCAGCATCGGGATGTGTTATTTCCTGCCGTGAAGCAGCAAGTGCCTTGTCGCTTATCAACCTTCACAATGAAGAAACGGTAAGCAGTAAAATACCATAAACTGTACAAAATTGAACATGATAGATTTAACCCACAGTTCAAAATTTTCACATTTAAGTGAAAGCGAACATAACTTTATTATTTGGCCATTTCAGGTTCGCATGGTTGCTTTCTGTGATGAGCTCACCGAGTTGCCTTTCGACAAGACATGGAACTTGGATAAAATGGATGATTTCATGAATAATCTCGCGGTATTTTAACTATAATTTTGGTCGAGTAATTCATTCTAGTTGTTTTAGTTCGGCTCCACAGATTGCGCTCTTCCGATGGTTTGGGCAATGGAGAAAGATCTCAAATTCGATGTCTTCGCGATCTACACTGACAATGAGACGTTCTTCGGCGATATCCATCCATTTGAAGCGCTCAAGCAATATCGCGAAAAGTCTGGAATCCATGATGCTCGTATGATTGTCATGGGAATGTCGGCCACCGAGTTCACCATCGCCGATCCAACCGACGCCGGAATGCTCGACATTGCCGGATTTGATTCGGCTGTTCCACAGATCATCAGCGAGTTCATCAACGGCTATATCTAAAAATATGTACATATGTAGTATAGATTTACAAATTGTTGTTGTTTTTTTAATCGGGATTTGATAATAAATTAATTTTTTTTAAGTAATAATGTGTACGGTCAACATGGATCAGGAATTTGCCACTTTCAATTTCTTATGTCGAATTTTTCTTTTCTTGAAAATTTCAAAAAATGTAGTAATACAAATAATTCAAACAGCTACACTGGTGGTATTCTGATAATTTTACAATCTTATTCGTAGAGTTACCAATCGGATGAGATTGATTTTGGATCCGATTGTCTTTGATTTACCCGAGTAAAATAAAAAATGTGATGTCCTAGGGCACACACTCACGTAAAAATGCACCCATTCTTTATTCGACACTGACGTAATTGAGTCATTGAAAACGAATGGTTTTTTATTCCTAGAAATCGTCAAAAACTGTACATTGAACGCAAAACGATTTAATAATGGACCTATTCATGAAACGTATTTTTTTTTATTAAAAAAGGAAAACATTACACTAAATGTGTATTTTTTTTTAACAAATCTGCATTCGAAAAATTTGATGTTTTTAAACTTTTAATTGCATGAAAAGGTTCATAATAGAAATGGCTTGCATTATCAATCGAATAGTTTTACCTTCGTTTCAAGTGAGTACGAATTAAATTCTCTTTGTACGTTTAGCAAATGTGCAATTTACCGTAATGTGTTTGCGACGCGTAGATGTTTAAATTTTAAATTTTCTAAATTTCGTCGAAATTATTTTCTTTCTATAACTTCTTTCTGTTTTCTTGATTAAAAACAATCCAACAATATATTTTAGAGAAGATTTATTTTATACGAATAATTAAATTCAAAATCCCTCTTTGTTTCTTATTTTTATCAGATTTTTGTTTTTTTGAATCATAATTATTTTTGCAGGGGAATAAAGCAATGAAGGGCAAAACAATGAATAATTAAGACAAGAAAGGAATCACAAGGCAAGAAGAGAAACAATTCAAAATTTAAAGAAGATATTTACTATTTTTATTCGATTTAAGTAGATATATTTATTAGTAAAAGTTATCTGCTGATATTGTCGGCGTCAAACGACTTGACGAAATTTTAAAAAATATTGGCTAATTGCCAGATTTCTCGAGGCGAAGAGAAGTGTATGTGGCATACACTTTGCAGCGTGTTTTGCGCAGCGTGTTTTTGGGCGCGTTATTTTTTGAGAATTTTTCTGTATCTCTTTTTTTTATTGGTAAATTTCTTTTATTTTTACGGTTTATCTTACATTTTTATAATCGCTGATTGATAGTTTAAAATTTTCATATATTTAAAGGCATTTTTTAATTAATTTGACATTGTAAAAACTTATTCTTCATCATTTTCCGTTTCTTAATTTTTAGTACATTTTAGGAAACACAATCACATTGAACAAGAGCCGAAGGACTTTGAAAACTACTGAAGTTAACAAGACGGGTATTATTTTATTTTTATTTAAAATTGTCATTATTTTATCATTATAGTTGCAGCGACTACAATGGCATCAAATATTGAACCCTTCGCGCAACCTCGAAGACAACCTCCAACGGACACAAAATTCTGAATTATATGCTCGCCTCGGTACTTCACAGCTTCATCAATACTAGGGAAAGGAAAAAATATACTCAATGACTTCAAGCTTCTTCCGAAAGGTACGTTATCATTTTTTTTTAATCTTTGTAGACTCAGTTTTCTTTTTAATTTTGTATTCAATGTGATGTTATTACTAGTTTTAGGCGATTGGAATCAACGCTCGTTTGGCTTTCGGTTATAAGTTTCAATTGTGCAGCGTCTTGGTGCATTTCGAGAATTCTCAATTAATCGGATGACTTTCCCCTTTGAACAATAATTTTCATACTATTTTTACGGTAAATAAAACATTGTTGTGGTGCTCTTAAGATATTCGATAAATGTACGATTCTTTCGCTTGTTTAAGTAAATGCCGTTAGTTCCGTGAACTTTTACGTATATATGGAGGTCGACTCATTATAAGAATGCAAATGACAATGGGTATCAGGATTAAAACACGCATAACATTTTTTTTATATTAAAAATCGAAAAAAAAACCATTTAATATTTGGTCAGCGCGTAAATCTACCCGCTCGTAAATCTACACTGTTTACGATATACTGAAGGCCACGCCCCCATCAAGTCGTTTGACGCCGACAATATTAATAATTATTACAATTGTATCTATGTGTGATAGATTCAATTAATGTTGTAAGAAATAATTTAACCGTTTTCCTTTCTCGAACGAACCCTTTTTAGTTATTCGACAAACGAAAAACGACTCGTTTTTTGGTTCGCTGCCATTCTTTTAGGCACATTCTCTAATCTTCTGTTTTTGATGGTATTAGTTTTGCCATTCTTCATAATTGCTGTCCGAATTCAGCAAATACATTGGGCAAAACGGTGGTTTTTCGCCCGATGAGTTTGCCGATAAATTATCATTTAATCACAAATCATAGGCTAACACAGAAACTATTTTACTATATCAGGCAAAAGTTCAATGTTTTGAAACCCCCAAATTTCGCAATATTCTCGATTCAAAAACTGCGTATTATTTGCCTTCTCCTCTCATATGTACACTTTTCTGTCATTTTTATAACTCAATCAATCAAAAGTTCAATATGATAAGATGCCCTTATTTTATCTTTTTTCCAGATTATTTAATATATCTCTCTTGCGAATAATGGCTGATGAAATCGAGAATTCGGCATTCGACTTCAAAAAATTCGATGAATGTCTCCTTGACACCTTGAAACAGTGAGAATTGCCAGTGAATTATACATTAAAATATTTGAAACATTTTCAGAAGTGAAACTAAATATAGTAATCTGATTGCCGGAAATGATGAGTACACTATTGGGATGGACAAGGACGAAATCGTGGCGATCAAAATTCCTGGACAAATGAAAAAGGTTCGAGATGATCAAGTGATGAACAACGCCGGAGGTTTCGTGTTTAAAGTCAGCGATGTGACAAGAATCCGTCGATTTTTGATCCTCGGATGCGAGGGCGGAACCTTCTATCAGTCTGAGAAGGAGCTCACCTTCGAAAACGTTCAGAACCTAATTAGAATTATCGACGAAGGTATCATTAACACATTTTATAGCTTTATATATATATACATTCCGTTCAGGCAACGCCTTCTTAATTCTCAAAGAAATCGGAGAAATCAATGCTCAGAACAGAAATCCGAAAATGAAATCGATGCTGTTCGCATTGGCTCTTTGCGCACGCTATCATGTCCATGACAAGAAGAAGGCGGCGAAGTCCAAAGATCCTATGGTGGTGGCGTATTCGAAATACATTGACGCAATGCATAAGGCTGCGTGCTCGTTGATTGCACAAGTGTGCCGAATTCCGACTCATCTCTTCGAGTTTGTTGGAAATTGCGAGATTGTCGCCAAGTCAGGAGCATTCAATTCTAAACAAACATCGACTGGATGGGGTCGAATGATGAGAGCGGTTATTACGAAATGGTAAGTTATAATATTTTCTTAAAATCACAGATTGCAAAGTGTTCGAATTTCAGGTACGAATCGAAGACCCCTGAACGTTTGGCGATGTTCTTGACAAAGTATCCCCAAAGAGGAGGATGGTCCCACCGCGATTTGTTTCGTCTCGCTCATCCTAACGTTTTTCACCGAAAGGACTTTTATACGTCACCGGAAAGATTAGAGCTCGAGCAGATCTACCGTTTCGTCGTCAAGGGAGACTTGCAGGAATGAAAAAGAAAGTCGCTGAATATAAGTGAGGGTGATTCGAAGGATGCTGACGATGTCACTGCTAAGAAAGAATACACTGAGGAACAATTGGATAGAGAAGAAAATAGCAAGGCTCTTGGATTGATTGAAGCCTATCTCAAATTGAAGAACGAGACGAATGAGGAGATCATAATTGCGGAAATCAAGAAGCACGGGCTCGTTCGTGAGCACATCCCAACGGATGCATTGAAGAGTGTCAACGTTTGGAAAGCGTTATTGGAAACAGAAATGCCGATGACCGCGATGATCCGCAATTTAGGAAGAATGTCTGCAATCAATTGTCTTGACGAGTAAGATTTTTCTGTTTGATATTTCGATCAATGATGGCCAATTCAGAAATGAAATTACCGACATCACTCGAAGACTTAATGATGTGGAGGAATTGAGAAGAGCACGCATTCATCCACTGAATGTTCTCCTTGCGAGAAGCGCTTATTGTCAAGGCGGTGGCTACAAGTCAAGTCTTCAATGGGATCCTGAGGTCAAGATTATCGGTGCTCTTGAGCAGGCTTTCTATAAGTCTTTCATCAATGTCCCACCGACCGGAAAGAGATACTGCCTTGCAATTGACGTCTCTGGAAGTATGACACAAGAGGCATCGGGATGCGATATCTCTTGCTGGGAAGCAGCAAGTGCCTTGTCGCTTATCACCCTTCATACAGAAAAAACGGTAGGCTAACTGCCCAAAATTGAATCTAATAAATGTCGCATTTGAGTGAAAACGATTTTTCTATTTCAGGTACGCATGGTCGCTTTTTCTGATGGACTCACCGAGCTACCATTCGACAAAACATGGAACTTGGATAAGATGAAGTATTACATGGGCCGTCTTAAGGTACTTTAATGATAATTTTGGTCGAGTAATTCATTCTAGTTGTTTTAGTTCGGCTCCACCGATTGCGCTCTTCCGATGGTTTGGGCAACGGAGAAAGATCTCAAATTCGATGTCTTCGCGATCTACACTGACAATGACACGTTCTTCGGCGATATCCATCCATTTGAAGCGCTCAAGCAATATCGCGAGAAGTCTGGAATCCATGATGCGCGTCTGATTGTAATGGGAATGTCGGCCACCGAGTTCACCATCGCCGATCCAACCGACGCCGGAATGCTCGACATTGCCGGATTTGATTCGGCTGTTCCGCAGATCATCAGCGAGTTCATCAATGGCTATATCTAAAAATATGTACATATATAGTATAGATTTACAAATTGTTGTTGTTGTTTTAATCGGGTTTTGATAATAAATTTATTTATTTGGCTTCATCATCATTTCTGAAGATAACCTGTGCTGGACATATGGCGAGATAATGGATTACTTTTCGAAAGAAGTGGCGGTTGTGGAATTGGAGACGGTCAAGAGGAAGGCCTCACATGGGTTGGTCATACTCGAAGGAAATCATCATAAGAACAACTGCTGGTGCCGTAGTCATGCCGACCACACGCTAAAGGCCGAAAAGCATGTAATGCAGTGATCTGCGTCTCAGCCGAAGAAGGACGAATCAAATAAATAATTAAATTAAGTTTATGAAATCACTTGATCGATTTTTCCTGTAATGAAAAAGAAAAAGAAGATCAATTGATCTACATTTGACTAGTTCCTGGTCTCAGGTTGTCAATGACAAGGACGATTGATATCTACTGACCTAGCCTGTTAAATATAGCCAATTCGACTAGACACCCTCAGTCCATCATGCTGTTCAAATCTGTCTGCCTACTGGCTTCCATTGCCGTCGTCAGCGCTGGAAGCGCTTCAGCGTGCGGAAGGAAAGAAGCCACCAAGGCGATCGAATGCGCCACCGTAAGTTTGAAGGAGCAAGCACGAAGCGTTCAATTTCGCTTCAGGAGCTCACCTCAGCAACAAAAGCATTCGTCTCCTGGATCGACTCGAATTACGACAAGAAGAACCAGGATGAGAGCAAGAAGATTTGCAAGAAGGCTTTGAATTGTTTCGCTGAGCTCAAGAAGAAGTGTCCGGATTTTCCGGAAGATGCCACCGAGACATTGAATCTTCTTTGTCACAAGGTCGACTTCTTCACGGGACCATTTTCGGAGTGCATGGCGAAATTGACGAACGTCACCGAGACGCCGACGCCGGGTTGCCTTAGCAAGATCTTCAATAAGGATGAGTTTAACGAGGAGAAGAAGCCATGCGATTCGCTGAAGAACATTGTTGTTTGCGAGGGCGACATTGGCAAATTGTGCGGTGAGAACATGCAGAAGATCCTGCACGAGGAGAACGTCGAGGATTCAAAAAGACACAAGTGTTAATAATATTGCAAGAATCTGCCAGTTTTATGGCAAATTCCCAACAATAAAATATTGGAATTTAAGTTGGAATAAAGGAACATTTTTCCTCCAAAAAGATATTATTATATTTTATTCACTATTTTTTGGGGGCATTTATTTGATTTTTTTTATTTATTACTCACAGATTTTTTTAAAGAAAAATATACTGTAGATGTTTGCCACTTCTGGGAGAACATTAAAATATAAAGCAGTGATATTTCGTAATGGTTTTCCATTTCAGACAGTTCCCAAGATTATAGACGTTTTCTATACATTTCTAAATGTGAAAAAAAAGTTGAAATGAGAAATAATGTTCTTTTTTTTGCAAAACATAATATGTCCATTTTTGGACACCACAAATTACTTCATTTTTTCGGATTCATTGACTTCCTTGTCGAAACTTCCTCGTCTAGACCCGACCTATTGACTGATATCTCTCGTCCCATATATAGGCAATTTAATCGCATTTTTACGGTCAGTAATGTTGTTCAAATCGTCGCTGATCTTCGTCGCCGTCATCGGCGCCTCGCTCGCCGCCACAGCCTCGCAATGCGCCAAGAAAGAGGCGAAAGCGGTGAAGGAATGCGTTCAGGTAATGACACAAATTCAGTGGTGTTTACCTTCACTTCACTTATTTTTCAGCTTCTTCAAGATTCCACCGAAGGTGTGAAGAAGTTGTTCGCGTCGAATTTTGACAAGAAAAACCAGGATGAGATGAACGAGATTTGCAAGAAATCGCAGGCATGTTTTGCGGATCTCAAAAAGAAGTGTTCGGATTTCCCGCCTGAGGCTACTTCCACCTTGGACTTCATTTGCGGAAAGATTGAATTCTTCACGGGACCATTCTCGGAATGCATGATTAAGGTAGGATATCGAAAATATTTTTATTTAAAAATATACAACATTGTTTAAATTCTCCACTTTTCAGCTGATTAAACTCGATGACACGCCGACTGGAGGCTGCGGCGAAAAGATGCTGAACAGCGAGATCTTCGAGAATGTATGTCGATCCCAGCGATTGAAAAAAAAAACGAATCTTCTACAATTTGATGCAAATATTTCAGCCAAAGAATGCGTGCAAGGCTGTCAAGGACACGATCGGCTGCGAGAAGGACATTGGAAAAGTGTGCGACGCAGCGGCCGAGAAATTGTTCCATGACGAGAATCAAAAAGACCTCAAGAAATACAAATGCTAAATTCAATAACTATTTATTCTCTGAAAGAAAAATATGTGATATATACTGTAATTATTTTTTCTTAAATTAAAATCGGATCCCACAGCGACTATTGATTCCGATTTGATGACATCATTCAATCAAACCCACTTGATTGATTTCGTAAGTATTCTTTTAATGTCAAAACTTTCCCCTGCCAAAATTGTTCCATAATATACATATTGTAAGGCGATGGATGTTTGAACTTCCTCTATCAAGGAGGGGGGGGGGAGGGGTCCGAGCCAGACGAGGGACCATTTTCACTTCCTTGTTACACTGTGAGAGCCAGACCAACCACCCCCGAGGTCACAAAAATCAGCTTCTTTGCCGATTTGAAATATGCTTAAATCCTTGGTTATCCTTTTTCTTCTCGTCGGCTGCTCTTTTGCCGCAGTCACATCGCAATGCATGAAGACCGAAACCAAGAAGATCCAGGAATGCACCAAGGTATCATCTTCCTAATAACCCATCCATTCCTCTGAATTACAGCTAATCGAAAATGGAATAGATGGCATCCAGAAGATGATCATTTCCAAGTTCGATCCAAAGAAACAAAAGGAGGTGAATGAGATCTGCAAGAAAGCCCAAAATTGTTTCGGCGATCTCAAGAAGAATTGTCCGGATTTCCCGAAAGACGCCACTTTAATGTTGGACTACCTCTGCGGAAAAGTCACCTTCATCACGGGACCATTCTCGGAGTGCATGAAGAAGGTCTGCTGTGAATGTTTTAAAATTGATTTTTAAAAAACTCTTTTCGTATTTGAGAAAGTTCCAAGTTTACCTAATCGATATGGTGTAACACTTTTTTTTCAATAAAAAAATGAAAATAATGATTTGGACATTATTCCTTTAAAAAATACCTAGAAATTATCCACAGCGCATTTTTTTTTTTAATAAGAAATAATCTTGAATGGTTCAGCTGATCATGCTTGATGACACTCCAACCGCCGGATGCGGTGCAAAAATCATCAACGGCGACGTCTTCGATGATGTAAGCGGTTTCTTATTGACTCATTCCTGAAATCTTTTTTATTGCATGAATAAGTCCAATATGATTCGAAATTTCAAAATTTCAGCCAAAGAAAAGCTGCAAGGCTGTCAAGGACACGATCGCCTGTGAGAAGGACATTGGAAAAGTTTGCGACGCGAAAATGGAGAAGCTGTTCCATGCTGAGAATCAAGGCGATCTCAAGAGATTCAAATGCTAGACGATTTAAAAAATTCCCATTTTGAAAGGTTCAGGAATTCAAATGTACCTTTTTCTCTATTGTAAAATTTGATTGCTACGTACGAACCAACTAAAAATTTGTCCGAAGAATAGTATTATTATGTTCATAAACACTGAATGATGGTTGCTCCTTCAGATGTACTTTATGAAGAATGTGGCAAGTATGAAATATATATATATAAAACGAATCGTAAGAATTAAATGACTCCCTTTCCTTTTTTATTAAAAATTTGTCATCATCACGCTATCATAAAATTCCATTCTTCGCGTAGACATTTTTAGAGCAATTAACAGAAAGAAGACCTTCCCGCTATCTAGTTATCACGTATGAAAGAGCATATGCTCACTCCGTTCACACTAGTGGGATTTACATTAAAAAAAAATTTTTCTCAATGGAGCGCACTTGCAGCTTAGCGCTATTCCGGTGCATAAATTCAACAAATTAAATTTGTGAAATAAATTAGAAACATTCTCAAAATGGAGCGTTTTTTTCAATAAGAACGATTAGTTTTTATATTTCTTCGGGTGGATCAGATTCACCGCAATTTATGGTCTATTTAGTTATAAATTAAATAAGTTATTTAAATTTATATCGGATCTTTTTTTTGAACATATACATAACATTTTTAAATGATAAAACCATCAATTAAACGAAAGAAATACTACACAATTGAATTATGATATAAAAATTGATGATGTGTAGCAGATGAATTCAATGCGAGTAGATAAAGACTCGAGAGAGATTGAATTCGGAAAAAGAGGATATAAGGACATTTGGAAAATTGCAAAACTAATAGGGAAAAAATACACTTATCAATTTGGAAACAAATGGATAATCAACAAATTCATTTAACAAGATTCTCTTTATCGATTTCATTAGGCAGCTTGAAAAGAACAATTTGATGTTATACAACACAAATGACTAAAAAAATACATTTTTGAGTTGAGGACGTCTTTCCATTGGTCTTTTGGAGTAATTCGGAAGTTTAAAAAAAATCTCGAAAAGCGAATTGTCCGTGATATCGTTTCATCATTCCGCCAGCTTTTGATTTTCGAGATGTAGTGCTTATCTGAATTCAATAAATGAATTCAATGCGAGTAGATAATGACGCGAGAGAGATAAATAACGAAAAAAGAAGCTGAAAACGGTAAATTAACGTAAGAACTAACGAAATTTAAAAAAAAAACAACAAAAAATTATAGAGAATCTCTTGCAACTTCTCCGCCGAAATGACACAATATTTACATTTAAAATTTGCAAAAAAATAAAAAATTAAACAACTATGAAATGTTTTTCCAAGTATTAACAAACATAATCGTATAAATCAAACCATATAATATAACAATAAATGATATTAACAAAAGAGAGTGAAAAAACAGAGAAAAGAAATTTTAATATTTCTAAAATTCAATCTTTAAAAAACTACGGACCTCTGAATACTTATCCGATTGAATTATAGTAAAGCTTTTACGATAGAAAAAAGCCTTGCGAAAAACGTGGTCGCTGCACTTTTTTGTTAAAATTTGAGAAAAATTCAAAAAACTTGAAAAAAGAGTCAAAACCTGGCGATTTTAAAAAAATTCGTCTGCGCGTCAAAGAGGCCAACAATCGACCACTGACACAGTTTGAGTTTTCATTTCAGGTAAATCCCACTAGTGTGAACGCCGTGTGCTTATAAGTCTTCAATTATGGTCGCCGAATACGCCACCGACCACGGCCGCGAACTTTGACACATTCCACGTCTGCCATTATTATTTTCACGTTAAATTATTTTTTAATTTTTATCACAATATTTATGCGTTTTTTTTAAAGATTATATTTAAAAAAAAAAACATTAAGTATAAGAAAATAATCCAATTAATCGAATTTTTAAATGAAATCAGAAAATTGAATTTGAAGATTTTTAATAAGCGGGATGTCATTCATTTCGTCTCCTAAACAATTATTTATTCCTTCACTCGAAAAAATTGTGTTTCTTCACAAACTTTGCTGAAATTTCTAAACATCCAAAAATCGGAAAATCGAAATAGTTGAAAACGTGCAATTTGAAAGAATTCAGCAAATCGTGTCCTAGAAACGGCCGTGAAAAGAGTGTTTCGTTGAATCATAGGAGGAAAATAGCGTTTGAGAGACAGTTCTTTTTATATATTTTTTTCTCTATTTCATGCGAATTTTAGTGCAAATTCGAGAAGTATTCAGGAATATTGTTTAATATTGTATTAGTTATCACTGACTGTGCAATATCCATTTCCGACACGCAAATCAGGTTAACATGATTTTGCCTTTTTGTTTTGCAACGAGCCATCGTAAAACACTCACATTTCAACACGCACTCTAATGGGTTCGACGCGTTCACAACCCCTTCCATCTCTGCTCGTTTCGCTTGGTTTCGCCTGCAAACCACATCATTACACAATTTTTTTAAGAGTTAAAAAGCGAAAACGACGCAGAGTAGTGAAATTTTTGTCAAACTGGGGGTCCCTCCGGCGCTATATTTTAAAATCTTAACAATAACAATTTTAATTGAAATATTTGTGGACATTTTCTTGTATACATCACCTGACACCACGGGAGCTCCCAAAAGCTGGTGCTATTCCTTCCAAAACTTTTTTACACTACCAATGCAACGCTCCAATTACGCATCATCCTGAATTGAGAGTTAAACTGTGGGTGTCATTCGTTTCGACTAATTGAATTTTTCCTTGTTAGTCCCAAAATATTCCGGAAAAAGTGGCCGCTGCTTGTCCCGATTCATTCGATGAGCATGTGCTTATAAAATTTATCAGTGGTGCATGCACTGCCACGTAAAACTGCACCACTTCGCTAGTCATATTGGAAAACATTTTTCCAAAAAAAAATTGCGATAATTTTCCAAAATTCCCTTTCACAAATCACAAACTAAAAATAAAAAATTTTATGTTGCTATAGGGATACCAAGCAAAATGTTTTGAAATCGCCGAATTTCGCAATATTGCGCATTCAAAAACTGCGTATTTATTTGCCTTCTCCTCTCATATGTACACTTTTCTGTCATTTTTATAACCCAACCAATCAAAAGTTCAATATGATAAGATGCCCTTATTTTATCTTTTTTTTTAAGGAAGCCTTACCTTTCCAATGGTGTTTCTTTCATCTACCTCTCTTTGCCTCTTACTCTCGTTTTTCCCTCGCTCACCACCGCATATATTGTATAAACTTCGTGTTCCCATTTCCGCATTTCAATTCTGTTTGTCAACTTTTTTTTGTTGCAGACTATTTAATATATCTCTCTTGCGAATAATGGCTGATGAGATCGAAAATTCCGCGTTCGACTTCAAAAAATTCGATGAAAGTCTCCTTGACACCTTGAAACAGTGAGAATTGCCAGTGAATTATACATTAAAATATTTGAAACATTTTCAGAAGTGAAACTAAATATAGTAATCTGATTGCCGGAAATGATGAGTACACTATTGGGATGGACAAGGACGAAATCGTGGCGATCAAAATCCCTGGACAAATGAAAAAGGTTCGAGATGATCAAGTGATGAACAACGCCGGAGGTTTCGTGTTTAAAGTCAGCGATGTGACAAGAATCCGTCGGTTTTTGATCCTCGGATGCGAGGGCGGAACCTTCTATCAGTCTGAGAAGGAGCTCACCTTCGAAAACGTTCAGAGCCTAATTAGAATTATCGACGAAGGTATCATTAACACATTTCATAGCTTTATATATATATATATATATATTCCGTTCAGGCAACGCCTTCTTAATTCTCAAAGAAATCGGAGAAATCAATGCTCAGAACAGAAATCCGAAAATGAAATCGATGCTGTTCGCATTGGCTCTTTGCGCACGCTATCATGTCCATGACAAGAAGAAGGCGGCGAAGTCCAAAGATCCTATGGTGGTGGCGTATTCGAAATACATTGACGCAATGCATAAGGCTGCGTGCTCGTTGATTGCACAAGTGTGCCGAATTCCGACTCATCTCTTCGAGTTTGTTGGAAATTGCGAGATTGTCGCCAAGTCAGGAGCATTCAATTCTAAACAAACATCGACTGGATGGGGTCGAATGATGAGAGCGGTTATTACGAAATGGTAAGTTATAATATTTTCTTAAAATCACAGATTGCAAAGTGTTCGAATTTCAGGTACGAATCGAAGACCCCTGAACGTTTGGCGATGTTCTTGACAAAGTATCCCCAAAGAGGAGGATGGTCCCACCGCGATTTGTTTCGTCTCGCTCATCCTGAAGTTTTTCACCGAAAGGCCTTTTATACGTCACCGGAAAGATTAGAGCTCGAGCAGATCTACCGTTTCGTCGTCAAGGGAGACTTGCAGGAAAGAAAAAGAAAGTCGCTGAATATAAGTGAGGGTGATTCGAAGGATGCTGACGATGTCACTGCTAAGAAAGTATACACTGAGGAACAATTGGATAGAGAAGAAAATAGCAAGGCTCTTGGATTGATTGAAGCCTATCTCAAATTGAAGAACGAGACGAATGAGGAGATCATAATTGCGGAAATCAAGAAGCACGGGCTCGTTCGTGAGCACATCCCAACGGATGCATTGAAGAGTGTCAACGTTTGGAAGGCATTATTGGAAACAGAAATGCCGATGACCGCGATGTTGCGTAATCTGGGAAGAATGTCTGCAATCAAGTGTCTTGACGAGTAAGATTTTTCTGTTCGATATTTTCATTGTAGCAAAGATGATATTATTTAGAAATCAAATTGCCGAAATCACTAGAAGACTCAATGATGTGGAGGAATTGAGAAGAGCCCGCATTCATCCGCTGAATGTTCTCATTGCCAGAAGCACTTATAGACAAGGCGGTGGCTACAAGTCAGCCCTTAAATGGAAGCCCGAGAAGAAGATTGTCGACGCTCTTGAGCAGGCTTTCTACAAGTCATTCATCAATGCCCCACCTACTGGAAAAAGGTACTGCCTGGCAATTGACGTCTCCGGAAGTATGGCACAACCAGCATCGGGATGTGTTATTTCCTGCCGTGAAGCAGCAAGTGCCTTGTCGCTTATCAACCTTCACAATGAAGAAACGGTAAGCAGTAAAATACCATAAACTGTACAAAATTGAACATGATAGATTTAACCCACAGTTCAAAATTTTCACATTTAAGTGAAAGCGAACATAACTTTATTATTTGGCCATTTCAGGTTCGCATGGTTGCTTTCTGTGATGAGCTCACCGAGTTGCCTTTCGACAAGACATGGAACTTGGATAAAATGGATGATTTCATGAATAATCTCGCGGTATTTTAACTATAATTTTGGTCGAGTAATTCATTCTAGTTGTTTTAGTTCGGCTCCACAGATTGCGCTCTTCCGATGGTTTGGGCAATGGAGAAAGATCTCAAATTCGATGTCTTCGCGATCTACACTGACAATGAGACGTTCTTCGGCGATATCCATCCATTTGAAGCGCTCAAGCAATATCGCGAAAAGTCTGGAATCCATGATGCTCGTATGATTGTCATGGGAATGTCGGCCACCGAGTTCACCATCGCCGATCCAACCGACGCCGGAATGCTCGACATTGCCGGATTTGATTCGGCTGTTCCACAGATCATCAGCGAGTTCATCAACGGCTATATCTAAAAATATGTACATATGTAGTATAGATTTACAAATTGTTGTTGTTTTTTTAATCGGGATTTGATAATAAATTAATTTTTTTTAAGTAATAATGTGTACGGTCAACATGGATCAGGAATTTGCCACTTTCAATTTCTTATGTCGAATTTTTCTTTTCTTGAAAATTTCAAAAAATGTAGTAATACAAATAATTCAAACAGCTACACTGGTGGTATTCTGATAATTTTACAATCTTATTCGTAGAGTTACCAATCGGATGAGATTGATTTTGGATCCGATTGTCTTTGATTTACCCGAGTAAAATAAAAAATGTGATGTCCTAGGGCACACACTCACGTAAAAATGCACCCATTCTTTATTCGACACTGACGTAATTGAGTCATTGAAAACGAATGGTTTTTTATTCCTAGAAATCGTCAAAAACTGTACATTGAACGCAAAACGATTTAATAATGGACCTATTCATGAAACGTATTTTTTTTTATTAAAAAAGGAAAACATTACACTAAATGTGTATTTTTTTTTAACAAATCTGCATTCGAAAAATTTGATGTTTTTAAACTTTTAATTGCATGAAAAGGTTCATAATAGAAATGGCTTGCATTATCAATCGAATAGTTTTACCTTCGTTTCAAGTGAGTACGAATTAAATTCTCTTTGTACGTTTAGCAAATGTGCAATTTACCGTAATGTGTTTGCGACGCGTAGATGTTTAAATTTTAAATTTTCTAAATTTCGTCGAAATTATTTTCTTTCTATAACTTCTTTCTGTTTTCTTGATTAAAAACAATCCAACAATATATTTTAGAGAAGATTTATTTTATACGAATAATTAAATTCAAAATCCCTCTTTGTTTCTTATTTTTATCAGATTTTTGTTTTTTTGAATCATAATTATTTTTGCAGGGGAATAAAGCAATGAAGGGCAAAACAATGAATAATTAAGACAAGAAAGGAATCACAAGGCAAGAAGAGAAACAATTCAAAATTTAAAGAAGATATTTACTATTTTTATTCGATTTAAGTAGATATATTTATTAGTAAAAGTTATCTGCTGATATTGTCGGCGTCAAACGACTTGACGAAATTTTAAAAAATATTGGCTAATTGCCAGATTTCTCGAGGCGAAGAGAAGTGTATGTGGCATACACTTTGCAGCGTGTTTTGCGCAGCGTGTTTTTGGGCGCGTTATTTTTTGAGAATTTTTCTGTATCTCTTTTTTTTATTGGTAAATTTCTTTTTTATTTACCGTAAAAATAGTATGAAAATTATTGTTCAAAGGGGAAAGTCATCCGATTAATTGAGAATTCTCGAAATGCACCAAGACGCTGCACAATTGAAACTTATAACCGAAAGCCAAACGAGCGTTGATTCCAATCGCCTAAAACTAGTAATAACATCACATTGAATACAAAATTAAAAAGAAAACTGAGTCTACAAAGATTAAAAAAAAATGATAACGTACCTTTCGGAAGAAGCTTGAAGTCATTGAGTATATTTTTTCCTTTCCCTAGTATTGATGAAGCTGTGAAGTACCGAGGCGAGCATATAATTCAGAATTTTGTGTCCGTTGGAGGTTGTCTTCGAGGTTGCGCGAAGGGTTCAATATTTGATGCCATTGTAGTCGCTGCAACTATAATGATAAAATAATGACAATTTTAAATAAAAATAAAATAATACCCGTCTTGTTAACTTCAGTAGTTTTCAAAGTCCTTCGGCTCTTGTTCAATGTGATTGTGTTTCCTAAAATGTACTAAAAATTAAGAAACGGAAAATGATGAAGAATAAGTTTTTACAATGTCAAATTAATTAAAAAATGCCTTTAAATATATGAAAATTTTAAACTATCAATCAGCGATTATAAAAATGTAAGATAAACCGTAAAAATAAAAGAAATTTACCAATAAAAAAAAGAGATACAGAAAAATTCTCAAAAAATAACGCGCCCAAAAACACGCTGCGCAAAACACGCTGCAAAGTGTATGCCACATACACTTCTCTTCGCCTCGAGAAATCTGGCAATTAGCCAATATTTTTTAAAATTTCGTCAAGTCGTTTGACGCCGACAATATCAGCAGATAACTTTTACTAATAAATATATCTACTTAAATCGAATAAAAATAGTAAATATCTTCTTTAAATTTTGAATTGTTTCTCTTCTTGCCTTGTGATTCCTTTCTTGTCTTAATTATTCATTGTTTTGCCCTTCATTGCTTTATTCCCCTGCAAAAATAATTATGATTCAAAAAAACAAAAATCTGATAAAAATAAGAAACAAAGAGGGATTTTGAATTTAATTATTCGTATAAAATAAATCTTCTCTAAAATATATTGTTGGATTGTTTTTAATCAAGAAAACAGAAAGAAGTTATAGAAAGAAAATAATTTCGACGAAATTTAGAAAATTTAAAATTTAAACATCTACGCGTCGCAAACACATTACGGTAAATTGCACATTTGCTAAACGTACAAAGAGAATTTAATTCGTACTCACTTGAAACGAAGGTAAAACTATTCGATTGATAATGCAAGCCATTTCTATTATGAACCTTTTCATGCAATTAAAAGTTTAAAAACATCAAATTTTTCGAATGCAGATTTGTTAAAAAAAAATACACATTTAGTGTAATGTTTTCCTTTTTTTAATAAAAAAAAATACGTTTCATGAATAGGTCCATTATTAAATCGTTTTGCGTTCAATGTACAGTTTTTGACGATTTCTAGGAATAAAAAACCATTCGTTTTCAATGACTCAATTACGTCAGTGTCGAATAAAGAATGGGTGCATTTTTACGTGAGTGTGTGCCCTAGGACATCACATTTTTTATTTTACTCGGGTAAATCAAAGACAATCGGATCCAAAATCAATCTCATCCGATTGGTAACTCTACGAATAAGATTGTAAAATTATCAGAATACCACCAGTGTAGCTGTTTGAATTATTTGTATTACTACATTTTTTGAAATTTTCAAGAAAAGAAAAATTCGACATAAGAAATTGAAAGTGGCAAATTCCTGATCCATGTTGACCGTACACATTATTACTTAAAAAAAATTAATTTATTATCAAATCCCGATTAAAAAAACAACAACAATTTGTAAATCTATACTACATATGTACATATTTTTAGATATAGCCGTTGATGAACTCGCTGATGATCTGTGGAACAGCCGAATCAAATCCGGCAATGTCGAGCATTCCGGCGTCGGTTGGATCGGCGATGGTGAACTCGGTGGCCGACATTCCCATGACAATCATACGAGCATCATGGATTCCAGACTTTTCGCGATATTGCTTGAGCGCTTCAAATGGATGGATATCGCCGAAGAACGTCTCATTGTCAGTGTAGATCGCGAAGACATCGAATTTGAGATCTTTCTCCATTGCCCAAACCATCGGAAGAGCGCAATCTGTGGAGCCGAACTAAAACAACTAGAATGAATTACTCGACCAAAATTATAGTTAAAATACCGCGAGATTATTCATGAAATCATCCATTTTATCCAAGTTCCATGTCTTGTCGAAAGGCAACTCGGTGAGCTCATCACAGAAAGCAACCATGCGAACCTGAAATGGCCAAATAATAAAGTTATGTTCGCTTTCACTTAAATGTGAAAATTTTGAACTGTGGGTTAAATCTATCATGTTCAATTTTGTACAGTTTATGGTATTTTACTGCTTACCGTTTCTTCATTGTGAAGGTTGATAAGCGACAAGGCACTTGCTGCTTCACGGCAGGAAATAACACATCCCGATGCTGGTTGTGCCATACTTCCGGAGACGTCAATTGCCAGGCAGTACCTTTTTCCAGTAGGTGGGGCATTGATGAATGACTTGTAGAAAGCCTGCTCAAGAGCGTCGACAATCTTCTTCTCGGGCTTCCATTTAAGGGCTGACTTGTAGCCACCGCCTTGTCTATAAGTGCTTCTGGCAATGAGAACATTCAGCGGATGAATGCGGGCTCTTCTCAATTCCTCCACATCATTGAGTCTTCTAGTGATTTCGGCAATTTGATTTCTAAATAATATCATCTTTGCTACAATGAAAATATCGAACAGAAAAATCTTACTCGTCAAGACACTTGATTGCAGACATTCTTCCCAGATTACGCAACATCGCGGTCATCGGCATTTCTGTTTCCAATAATGCCTTCCAAACGTTGACACTCTTCAATGCATCCGTTGGGATGTGCTCACGAACGAGCCCGTGCTTCTTGATTTCCGCAATTATGATCTCCTCATTCGTCTCGTTCTTCAATTTGAGATAGGCTTCAATCAATCCAAGAGCCTTGCTATTTTCTTCTCTATCCAATTGTTCCTCAGTGTATACTTTCTTAGCAGTGACATCGTCAGCATCCTTCGAATCACCCTCACTTATATTCAGCGACTTTCTTTTTCTTTCCTGCAAGTCTCCCTTGACGACGAAACGGTAGATCTGCTCGAGCTCTAATCTTTCCGGTGACGTATAAAAGGCCTTTCGGTGAAAAACTTCAGGATGAGCGAGACGAAACAAATCGCGGTGGGACCATCCTCCTCTTTGGGGATACTTTGTCAAGAACATCGCCAAACGTTCAGGGGTCTTCGATTCGTACCTGAAATTCGAACACTTTGCAATCTGTGATTTTAAGAAAATATTATAACTTACCATTTCGTAATAACCGCTCTCATCATTCGACCCCATCCAGTCGATGTTTGTTTAGAATTGAATGCTCCTGACTTGGCGACAATCTCGCAATTTCCAACAAACTCGAAGAGATGAGTCGGAATTCGGCACACTTGTGCAATCAACGAGCACGCAGCCTTATGCATTGCGTCAATGTATTTCGAATACGCCACCACCATAGGATCTTTGGACTTCGCCGCCTTCTTCTTGTCATGGACATGATAGCGTGCGCAAAGAGCCAATGCGAACAGCATCGATTTCATTTTCGGATTTCTGTTCTGAGCATTGATTTCTCCGATTTCTTTGAGAATTAAGAAGGCGTTGCCTGAACGGAATATATATATATATATAAAGCTATGAAATGTGTTAATGATACCTTCGTCGATAATTCTAATTAGGCTCTGAACGTTTTCGAAGGTGAGCTCCTTCTCAGACTGATAGAAGGTTGCGCCCTCGCATCCGAGGATCAAAAACCGACGGATTCTTGTCACATCGCTGACTTTAAACACGAAACCTCCGGCGTTGTTCATCACTTGATCATCTCGAACCTTTTTCATTTGTCCAGGGATTTTGATCGCCACGATTTCGTCCTTGTCCATCCCAATAGTGTACTCATCATTTCCGGCAATCAGATTACTATATTTAGTTTCACTTCTGAAAATGTTTCAAATATTTTAATGTATAATTCACTGGCAATTCTCACTGTTTCAAGGTGTCAAGGAGACTTTCATCGAATTTTTTGAATTCGAACGCGGAATTTTCGATCTCATCAGCCATTATTCGCAAGAGAGATATATTAAATAGTCTGCAACAAAAAAAAGTTGACAAACAGAATTGAAATGCGGAAATGGGAACACGAAGTTTATACAATATATGCGGTGGTGAGCGAGGGAAAAACGAGAGTAAGAGGCAAAGAGAGGTAGATGAAAGAAACACCATTGGAAAGGTAAGGCTTCCTTAAAAAAAAAGATAAAATAAGGGCATCTTATCATATTGAACTTTTGATTGGTTGGGTTATAAAAATGACAGAAAAGTGTACATATGAGAGGAGAAGGCAAATAAATACGCAGTTTTTGAATGCGCAATATTGCGAAATTCGGCGATTTCAAAACATTTTGCTTGGTATCCCTATAGCAACATAAAATTTTTTATTTTTAGTTTGTGATTTGTGAAAGGGAATTTTGGAAAATTATCGCAATTTTTTTTGGAAAAATGTTTTCCAATATGACTAGCGAAGTGGTGCAGTTTTACGTGGCAGTGCATGCACCACTGATAAATTTTATAAGCACATGCTCATCGAATGAATCGGGACAAGCAGCGGCCACTTTTTCCGGAATATTTTGGGACTAACAAGGAAAAATTCAATTAGTCGAAACGAATGACACCCACAGTTTAACTCTCAATTCAGGATGATGCGTAATTGGAGCGTTGCATTGGTAGTGTAAAAAAGTTTTGGAAGGAATAGCACCAGCTTTTGGGAGCTCCCGTGGTGTCAGGTGATGTATACAAGAAAATGTCCACAAATATTTCAATTAAAATTGTTATTGTTAAGATTTTAAAATATAGCGCCGGAGGGACCCCCAGTTTGACAAAAATTTCACTACTCTGCGTCGTTTTCGCTTTTTAACTCTTAAAAAAATTGTGTAATGGTGTGGTTTGCAGGCGAAACCAAGCGAAACGAGCAGAGATGGAAGGGGTTGTGAACGCGTCGAACCCATTAGAGTGCGTGTTGAAATGTGAGTGTTTTACGATGGCTCGTTGCAAAACAAAAAGGCAAAATCATGTTAACCTGATTTGCGTGTCGGAAATGGATATTGCACAGAAACCGAAATCGTAGTCGAATGGAAGACGTTAGAGCAGAAATTCAAATCTAAATGGACCCAATATGTTTAAAACCTTCTCAAATCTATGCCAGACTGTGTTTTCGATGTTATAACCTCGAATGGAGGTGCCACTAAACATTAAACTGTCGTTATCTTTGAGTTTATAACTTGTTTTATGGGGGTGGCTTTATAATTCTGCACCGCTCGAAAAAACGGTTTTGGACCACAACGCGGTTACTTTTGAAGGTACTAACATAAAAATAGGTACATATAGGTTATTTTTCATGCTGAACACGATTTTCACACTGGTTGGTCTCAAAGTATCGAAATCATTGCGCGGCGTTCAAATTTGGGGGTGGCCTTATAATTCTGCAACGCACTGTATATAATTCAAAATAATATTAATGATTTTTAAATGTTTCTTGGATAGGTTGATGTGATTAATTAAAATTTGCTGCATTGTTTAAAAAAAATATTCCGCGACCTCAAGAATCTCATCACCGAATACTTCAAGTGATCCAAAAATATGAGGGAACAAAAATTATTGAATTTGGCCAAGTGCAGATTCGACACTATCTTTTTTTTTGAAAAATTTTCTGCTAATTTTTAGCCAGACTCATAATTACTAAAAAAAAGTAACGCTTACCTGAAAAACTAGAGTCGCTTCTTATGTGACTGATGAATTATCCAAACTTCAGCTCATCAATCAATTTATTAATAATATTAATTCATCTATTTACAGACAAAATTAAGCATCTCAATTCAATCTATCTTCTGCAGCATTGACCGTTTCCGCACGGGGAGTAGTTGGTCTGACAGGTGCAGCTGCTCGAGTTCGCCGGCTCAGGTGATGGGTGCAGGTTGGCAAATTGTCTGGCACTGCTGGCTACACTGTTGGCTGCATCGCGGAGTGGAGCATTGCTGTTGACACTGTTGCTGGCAGGTGGGCATGCAATATGCGGCGAATTTCAGTTGGAGCTCGGCCATCTGAGTAATAGCAGGTTGGGCGCACTGGCAAGTCGCCTGGCAATTCGTTTGGCATTGTGTGTTCGATTGATTGCAGCTCTGCTGGCAAGCTGGAGTGTAGTCTGAACTTGGACAGTTCGTTGAGAGCATGAGCAGGAAGAAGTCGGAGCCTGTTGCTGACAAGCGCAGGTGTACTGCTAGGGAGTTGATTGCTGGCAGGACCACGTCGGCTGTGCTGAACAACCGCACTGCCTCTCTTCGCGAAGAGAAGTAGCCTAAATATTACAATAATTATAAACAAATTATATAATAATTAATTACCGAAGAAATGAGGAATAGAGCGGAGAGAACGAAGATGAATCGCATTTTTGTCGGGAGTGATTGTTGTGGTGATCCAAGTGCTTTTATACGCTGAACGCTGGCCATCGGCATTGTGGCGCAATCAAAATTTTTTGTTTCATATCCCAACCTGCGCGATGTTTTCGGACGGCTCATCTGTTTGTTTAAACGAAGCCGCAAAGATTTCAAAAATAGAGAACTTGCACTTGTTTTTAGTTTGAACATGGCTTTTTGCTCTCTTGACCGGTTGATCGTTTGCTTGAAACATTGAAACACTTTATTTTGGGAATTGGATGCTTCGAGAGGATAATCATTAACTTGAGCATTTCATATATCCGCCCTATAGGGCCCAGGGCCGGGCCGGGGGCCCTACGGGCCCAGTTTGAACTGCCGCCGACGCTAATTATACTAAACAATAAGCAACGTAAACGCGGAGCGTCGTTTCTAGTCGTTTTTTCTCTCATTCTATTGATACTTTGCAATTTTTCTCATGTAATTAGCGATTAAATGTCAATTAAATAAAATAATTTTCATATGGATACTCCGTTGACGACGAAATCAAGAAATTCTACAAACCATAGGACATTTTATAAGGAAGTAGTGAAGAAACTGATAATGGAATCTAACGTCGTATTGGAAAAATTATTAATACTAGAATAAACTTTTTAATAAAATTAATTTAGGAAAAAAACTAAAAATAACGCAGTATGGAAAGTATTGGTAATAGAAGACATGAAAATTTCAAACAATAAATCTATCTGTTTGAAATCGAAAAATAAAATAATAATGCAATAATAACAACCTGAAAAATGTTCGCAGATATTTAAAATGAAATTTCTCTTGTTAAGGTTAAAAAAAAACAGGGCCCCCGGCCCGGCCCTGGGCCCGTTTTGACAACCCTGTCCGCAGGAGCGAGTGAAGCGAATATGTTTTCGGACCAACTTTCGCTTTCTGGATCAATTTGTCAAAAAAAGAAGCATGTGAAAGAGACATCAGAAAATATTGTTCGCGAAACAACCTTTAAAAACCAACTTGTTTCTGTTGATTTGATACTAAATTGATAAGAATCGCCATTTGTTCTTTTCGTTTTAATTCAAAATGATTCGATTTCTGATATTGATCGTCTTACCCATCATTTTTGCCAAATCACATCCAAAATGCGCCATGGTGGATTTGATGCGGGCCAATGAATGCCAGCAGGTTAATTCAACAATCCATACAATCATAAAGGGCGAGATTTCAGCACATCAGCAATCTGACAAAGCTAATCGAATCTCGTCCACTTCATGGTCCCAAAAAGTTTCCGACAAGCTTCATCAGCTCTCCGATTTATGCCAATTATCATTGGTATTCTTGAACAGTTCCGCGATTTACCATCATCAATAATTGTTGAAGGAGTGCACAAGAGCTCTCGAATGTCATCAGATTCGAATCAAGTTTCCAAGACTTGAGGCATCTTGCAAGATCATGAACATCTTGGCAGGCTCCTATGGGGATTGCGTTAGAAAGGTAAGTCAAATCGATGCTGCGGACAATTTCACAAATTGTTTTAACGGTATCCGCTGAATTCTGCCGACAATCTTCAGGCTCGATTTCTAATCAAATCGTATGACTACTGTATTCAATTTTCGATATCGCCAAACAAAATTGTCGGCAGCATTGAGTTCATAAATTTCGCTTTTTAAAGTTTAAAAGTATGACTGAACAGGTCAAAAACCATGACGAGAAGCCGGATTGCCTGAAAATCCTCTACAATGCTCCAAAAAAGGTTATTTCTTCAAATAGATCCTTTTAAGTGAGAATTCAGATGACCGATTCTGAAAAGTGCAAACTTCTCGAAATAAATCGAAAATGTATAAGCGAGGAATTAGGGAAATTTTGCGGAAATGATGATGCGGACAAGTTTGAGCAGGTAATTAAGTCACTTCTAATTAGTTGGTAATCGTTGATTGCAGAGCATACCAATTACCAAACAATTATATAATTGTAATTAATTTGTAAATAAATATTTATAGTCAAGCGAGTTTTTCGATATAAATCGATATATATACAGTGCGTTGCAGAATTATAAGGCCACCCCCAAATTTAAGCGCCGCGCAATGATTTCGATATTTTGAGACCAACCAGTGTGAAAATCGTGTTCAGCATGAAAAATAACCTATATGTACCTATTTTTATGTTAGTACCTTCAAAAGTAACCGCGTTGTGGTCCAAAACCGTTTTTTCGAGCGGTGCAGAATTATAAAGCCACCCCCATAAAACAAGTTATAAACTCAAAGATAACGACAGTTTAATGTTTAGTGGCACCTCCATTCGAGGTTATAACATCGAAAACACAGTCTGGCATAGATTTGAGAAGGTTTTAAACATATTGGGTCCATTTAGATTTGAATTTCTGCTCTAACGTCTTCCATTCGACTACGATTTCGGTTTTGAGCTCTCCAACCCCGAATTTCCTTCCTTGGCCATAGAAACGCCGTACTAACTCTCCCCAGACGTTCTACATGGGACTCCAAAAAGGAGAACATGCTGGCCAGTCGAGAACGTCCACACTGTGAGACTGAAGCCAGTCCAAAGTAGACCGACTCACATGAATGACCGCATTGTCCTGTTGAAAAAGGACAATAATGACGTCGGAATGGAAGAATATGGCTCTCAAGAACATTCTGATAATCCGAAGAGTCCACCCTACTCGTCAGAAAAGCCAATTCCAGAAATCCGGCCTCCGAAAACGCTTCCCCCATAATATCACGCTTCCTTCTCTAAAATTGAGTTTTGAAAGCAGGAGGTGATTCTTTCATAACTCGGGCCAGCAACTGTTATAGCCGCCTGGGCCATCCAAATTATTTTTTTTCATCGGAAAAAATAACCTGTTGAAGTTTGAATGGTCATTATTCACAATATTCTCGAATATAAACACCTTGTTCCAATCCGTATTCATGTTTTTGAATGCGAACTCAAGGCGTCGAATTTTATGGTCCTCTGTGAGTCGCGGAGCCGGCTTCATTTTTTCTCTGGCGATGTTGGGGGTTATTCTTGATGGTTCCCCAAACTGTCCACTTGCTTTTGTCGAAGTTTAGCTTCTTCTTGATGTCATTTGTACACTTCATACTGCTCGAAGCTGTTTGAATGCTTGCTCGATTAGCGCGATAGTCCAGTTTTCCTCTGCCGCCTGACTTTTGCGACATGTTGACACGAGTTAGATCCTTCACAAAGATGTCTACGAATATTTTCGGACCATTTTAATTCTTCGCAACCCGACAGTTCGACCATCCTGCCGTTTTGAATGCGGTAATCTGAGATTACTCAGAAACACTAAGACAGCGACCACGTGGCATTTCAAAATGATTCAAAAAGTGAAAAATAAGGACCACTGTAGGTTCTCAAAGCCACACAACAATTTTAATGCACACTGGTCCCGCCAAAGTTTCAAAAAAATGCGAAAAAGTCCGTTGTATGGGGGTGGCTTTATAATTCTGCACCGCTCGAAAAAACGGTTTTGGACCATTGCGCGGTTACTTTTGAAAATACTAACATAAAAATAGATACATATAGGTTATTTTTCATGCTGAACACGATTTTCACACTGGTTGGTCTCAAAATATCGAAATCATTGCGCGGCGCTCAAATTTGGGGGTGGCCTTATAATTCTGCAACGCACTGTATATATATATACAGTACTGGCCATAATGATGTTCGCCTAGTGTTTTTTGAGCATAACTTGGCTCAAACGCAGCCGATTTGGCTGAAATTTTTACTGTAAACGCTAAACACAGTTGCGCAACCTTGGAAACATTAAAACTGCCTCATGTTGAAAAATTAATTTTTTTTTAATTTTTTTTTTGTTTTTTTCGATTTTACCAATTTTTCATTTTTTTCAAACTTTGTCCATAAATTTTTTTTATTTGAAATTTGGACCTGAAACATGTTTTTAGTAATTTTTCAACCTTCTGGAAAGAAAAATTTCACGGCGGACGTTCAAAAAGCCATCGTTAATGGTCATAAGACTGGGTCGTCCAGAAGCCTTCTGGCTCAGCAGTTCCTGTGCTCCCGAAGAGGAATCCAAAAAGTTTTGCAACGATTAAGACAAAATGTACGATTTCTTATTCGTTCTAGACTATTTATAATCTATTGGGCTGCATTTTTGTTAAGAAATCACATGGTAGACCTTACAAAACAACTAGGCTCCAAGATCGGAACATCTGTCGTGCTTCAAGAGAAGATCCTAGACGGACTTCAGCAGATATCCAGATGCTTGTGGCAACGCCAAATTCTTCCATTCCATCCAGAAGAACAATTAGACGTCGTTTGTTGGAGAATGGACTTCATGGAAGACTCCCGGTGAAGAAACCATTGATCAGTGAGAAGAACCAAAAGACGAGAGTGGCATGGTGCAAGGATCATCTGAACTGGGGACGATGTGAATGGGTCAAACACATTTATAGCGATGAATCGAGGTTCGACTTGTTCGGAAGTGATGAAATCAAGTGGATTCGACGACCTATCGGAGCCAGATTCATGCCAAAGTACCACCTTCCAACGGTGAAGCATCTTGCAGAGGATGGGGCTGCTTCTCCGACACCGCCATGGGACCGCTCCGACGTGTAAATAGAATCATGGATCGGTACCAGTACAAGGATATCCTGGAAACCACAATGAGACCTTGGGCATTAGCAAACGTCGGACGTGCATTCGTTTTCCAGCAAGACAACGACCCTGAGCGCATGTCTGGACATGTAAAGAATTGGTTCCAACGTCGCCGAGTTGATGTTCTTGCGTGGCCATCACAGATTTCTGACCATTATTCGATCGAACATCTCTGGGAAGAACTAGTACGCATGGTTAGAGGACGTTTCTTCTCGTTTCCTTCCACGCATTTTCCATCAATTTTTAATGTCAATCAAGGCATATTATTCTCTTTTTAAACAATTTCCTGTCGAATTTCCTGTAGAACTAGTGGCGAGACCGTGCAATGAACCCAACCCTGATACGATGAATATATCTAGTTTTCGAATGACCGAATCATGGAACAACATTCGTCAGAGGATTCAAGAGTATTGTGCCGGACTATCATTGATTTCCAACGGATACTTACTAGTACTCATCAAGTACAAATCTCCGTCACAACTTGGTTATTATAAATATTTGATGATGTACATTGCCATATTTGAAATCCTCTATTCAGCGGTTGATTACTTCGCAAAACCTATCATTTTATCATTTAAATCTACCAATATCGAGTTTATCGATGTCAAAAATTCAATATTTTGTCGAGGTTTCAATGTATTTCTAAATGGTATCAAGAGCAGATAGTCGGGTTTGAAAACGTTTCTTTTGAGAGCTTTATAGTGGCTTTTTTGGATTCTCAATGGCCATATTTGGCATCAATTTTATTTATCGATATGCAGTGACAAATAGGTTCGCTAAAAATGACAAATTGTTCAAAATGTATTTATATTTTAGCGTAATCTTCAAAAAATATTTCAACAATCGTCTCATATTTGGTTGGTTTTCGATTCCAGCGTTTTATTGCCTTTTATGGATGCTAATTGTACATTTTGCTTTGGGACCGTGGGATCAATTCACCGACTTCATCAGGTATTTTCTCATATTATTTGTGAAACCTTGTCTTTCCTAAAAAAAAATTCGCTGTTTTGATTCTAACATAAAAGTTAAGTTTTTTTTGCCTATGCCTATTTTAATCTTGCGCACAAAAACATAATTCAGATTTGAACCATTTTTTTGTTGACCAATTGATTTCTCGCACACTAAAACGTCTATTTATTGCGGCAAGAAGCACTAGTTAATAAGAATGTGGTTTCAGGGAGCCGGTGCGTCAAAATTTTGGAATCAATGTCGATGACGTTGTCTACTTGGGTTCATATTTTTTGCCGGTTGATGAGGAAGGAAATCAATATCTCAATTATTATTCCCTAACTGGAATACTGATACTAACATTGATGACGGTAAGAAAGTTCATCATCAAACATATATTTTCTTTCAAAAGGCCAATTCAATGTTCTGCGTGTTTTGGTTCGGCGGAAAGTGCTACCGTCAAATCTATAAGCTGGCGCATGTTGGGAACTCGGAGAAGACAAAACGTCTGCAGAGGCAGCTATTGAATGCTCTAGTAGTGCAGGTAACAAAACGATTAATTCAAATAATTAATTTCGCTTGAAGACCCTAATTCCTGTTGTCCTTATGTATATACCGCTATCCATTCTTTTCACTGCTCCATATTTCGAAACGTTCAATTTCGGCTCGAGCTGCATCAACATCACAATTGCTATTTATCCCGCCATCGACGCATTCCCCACAATGTTCATCGTAACGAAATATCGAAATGTGACACTAAGCAGGGTTGACTGAAACTGAATAAAGCCACATTCTTTGTTTTTAGGTATTTTCAGAAAAGTGCGAAGTTCATTTACCACGAAAGCTTCGAGTACTCAAATGAGAAATATTGCTAATTATGGAAATCAAATTTAAGTCATTTCATTTAAACGAAATAATATAAATATAAATAAATATTTTTCTTTATATTTTAAATTGCATCGATCTTCAATTGTATAGTTTTTTTTCATCGTTATACCAGGACTCCGTGCTGGCATGAAAGGTTGCGTCGTAGCCGAAAACTGTATTTTATTCAATTCAAGGGCTACGAAAATTTTTCGAAATTTTTTTGAACTAAATTTGTTTTCATTTTTTAATCTCATCATTTTCCGAGAATGGTGGGAACAAGTGGCAAACTTTCCAAATTTCGATGTTCCAAACTAATATTCATAGCTATCCAGGATGGGCGAGCACTCGCAAAATCGACTGTCGCAAATCGGGCGAATTATTCGATGATCTCGTTGGCAGTATTTAAATCTATTGATGATGTTTGAATAAAATATGCCCTATTGTGTGAACAAAGAAATATTTATAATTGCGGATATCATTTCGGGCATTTTCTATTAATTTTAATTAATATTTTTTTTCCAATATTGTACTCCGATAGATTTACGTGAGTGCGTCTTTCGTCATAGTCTCTTCTCGCCATATGTTGATCCTCAATTTTTTTGGTTTTTATTTGAAATGCTAGCTTTTTTTGATGAGATTAACAATGTAATCACCGCTATTAGTAGTTACTGAAAACAGAAACTATGCGAAGTCAAAATTGTGTATCTAGTTTTCGAATGGCCGAATCATGGAACAGCATTCGTCAGAGGATTCAAGAGTACTGTGCCGGACTATCATTGATTTCGAACGGATACTTACTAGTACTCATCAAGTACAAATCTCCGCCACAACTTGGTTATTATAAATATTTGATGATGTACATTGCCATCTTTGAAATATTCTATTCAGCGGCTGATTACTTCGCAAAACCTATCATTTTATCATATAAATCGACTTATATTGTTTTCATAGATGTCAAGAATTCAATATTTGGACGAGGTTTCAATGTTTTTCTGAATGGTATCAAGAGCAGATAGTCGGGTTTGAAAACATTTCTTTTGAGAGTTTTATTGTGGATTGTTTGGATCCTCAATGGCCATATTTGGTATCATTTTTATTTATCGATATGCAACGACAAATAGGTTCGTTGAAAAACTATACGATTTTTCATCAAAAAATTTATATTTTAGCGTAATCTTCAAAAAATACTTCAACAATCGTCTCATATTTGGTTGGTTTTCGATTCCAGTGTTTTATTGCCTTTTATGGATGATAACTACGCATTTGATTTTGGGACCGTGGGATCATTTCACCGACTTCATTAGGTATTTTCTCTGTTTTTATCTAAAATTAACGAAATCAATTAAAATTATAAGCTGAAGATGTATACCAGGGCTGTGCGGCAATCGGAAATTTCGGCAATTCGACAATTTGCCGAAAATAAAAATTTCGGCTATTAAATGTTTTCAACGATAATTCGAAATATAAATATCGAATTTTCACGGTATCCCAAATTATTCAATGGACTTTGATTTTTGTTTCGCCGATTTTTTTTTGATATCAAATTGCCGAAAATAAAAATTTCGGCAAATCGGCAATTCCATTGCCGCACAGCCCTGATGTATACCCAAACAGTAAATTCAACAAATGAATTGTTACACTATTTACTTATTAGAGAGTATATTTTAGAGAGCCCGTTGCTCAAAAGTTCGAAATTAATGTTGATGACATTGTCTACGTTGGTCCATATTATTTTCCGCTAGATGAGAAAGGAAATCAATATCTCAATTATTATACCCTATTTGGAATGATGATACTAACATTGATAACGGTATCTTATAAAGAAAAAAAAAAAACGATCATATAAAGAAAAACTGCGATCAGACAAGCTCAATGTTCTGTGTGTTCTGGTTCGGCCAAAAGTGCTACCGTCAAATCCACGAGCTGGCGCATGTTGTGAACTCGAAGAAGACAAAAAGTCTGCAGAGGCAGCTATTGAATGCTCTAGTTGTGCAAGTATCAAAACGATTAATTCGAATAATTAATTTCTTGCTTGAAGACCTTAATTCCTGTTGTCCTTATGTTCATACCGATCACATTCCTCTTCTCTGCCCCATACTTTGAACAGAGTTTCGAGTTCGGCTCGTGCTGCATCAACATTACAGTCGCCGTTTATCCCGCTATCGACGCATTCCCCACATTGTTCATCATAGCAAAATATCGGAATGTGACTCTAAGTAGGGTTGGCTGAAAATGAAACTATAATTATTTTTTGTTTCAAGGCTTCTTCAAAAAAGTGCGAAAATCGTTTGCCACGAAGTATTCAAACGCTCAACTGAGCAATATTGCTGATTATGGAAATCAAATTTAAGTCATTTCATTCTAACGGTAACCGACTTCCTAAGAAATCCATATTAATTTATTCATTTTGTCTTTAATAAATGAAAAAAAACGTTAAATGCGCATTTTTCACAATCCGCATTGGAAAAATAAATATTTTCCTTTATATTTTTTATTGCATGAATAAGCCCATTATGTTTTCCGTAATTCGATCTACAATTGTATATAATTCGCAAAATGACTATTAGTAATCTTCTTATTTAATTTATCTGGAGTTGATCCTTATCTCACAGATTCTCCTTTTGCCGTGATATCAGGGCTCAAAGACATTTTTAGAATTTTTTTAAAACTAAATGTGGACGAGGCGGGTTGGTAAAAATTTCAATCCAATAATAATGGGTACAATTGACAAACTTTCCAAATTTCGTTGTTCCAAACTAATATTCATAGCTATCCAGGATGGGCGAGCACTCGCAAAATCGACTGTCGCAAATCGGGCGAATTATTCGATGATCTCGTTGGCGGTATTTAAATCTATTGATTATGTTTGAATAAAATATGCCCTATTGTCTGAACAAGGAAATATTTATAATTGCGGATTTCCTTTTGGGCATTTTCTATTAATTTTAATTAATATTTTTTTGAGCAATTTAGGAAATTCTGGAAATCAAATTTAAGAGTTTCACGATGTTGATATCGGAGGTTTTATTTTACTGTTTCCATAATACCATACTTGCAACGGGGCGGGTCGGGGCGGGGCGGGGCGGGTCAGAGTGAAAATTCTACCGACCCGCCCCTGACCCGCCCCGACCCGCCCCTGACCCGCCCCGACCCGCCCCTGACCCGCCCCTGACCCGCCCCTGACCCGCCCCGACCCGCCCCTGACCCGCCCCGACCCGCCCCTGACCCGCCCCGACCCGCCCCTGACCCGCCCCGACCCGCCCCGACCCGCTCGACCCGCTAATAGATTTTATGAAGAAAAGTTTATTTTAAAAAATCGAAAACTAAACAAAAACAGTGCAAGCTGGTTCAATCAATTTTGTTTGAGGACTTCTGAACAATTTTTGTTGCGAGAATAATTAATTCTACTCAAATAATGTAATTCGAAATTTTTTCGCTAAACAAGGGTCTCGCTGTAAACATGGAGTGTCGTTGCGGGTCGGCGGGGCGGGGCGGGGTGGGTCGATGGCGGGTCGACCCGGAAATTTGCAAGTATGCATAATACAGATTTCATCTTGTTTTTTGTTTATTTTCAGTGTTCTTTCTATTTAACATTTCGATTTTATTTTTCACAACCAATTTACTTCACGTCTTCTTTATCATTTTCATTAATAATGTGTTAATTTTTTAACAATTAGACATTTTATGACGTTTTATTTTAATATCAAGGTATTGTCAGCTTCAAACGACTGAAGGGCCTTCAAATTTGCGAAATCAGTGTAAATTTAAATGTTTCATTGACTGAATATGAAATGCGCGTATACTATAATGCAATATATGCAGTCTCGTGTACTGCCTCGAGACGCATTGGCACATAGCCAATAACTTTTTAAATTTCGTCAAGTCGTTTGACTTCAACACTTCGCGCTCTCGGTGAGACGAATGCAATTAGTTCAAACCTCAAACTTGGGTAATTAAACCTTTATGATACACGACGCAAGCATAAGTTGCAAGAGTACATAAAAATAAAAGGTTTACCTATCAGGTGTAAGACAATATCCTCTCTCAGCACTGTCTCGTACTTCGCCAAAAACATGCTTGCGAACGCCCTTATGCTTCTATTTCTACTGCCATCGAATGGTTCCGGATCGGCCATTAGATTCGCTGTCGCCAACGATTCTAATGCTTCCCGTAGCCTAAAATCCTTATTTGGTCATGGAAAAAAGTTTGGTTTCAAAAAAGTTATCCCCAAAAAAACCAAAAGTTTCTAACCTTTTGAGCGGTACTGTAAATCGAATTCGCAAAGTGCTCAAATTTGCAAATACATGTGTTCTGATGCATGCATGGAGTCCGAGGATCCATAGAAGGCATACAGCTTGGTCTGACGAAAGCTGATTCCATTGAGCTGCGGCAAAACGGCGTGTGACAAGGGCTGTATAATCCTTGCGATTCACTCCATCGAAGAAAGCTCATAGCGAAGTCGCCAGCGACTTCGTCTCATCGTGAAGTTTCCTCAACGTTTCTCTGCGTCGGGGAAGTTGACATCGGCATGGGTCCGCTGCAGAAGGAAGCTTCGGAACTGCTCAGCTTATTTGTTCTCGAGCTTGGAAACGACTATGCGTGGGCTGGTAGCGTCGTCAAGATCCTTGCCATCAATGTCGATGATGTCGTGATAGCGATCAAACCAGGCATTGAATGTTTCACCATCATCCGGACAGTAGTGGAACGTCGAAATTCGATGCGACAGCGAGTTGATGATGCTTTTAATGTCCGACTGCTGCTCCCGCTGGGTGAATGCAGCACTGATCGCATTGAGAAACTGTTGCTGTTGTTGTTTGGGATGTTGCTTCAAGAACTGTGCGAGAGTTTCTTTGTCTATAGTTGATAATCGTAGATATATTGCCGTTATAGCTTCTTTTCATCCTGATCGCCAGTTGTTGTGTCTTTTGGAGAACGCCAACGTATGAAAGCGTTTTTTAGACACAAACTCAAAGCCGAAACTAAAACTAAAAGAGAGCCTGAAAGCTTTTCTTATGTAGCGCTTCTATACCTTGATAAGGCCGTCGGTCACGCTATGTTGATTCTTGTCACAGCTCCAATATTGATGATGTTTGAATAAAATATGCCCTCTTATTGTGTGAAACATGGAAAATATTTACAATTGCAGATTTCCTTTTGCGTATTTTCTATCAATTTTAATTACTTTTTTCCAATATTGTACTCCGATAGATTTACGTGAATGCGTCTTTCATCATGGTCTCCTCACGCCATATGTTGATCCTCAATTTTTTTGGTTTTTATTTGAAATGCTAGCTTTTTTTGATGAGATTAACAATGTAATCGCCGCTATTAGTAGTTACTGAAAACAGAAACTATGCGAAGTCAAAATTGTGTATCTAGTTTTCGAATGGCCGAATCATGGAACAGCATTCGTCAGAGGATTCAAGAGTACTGTGCCGGACTATCATTGATTTCGAACGGATACTTACTAGTACTCATCAAGTACAAATCTCCGCCACAACTTGGTTATTATAAATATTTGATGATGTACATTGCGATATTTGAAATCCTCTATTCAGCGGTAGATTATTTCGCAAAACCTATCATTTTATCATATAAATCAATTTATATCGTGTTTATCGATGTCAAGAATTCAATATTTTGTCGAGATTTCAATGTATTTCTAAATGGTATCAATTGCTGATATTAGTATTCACAATTTGATTCAAAAATACGTCATTTGAGATTTTTTTTGTGGATTGTTTGGATTCTCAATGGCCATATTTGGCATAAACTTTATTTATCGATATGCAGTGACAAATAGGTTCCCTAAGAAATCTATATTTTTTTTTCTAAATTTATTTCTATTTTAGCGTAATCTTCAAAAAATACTTCAGCAATCGTTTCATATGTGGTTGGTTTTCGATTCCGGTGTTTTATTGCCTTTTATGGATGCTAACTACGCATTCGACTTTGGGACCATGGGATCAATTCACCGAATTTATTAGGTATTTTTTCTGTTTTGATCTAAAACTAACACAATCACTGCGTATTATAAACTAAGGGGCATTCTCAAACAGTATTTAAGAAAATGAATTGTTGCCGTATAACAAGTATATTTTAGAGAGCCCGTTCATCAAAAGTTCAAAATCAATGTCGATGACATTGTCTACATTGGCGCATATTATTTTCCGCTAGATGAAAATGGAAACCAATATCTCAATTATTATACCCTATTTGGAATGTTGATACTAACATTGATGACGGTATGGAAGCTCATTATCAAAAAAAATTTTTTTAATAGACGAGCTCAATGTTCTGTGTTTTCTGGTTTGGCCAAAAATGCTACTGTCAAATCCACGAGCTTGCACATGTTGTGAACTCGAAGACGACGAAACGTCTGCAGAGGCAGCTATTGAATGCTCTAGTTGTGCAAGTAACAAAACGATTAATTCAAATAATTAATTTCGCCTGAAGACCCTAATTCCTGTTGTCCTTATGTACATACCGATCACATTCCTCTTCTCTGCCCCATACTTTGAACAGAGTTTCGAGTTCGGCTCGTGCTGCATCAACATTACAGTCGCCGTTTATCCCGCTATCGACGCATTCCCCACATTGTTCATCATAGCAAAATATCGGAATGTGACTCTAAGTAGGGTTGGCTGAAAATGAAACTATAATTATTTTTTGTTTCAAGGCTTCTTCAAAAATGTGCGCAAATCGTTTGCCACGAAGTTTTTGAGCCTTCAACTGAGCAATATAGCCAGTTCTGGAAATCAAATTTAACAGCATGAAATCACGACAATTTAGTATGCACAACGCATTTCAGATTATCATAAAATGTATAATTGTTAAAAAATTAACACATTAGAAATGAAAATGATAAAGAAGACGTGAAGTAAATTGGTATTGAAAAATAAAATCGAAATGTTAAATAGAAAGAACACTGAAAATAAACAAAAAACAAGATGAGATCTGTATTATGGAAACAGAAAAATAAAACTTCGATATCAATATCGTGAAACTCTTAAGCATATGTATGTTGATATGAGAGGTTTTATTTTTCTGTTTTCATAATATAGATGCCATCTTGTTTTTTGTTTATTTTCAGTGTTTTTTATTTAACATTTCGATTTTATTTTTCACAACCAATTTACTTCACGTCTTCTTTATCATTTTCATTTCTAATGTGTTAATTTTTTAACAATTAGACATTTTATGACGTTTTATTTTAATATCAAGGTATTGTCAGCTTCAAACGACTGAAGGGCCTTCAAATTTGCGAAATCAGTGTAGATTTAAATGTTTCATTGACTGAATATGAAATGCGCGTATACTATAATGCAATGTATGCAGTCTCGTGTACTGCCTCGAGACGCATTGGCACATAGCCAATAACTTTTTAAATTTCGTCAAGTCGTTTGACTTCAACAATATTCTTCTAGAATCTATGCAAAAAAAAATGCATAGCAATACAATTGTCAATCATTTTTTTTTCGTTTCAATAAACTCGAATTATTTTTTCAGAAATTTCGCGTCGTCATTTTCGGTCAAAAAATTATTCCTGTCAATCGCAATAAACAATGAATCCCAAATCGTATGAACTTCTGTGTGCCGTCCTTCTCGGCTCCGGTCAGCTGTGCATTATGACTGGGTTCGATGCGGAGGTGAATGCGTCTTTAAACTATGTCCCGAGTCTCATTGCTTTTTTTCTCATTTTTTTGGCACATTGCCAACTGCGCGATTTTTCGCGAACTCCAATAGGTTTGTGAAATCTTGATTCAGAGTTTCATATTGGAATCCGTAATCCATTCGATCCATGAGCGAAAATCAAAATAAATCGATGGGTTCAAGTATTCTACCAAGGTCAAGGCTCATATTTGGCATCGCATTCGACGCGAGACACAATTGAGCAAAATGTATCGATATCCTGGTCGATTGGCTGCTTCTGGTATTTCCTTCCGATGGTCCTTTTTTACGTTGCGGGGAAAATGAAACAAAAAATTGTTCCCACAACGAAATCGCTCAATTATTACATTGAATCTCGAAACATTTGTTCAGTATGGTAATTGGCGCTGGAGTGATTGGAGCAATTACAACATTCACTGCTGCTGACATTGCCAAAACCGATCTGGCTGCCAATAAGACAATTGCAAAAATTGAGAGAAAGTACGGCGACATCGAAATGTAAGAAGAACAATAATTATTTTTGTTGGTAAAATGTGTAATGGCAGATTTATATTGTTCGGGGTATTCACAACCGTCTCCATATTAGGTAGCATAATCTTTGCGCTTCTTCCTTCTGAGGAAACCGAGGATTGTATCGAAGGTATTAATAAAGGCGGATCACCTTGGGATGAGTTTGGTAGGTCCCTCATAACGTCTTCAGTATTCAACAAACGTGTCGCAGTAATCACATGCGAGACCCTAATCGACTCGAATATGCTTCAATTATTCCCATTATTCGCTTTAATCGGCACCACCAACTCATTATTCATGTCGATTCTGCCAACATCGCTGCAATTCAATCTCAACAATTCCGGAATGATGTACTTGCCAGCGGTTTATAGTCTAGGTCTCGGAATCGGCGAGATTCTGAGTATCTGCCGTGGCAATTTTTGATTCGATTCAAATCACGATTTCAGTGGGAATTTTTATATCAATGATGAGCCAACGTGTCAAGAATTTTTCGCTGCGACCGACGACGACGATCGCAGTGATTCTTATGTTCATTTATTGCAGTCTCATTGTCTCTTCGACGCCATTTGATGCTCCAATGAGGCCGACGAGCGCAAAACCATTGCTCTTCTCGCAATCGTAAGAGCTCTCCCTTTCTAATCGATCTCTTATTTTTCCAAAGGGTCCCTAAAACTCAACTAGAAATTTTATTTTATTTTTTCCTTTCCAACCAAACTCTGAAAAAGTAATGTTACTTTCGATTAGCCTATACAGTCTTGAGATTGTTCGGACCAATTCAAAATCTGATCCCATCATCGGCTTGCATGTCATTGTGTCTTCAGATACTACCTAATATTCGCCATTGGCTTGCTGATCGGCCTCTCCGACAATTGCTTGAACACCTCTCGCGGAGTGATCTGCACCCTTTCAATGCCTAGCAGAGTAACTCAAGCGCACGCAATTTCAAAGCTTATACAGGTTGAAGCTTCAAATTTAATTTGCACCTACTTTTGAGTTTTGAGGCTGCCAGCTCGTGCCTGTTATTCTTCATAAGCCCGTGGCTCAACATCTACTTCTACACAATCGGTCTTCCGCTCCTCGCCGTTTTCACAGTTTTCCTATTCTTCCCACTATCAAGGACAATCGAAGAGGAAGAGGCGGACAGTCTGACGGAAACATTATCCAGTGCATCTTCTAAAATCCAATAAGTGCACCTCCTTATTTGTTATAAATTTCTCATTCTTCTTTTTTTGAAAATGATGAAATCCAAATGCGTGGTCTTTATTATGCAATCAAACTTTAGTGCATATTTTTGCATAAAATATTATTATCATCGAATTGAGAGGGGCCAACTCGGAACTGATAACGATTGACGCGGCATGATATATTTTGATGTGCTCGTTCTTATAATATCCTATTATTCGACAAACGCATATGATGCGGAAATTTATATGACAACTGTAACTCTTATTTTGACGAATAACGAATTAATGCGAGATTTCAGAACGAAATAATTGAGCGATGGGGTTATTCGATGTCGATTCATACAGTTACCACCAATGATGGATACATTCTAGAAATGCATAGGATTTCTGAAGGCAAGAGTAGGTTAAGCCAGTCATCTTTAATAGGACCTTATATTTTTTGAATTGTAGATAATTCCATCTGGAAGAATGGCAGGAAGCCAGTGGTTTTTATGCAGCATGCTTTGCTCTGTTCCAGTAGCGATTGGGTCATCAATCTTCCCCATCAAAGCGCCGCTTTTATGTTCGCCGATGCTGGATTCGACGTGTGGCTTGGAAATAGTCGAGGAAATGTCTATTCGAAAAAGCATCGCAATCTCGACCCATCGTCAGCCGAATATTGGGATTTCAGCTGGGATGAGATGGCCAAATATGATCTTGAAGCAATGATCAACAAAGTGTTGAAAGTGACCGGGGAATCGAGTATTTACTACATCGGTCATTCGCAAGGGACACTCACAATGTTCTCCCGACTCGCCGACGACGATGGAAAAAGGTTTGCTCCGAAGATTCGAAAGTTGTTCGCATTGGCTCCGGTAATGTCGGTGAAGAATATCAAAGGATTGTTTCGATTTATTGCCCAAAACATGATGTCACTTCTTGACGTAATTTCGAGAATCAAACAATTGAAATTGAATCGGTGTTCTAGGCTCATTATCGAGCTTTTGGTTCCGGTGAGTTTCTCGCCAAAAATTGGATATCAATGGGAAAATATCTCTGCGCGACGTTCATCTCGAAACTCTGCGATTCATTCATTTTTGTGATCGCCGGACCAGAGAGCAGCCAATGGAATTCGGTAGACGCAAGCTTCCGAATTTATTTTCGATTCGATTTCAGACGCGAGTGCCAGTCTACGTTAGCCAAGCTCCAGCTGGAACCTCCACCAAAAACATTTTGCATTGGATGCAGCTTGTTAATAATGGGCGAGTTGCCAAGTTCGATTATGGAGCTGGCAAGAATCTCGAGAAATATGGGCATGTGAGTCCACCGGCATACAACTTCTCAAATATTCAAGGAACTCGAATTCATATTTATTGGAGCGACAGCGATTATCTGGCGGATAGTGAGGATGTGACCCAATATATTTTAAAATCGCTGAATCCTGATGTTCTAGAGGTTCTTGATTTTTTTTTTGGTTGATATCTGTGATAACTGTTTCAAGGAAAATATTCATTTGAGCGGCTTCAATCATCTCGATTTCACGTGGGGTCTGCGAGCTGCCGATGAGATCTACAAACCGATCATTCAAACGTGTACAGACGATTATAAAAATAGCATAAATATCGAACGGTAATAAAATTCATAATTTTGCCGGTTTTTATTGGCGAACAAAACATTTTTCTGAATTCGCTTTTTTTTATAGAGAACGTCAAAGCTTTGCGTATTATGACGGTATATCAATTTCCAAAACACTGCTATTCTCCATTTTGGTAGTTGTGTTTACTTATAAATTTTATTTCCGGTTTCATGTGAACCGCGTTTGATTGCTTTTTTCTTTTCGGAATACCGATTACAGTATTCTGAATGTCGAAGCAAACGCGCTCTATGGCTAATAACAACTGGAAAAAAATTAACAGCCTAATATTGTCGGCGTCAAACGACTTGATGGGGGCGTGGCCTTCAGTATATCGTAACCTGTGTAGATTTACGAGCGGGTAGATTTACGCGCTGACCAAATATTAAATGGTTTTTTTTTCGATTTTTTAATATTAAAAAAATGTTATGCGTGTTTTAATCCTGATACCCATTGTCATTTGCATTCTTATAATGAGTCGACCTCCATATATACGTAAAAGTTCACGGAACTAACGGCATTTACTTAAACAAACGAGAGAAACGTACATTTATCGAATATCTTAAGAGCACCACAACAATGTTTTATTTACCGTAAAAATAGTATGAAAATTATTGTTCAAAGGGGAAAGTCATCCGATTAATTGAGAATTCTCGAAATGCACCAAGACGCCGCACAATTGAAACTTATAACCGAAAGCCAAACGAGCGTTGATTCCAATCACCTAAAACTAGTAATAACTTCACAATGAATACAAAATTAAAAAGAAAACTGAGTCTACAAAGATTAAAAAAATGATAACGTACCTTTCGGAAGAAGCTTGAAGTCATTGAGTATATTTTTTCCTTTCCCTAGTATTGATGAAGCTGTGAAGTACCGAGGCGAGCATACAGTTCAGAATTTTGTGTCCGTTGGAGGTTGTCTTCGAGGTTGCGCGAAGGGTTCAATATTTGATGCCATTGTAGTCGTTGAAACTATAATGATGAAATAATGACAATTTTAAATAAAAATAAAATAATACCCGTCTTGTTAACTTCAGTAGTTTAAAAAGTCCTTCGGCTCCTGTTCAATATGATTGTGTTTCCTAAAATGTACTAAAAATTAAGAAACGGAAAATGATGAAGAATAAGTTTTTACAATGTCAAATTAATTAAAAAATGCCTTTAAATATATGAAAATTTTAAACTATCAATTAGCGATTATAAAAATGTAAGATAAACCGTAAAAATAAAAGAAATTTACCAATAAAAAAAAGAGATACAGAAAAATTCTCAAAAAATAACGCGCCCAAAAACACGCTGCGCAAAACACGCTGCAAAGTGTATGCCACATACACTTCTCTTCGCCTCGAGAAATCTGGCAATTAGCCAATATTTTTTTTAATTTCGTCAAGTCGTTTGACGCCGACAATAGCATTTATTGAGAATTATCAACAAGTTTAACAAATAATGAGAATTACATAGAATAGAAAAAAGAAACGAAAAGCAATTCCATGGGAATCAGACGAAGAACAAAAATGTATAGGTAAGCCCGTTGGTTTTGTCTGCTTGAGTGCTGGCCGGCAAAAAATGACATGAGTATTCCGAATGCGTTTCAGAAATATTGTGTTAGAAATGAAAATGAGAACGGTGGGGTGATCTTTCAATGAATCGGCGTCGTCGGAATCGATCGATCGCCTTTGAAATATGAATACTCTACCTAAATATTTTTGTGAGAAAATTTCTACAATTGTATACATTTTGTTGTGGTTAAATCTAGTCAGTCATTTTTTTTGTTCCATTGATTGATTGGTGGGGGTTGGGGTGCGATTAGATGGCGTTCTCGGAGACCGACACAGTCCTTGTCGAGTTGGACGAGGCGAAGCTCGATTTCTTTGCTTCGAACCTCTCCTGACGAGCGGCTTGCGCGAGATTCCGCTTCTTGTGGCTCATGAACAACATCTCGACCTCATCGATCGAGTAGCCCGTCGTCTCCGGAACGAGGAAATAGATGAACACAAATGCAATTGCCGTGAACACAGCGTACAGCCAGAAAGCTCCTGAAATAGTGGAATAGAATTCTTGAATATACAAAATGATGGGCTACCGTATTTGGTAATAGCGTGAGTTAGAGAAAGGTAGGTTAAAGCGATGATCAAGTTGAATACCCAGTTGGAAAGTGTTGAAATTGATACACATGTGCTTCTAGCCCACATTGGGTAGAACTCGGAGTTGAGAACCCATGGAAGAGAAGTGAATCCTGAGGAGAAGGTGAGCAGATAGACACCCATCATGACAATTGGGAGGATGGTGAAACTTGTGGTGCAATGATGCTTTTGCCACTCGTACACATTGGTGCCGTTTCCGAAAGTCGAATTGAATCCCTTTTGGCAGATGCCGGTGCTTGAAGCGCCAGTGACGTCGGTTGGATTGACCGGAAGGCAGAAGCCGGTGCGGGTTTCAGAGTCCTCGCAGAAACCGCAAGCTTCGGAAGTCACGCAGGCGTCGCAATTTCTGAAATCGAATGTGGTGTGACACATTGGAATTAGATATTGGATTACAATTGCTGAAGGCAGAAATCCGCGTCATGTGCCTTTGGATCATAGTTTCCAGCAAGATGATATTCAGCGATGGAGAAGTTTGGAGCGGAATCCTACAAAATTGAGACGTCTCAATATATATTGAAGATTCGCAATTCTCACATTTCCGACGAGGAGGAAAGAGACGCCGATGAGAACCAACGAGATAACGACACCGGCGCACGAGAAAAGGAAAAGCTTGCGACGTCCGAATTTCTCGATCATCGTCATCGGCACGAATGGGCCGATGAGATTGCAGATGGAGAGGATCACTGAGATCCAAATAACAGTGTGGTAGTTTTCGATTCCCGCTGATCTGATAATATCGGCGGTGTAGTAGAGAATCGTGTTGATTCCTGCGAGCTGCTGGAACGCTTGAAGCATACTACCAATGAAGCACGCCTTCAAGACATGCGGGGTTCTGAGAATTCTCCAAATCACCGGTCCGGATTCTAAAAAATAAACAAAAATCTAGAAATTCTGAAAAGATGAATGCCACACTCTTTTCCTCTTCCATTTGCTTCTTTCTCTCCTCGGCGTAGCTCTTGATCTCAGCGAGTTCGAACTCGACCCATTCCTCGTTGCCACTGTAGATTTTCTTGAGGACCTCGTGCGCTTGATCAACGTGTCCGTGCTCGTAGAGCCATCTTGGGGTCTCTGGCAAAAAGATGAAGCAGACGAATTGAATGACGGCTGGCACGGCGGCGAACGCGAACATCAATCGCCATCCAACAGTGTAGGGCGACGCGTAGCTGAAGATTCCTCCCATCACATTCGCAACGACTTGTCCGAAGCTGATCATCATGGCGAACGCGGACACCAAGATTCCTCTGACGTGCGTTGGAGAAGCTTCTCCCAAGTAGACCGGAACAACCATTGAAGCGAATCCGATTCCGACTCCAAGGAAGATGCGACCGATGAGCATAATAACTTTGGTCCAGGCAATCGCGCAGACGACAGCTCCAATAATAAAGATGATTGTGGATCCGATAATGATGGTCCTTCTTCCATAGCGATCAGATCCAGTGCCGGAGAACAACGCGCCAACGGCAGCCATTCCCGGCGTTATACTAACAATGATTTCCTGCCATACCGTACCCATCGGTTTGAGACCCGGCGATTCGGGAACATAGAGCATAGCAGCGGAGACGACGCTAGTATCATATCCGAAAAGGAATCCGCCGATGATGGCGGCGAATCCAAGAAGGTAGACGAAAAACTGAAGTTTTGGGTTCGAGGTAGGCCTTTCTCGCCCGCTCTCAGACATTTTAAACTCCTAAAAAATGGGATGAAATTTAAAAAAAAAGAAAAATTGAACTCACTATTGCAACCATATTTGGAGAATCGGTTGAGAATGAGGTGTTATTGTTGATCGACGAGACGTTTTATAGCAATTTGTGGCGGCCCACCCCGCTCTCGGAGTGGGTGGAGTTGTGTGCGAGTTTGATCTCGACGAGGTACGGTAGCCGCGAGACGCAGACCGTTCTGCATATTCTATAAAGGTTAAGCGGATTGCGAGCGATTGTGATTCATGAAGAGACGGCGAACGGCGCGAGCGCGATTTTTAATAATCGCCGCTGCGTCTTTTTTTAGGATTATTCAAATTTCGAAAAAAAAAAGAACTGAATTTTTGATTCTCATCTCATTGATTTTTCCCTTCCATTGATCAATTCAAATCGCTTTTTGATCTACATAATATAATTTGGGTCCCTTCGAGTAATGTAGCTTAAAGGACCACTGGAAAAATTTGAATTTAGAATGTCAATTTTAAAAGGTCTGTTTCAAAAAATAATACGGCTACGAAAATCGATCGCTGCAAGACCCAACCATTTTTTCATATTTTGATTTTCACAACCGGACCATAAAATTTTTTTCTACGCAATTTTCGAATATCAAAAATTAATGACTGGCCACTGGTAAAAAATCTGAAATTGGATTTTTTTTTGCATTTCGAAAAAAAATTATGAGTACGGTAATTAAAGACGCGTGCAATTGAGAGTTTGGGTCTCGTGGCGACCAAAACTGGTCGTTTTTTTTTTTTGAAAAAAAATTATATTATTGTTGTCAAATTTTTTTTAGCTGACTTCAAAAATCGAAAAATTGCAACCAACAATGTTTGCATCGAGATAAATCATCCATTTTTTTCTGACGACCAGTGTAAAATAAATACGGTTTGGTGTGATCTAGTTCAACAATTTTTAATAATTCTCATGATTTTTGTACTCCCTTTTGTTATATAAAAATTTTAAACTGAATTTATTATTCTATATCAATAAAAGTTTCCATAGGAAATAACCAATTGAAAGACATTTGTTTAAATAATTAATATAAAATTTGAAATTAAATTAATTAATATTTCGACGCGTATGATGAGATGCTGCCAAGTTTCGATCGGATTTCTGTAAGGGTTTCTCGTCGTCGGGATACTGTGGCTCTTCGTTTCTTTTTGCTCATAAACAACATTTCCACCTTTAATTGTTTTTGATTGAAATTCATTTTCCATCTCATTTTTTACCTCATCAATCGAATATCCTTTCGTTTCAGGAACGAGGAAGTAGATGAACAGAAATGCGATTGCAGTGAATCCGGCATACAACCAGAATGCTCCATATTTGGTGATAACTTGAGTTAGAGAAAGGTAGGTTAAAGCGATGATCAAGTTGAATACCCAGTTGGAAAGTGTTGAAATTGATACACATGTGCTTCTAGCCCACATTGGGTAGAACTCGGAGTTGAGAACCCATGGAAGAGAAGTGAATCCCGAGGAGAAGGTGAGCAGATAAAAGCCCATCACGAAAATTGGGACAAGCGTGAACCGCGTGTTGCAATAGTACTTTTGCCATTTGTAGGCGTTTGTTGAAGACGCTAAAAATTTGCATTTTTTTTCAAGCCTCTTGTGGAATTCAACTACCATTTTTTGCCGATCTTGAGCATTCGCCAGTACTTGACGAGAACGATGGATCGTCAGAAGCCGGCAAGCAGAAGCCTTCGCGAGTGTCCGGATCATGGCAGAATCCGCAAGCATCGGTGGTCACACAAAAATCGCAATTTCTGAAGCAATGGTATTTATTTACGTCTTCTATGTAGTTTATCATTATCGACTAAAGTTTGTAGCACAAAATTTGAATTACAGTTTCAAAAAAAAAAAACAGTGAGTGGTCCGTAGAATCCCCAGAGTGCTCGTTTTTTTCTTGCGATAATATTTGGCAGTTCAGCGCATTTTTTGTTTCCTCTTCAAAAAAACGACGAGATTCACGTCACAGTCGGAGAGGGAAAAAAAAATAGATTTTCCGAAATGTTCATCGCATGCATAATGCATGATTCTCTGTGTCGTTTGCCCTCTCAACCGTCGCGCTCGATGAACCAAAAGGGAAAAGAAGGAAACGCACGTGTATTCCATACAGTGTTTGGCGTCGGCAAACGACGAATTCCAGGCGTTATCAGCCGCGTATTTTTCGGCGGAAAATGTTGCGGCCGAGTCCTGCAATTTTTAGAGGTTATTTTTGTTCAATGATCGATCGGAATGCTTGAATTGCTCACATGATTGACGAGCAGAAACGCGACGCCGATTAGGATTAGAGCGACAACGACGGCGGCGCACGAGAACAGAAACAGTATCCGGCGGCCGACGCGCTCGATGAGACTCATTGGCACGAATGGTCCGATGAAGTTGCACACCGACAGGGCCACCGAGATCCAAATCGTCGTGTGATTATCACTGACTCCAGAAGATCGGATAATATCGGCGGTGTAGTAGAGAATCGTGTTGATTCCTGCGAGCTGCTGGAACGCTTGAAGCATACTACCAATGAAGCACGCCTTCAGGACATGAGGCGTTCTGAGAATTCTCCACAGTATCGGCGTCTGCCCAAGAGGTGTCATCTTATCCTTTTTCTGATCTTCGGTGAACGCCATGATGTCTTCCAATTCAAACTCGACCCATTCGTTGTCGCCGTTGTAAACCTTCTCAAGAACCTAAAAAGATCTTAGTTTTAGGATCGAGCATGATCTTCGGGACCTCTCGAGTTTCTTGCTCGTAGCCATGCTCGTAAAGCCATCTTGGTGTCTCTGGCAAGAAGATGAAGCAGACGAATTGAATTGCAGATGGAACAGCGGCGAATGCGAACATCAATCTACAAGATGTATGTCCAAACAAATTTTGATCTACATTTTGCCCATTATGGAACTCGCTCGTATTGACGACTATTCCTACATAAACATTGGACGGAACTGATAAATTGTTTTCAAAACAGCTCCACGTTTTTTTTATGGAATAACAGAATTATCGGCGAATCAAAAACTGCGTACCTCCATCCAATCGTGTACGGCGCAATGTAACTGAACGCCCCGCCGGTGACATTCGCGACGACTTGGCCTCCACTGATCATTAGGGCGAATGCTGAAACGAGCATTCCTCTGACATGCGTCGGCGCGGTTTCTCCCAAATAAACCGGGACGATCATTGAAGCAAATCCTGAATTTGACGCTCATTTTTCGACGATCGCATCACTTCTCTCTACCGATGGCAATTCCCAATAAGATTCGCCCGATTAAAAGCATAATTTTGTTGACCGAAGCGGCGCAGACGAGCGCTCCGACGGTGAAGATGAATGAGGCGCCCAGGATCACCTTGCGTCTTCCGAATCGATCCGATGAGACGCCGGACATCAGTGATCCGACGGCCGCCATTCCTATGAATTATGCATGAGTGTTTATCGAAATGTTGAATTTTAAAGAGCGCCAAAATAATCATCGTAGTTGATAAGCGAGAAGAACATTTAAAGATCATTGCTGGTCTTATCAATTTCGAGTCGTAGTAGGAAGTTAGTTAAAAGGTACGGCTGTCTAAAAATAATTTTGAAGCTATAATTATGCTGATTTCGAGAAATTTTTACTTTTATATATAGTCTGCGCCCGGCGACTATTGTACGCGGGTACATTTACGGGATGCGTCTTTCTCTTGGTATCGCGTGGATTAAAATAATTTCGAAAGGCGTACTCGTAAATCGGACTATATTTTTTAAAAGCTTTTTTTCTGATTCCAAGTGTATGCAAACATTGATTTAAAATAATTTTTGAATTTGATTGCTTATTCCAGAAGTAATGTAAATTTGAAATTCGCAAGCTGCTCGAATTTCAAAAGAAACGTCTGTCTGAAAATTTTTCGCGGGTATTTCTCGTGAGGAAAACCTCATTCGATGACCTTATTCGTCTTCATACAAAGTGTTTAGGTGCTTCCAAAATTTCGATGTGAATTCACAAACCTGGCGAAATGCTCACTAAAATCTCCTGCCATACGGTGTTCATCGGTTTGAGACCCGGCGCTTCCGGAATGTAGAGCATAGCAGCAGAGACGACGCTAGTATCATAGCCGAAGAGGAATCCACCTGAAATCCTCGGTTCTCTTCAGATCTCTACATAAATGGCATTCTCACCAATAACAGCGGCCGATGCGAGAATATATACAAATAGTCCGAGCTTTGGAGTGCTTGTCGGCCTGTCGCGATCGCCGCGTGAAACTGCCGCCTAAAAAAACGACGGCTGGAAATCCCAGGAGAAACCTCGACGGCGAAAAACTTACGATTGCGACCATTGAGGTAAATCCGAGTAATTCCTGATAAGACGGCCTTATATATGCGGCTTGGGATGTTGAGAGACGCAGACATTTGATAACATTTTATGGAAATTCTCTAATGAACATGATATCGTAAAAAAGCTTATGCCAGCAAGATCACACTTATCGAAGAGGTGGAAAAGCGTGTCAGTGATTTCTAAAAATCAGCGACGCTTATCAATTTTATTGCACATGGCCGAATGTGATTTTTGAAGGGGCAAAGCAGCATTTAACGTTTACTCAAATAAAATCAGGATTTTGATCATTAAAAGTCGATTCGTACTGTTCTGCAACGTCAAGAAACCGGTGCCGATATGGGTTCACACGTCAACCAAAAAATTGTACTTTTTTCTGTTTTATTCGAGAATGTCATAAAATTTGCTGAAAGCCTGACTTTTGCATAGAGCCTGCACGAGTTTCGCGATAATTAATAAAGTGCAAAGTGGAAATCAAAAATGACCAATTCTAAAAGGAAATTCAAGAACTTCAATTATCGGTCATCTCATTCGCGCCTCATTTAAGATCCAACTTAGCAGGTTATTCAGATTCAAGGATTTCATTGGGAATCTTTAATTCTGAAAATTTCAATGTCCATTTTTTTACAACCTTGCGTTGGAAAAAATGTGTAATTTTAAAACCTTTTTTATACACGAATAATAGCAACATTGATGTTCACATTTTTTTCTCATTTTCGTTTTTCAGTTCAATTTTTGAGTCTACAAGAACCTCTTTTTTATGTATTATTTTTCCTTCGAAAAACGTGTACAATTTTTGGCCTCCGTGGGAAACATTTTGGCCAAGAGAAACCCTGATTATAAATTTTTTAACCCGATTAGTGATGATTGGTCTTCTTTAAATTAAAAACTAAGAAAATTGAATAACACAACGAAAAAATGATATTTTTTGCTTTCCATTCGATTGAGTCACTACCGTTTCTCAGTTGCCGCTTCGCCGAAAACACTAATTTGTTTCTGTTTTTTTTTTCAATCATGATTTTTTTTTTGGAAAATTTGCTTTTCAAAATCAAGAAATCAAAATACCCGCGTTTCAATTCGCCGAGTTGGAGGACATGTGCGGTTCGAGATGAGTCCCGCGAACACGTGAACGCAAAATTGCACACATTACACTCTTCGAAATGTTCCCAAACACGAAAAATTTGCATTTTGTGTCCTTGAAAGATTTAAATTGAAATTTCTGAAAATTTTGAAAAAATGGGATTCCTAACTATTTTCCAAATTCGTCGATGAAATCTCTTTAAAAATCTTTTTAAAGTTTTTATATTCAAAAAGTTTAATGCTTTATTTTAAAAAGAAGAATAGAAAAATCACTGGAAATCAATTTTTGAATTTAAACTTTGAAATAATCTTTCAGAACTTCCAAGTAATTCAAAAATGTTTTCTAATTCTCACCCAGCGTACCTAAATGATCATAGATCAAACCCCGAAAATTGTTTCCACGAGACTCATAATTATGCAATACTTCAACTAACTATTCCAATTTTCAATGATCGATTAATATTTTGATCTGTGTATTACAACAAAATAATAATTGATGGTTAAACCATTCGGGCCACTCGGCACTCCCATGCGCCAATGTTCATCGTCGTGGTGATTTTCAAAAAAACTATTTTTGCGCATAGATTATCCGGTTCATCGTCCATCCGTTATTACATTAACTCCGCTACAAATACACACACACACACACACAATGCAATTTTCAATAATCGTTGTAATCGGTTCACATGATAAACACGTTGGCCGGAAAAAAAAATGGTTGTGTTGCCATAATCAGCGTTTTTCACAGGGGGTTTTTATGATCATTCATGACAATTGTTCAATAATCGACATTCAATTTTGGCTGCGATTGAAGCGATCCGTGCTCTGAACGAGCTCAATACTGTCGGCGAGAAGTGCCGCCGCTTTGCGTGGAAGAAGGCTGAAATTGAATGAAGAATAGAAAATTGAGAAAAAAAAACCAACCCTCCACCAGCGATCAAAAAGTGTATGATTCTCGGCATCGCGATGTATTCGCGATTGATCAGAACCGATTCCAAGATCTTTCTGGCCACATAGTCTTGTTCAAGAACAGCGAGAATCGAGGGAATCCTGCAAAACATTTTTCACATACTTATCGACTCATTATTGGTTGATTAATAAAACGAAATTGCATTCGCCTCATTTTTATAGCTCTTTTGTTCCGTGCTGTCAGTCGTACTTTGTCTTCACTCCATTTCCATCAAACATATTCGTGTTGATGTAATAAGGGCACACGAGTGTCGTCATCACTCCAGTCTTTCCAGTTTGAACAATTTCGGCTGTCAGCGAATCATGGAATCCCACGACGCCATGTTTTGAAGCAGTGTAGTCGATCTAGAATCTATTCTTTCCCCCCAATTTCTTATTGCGATTCAGACCAATCCCGCTGAGGCGACTTTTCCGGCAATCGACGCCACTGTCACAATGTGACCATTATTGGTCTCGAGCATTCCTGGTAGGAAGCATTTTGCGATATGGAAATGGGATTTTGCGTTGATTGCAAACGATCTCTCAATCATTTCATCTGTGCAATCGAACAATCCTTTTCCTGAAATGCGCAATTTTCAAGGAGAAGAAGACAACGGAATTTTAACTTCATACCGTTCGCAATTCCAGCATTGTTGATAACAATATCAACCTTTCCGCATTCTTGTTTCACCAAATCCGCAGCTTTATAGATTCTTTGAGGAATGCTGATATCAACGGTATAACCTTTCGCCTGTAAAATTGAATGCCCGGATGAAAATGTAAAAAGCTTACGCTAAATCCCATGTCTCGAAGTTGACGAAGAGTTTCTTCATTTCCAGCGGTATTCACATCCCACATGATCACGTTGCATCCGTATTTCGCGAATTCCTTGGCGAGCTCGCGGCCAACTCCACTTCCAGTTCCAGTGATCAAAACGTTTTGACCTACATAGTTATACATAATTAATTACATCTATATGTACTTGGCAATTCGATCGGGACGAACAGTGGTTGGTTTTGGTTCAAACATCGGGGTTCAAACTTTTTTACATTACCAATACGACACTCCAATTTGGCATCGCCCTCAATTTAGCGTGTCGAGCTAACCCGTGGGCGTTTTTTGTTTCGCCTAATTTTATTTTTCCCCTGTTCGTCCCAAAATGTTTCGCCGGTTATCTCAAGCCAAAAGGGGTTCAATATTGGTCTCGAATCGATGGAAATATACAAAAATAAGGAAAACTGATAAAATTGAAAGAAACCCCGTTTTTCGTATATTCTCAACTTATTTTGGATTTTTAAATATTTGTTTGATCTCATTTTCTCCCAATTTGAAATACCCTATATCATCAGTTGAATCAAATTAAATGTTAACAAAAACCCAAGGAAATTGAAAAATTGGGAAAGTTGTGAAAAAAAGAAGAAATCAAAAAAAAATTTTACTGAGAAATAAGACAAATCACCAGGTGTGCTGCGTTCCAGAATGCAGAAGGATTCCACGACGTCTGAGTATATATTTTCAGACAATTGGAAATTTAAAAACTTTTTTGGGTTCAAATTTAAAACTTTAAAATTTTTTATTTGATTTCTTCACAATCTGAGGGCCTCGGGACAAACATGGGAGCCCGACACGCTAAATTGAGGGCGATGTGTAATTGGAGTGTCGTACTGTTAGGGTAAAAAAAGTATTGGGAGAAACCGCGGAAGTTTTTTGGAACCCCCGTGGAACCCCGATGTTTTAACCAAAACCAACCATTTTTCGAAACGCTAAGATATGAAAAAAATTTTCAAAAATGTTCTCAGCTTTTAAGAAGGCCCTTGTTTTTTTTTTCTAGAATACTTCCTTACCTTTGATATTCTTCTTTTTCATTAGAAACGCCGGAGTGAGAAAGAGGACAATGGACTCGACGACGAAATAGAAGAACTTGAGAGCGATCACGATTCCGCGAAATAATTGGCACATGTCGTCTGGAAATTGCCGACTGAATTTGACCGTTTGGGAATATCAAATAAATAGTCGCAATAAAACCGGACTGAATCGTAAACTACATGAAAAAACGGAGGTTCCGAATTAATGTGAGTGCGTGGTAGACAGTATACGAGAATAAAAAAAACTAATCCAGACTATTTAATCGTGTCTAGCCAATTTCACGCTGGTGTTCACTTTTACCGACGCGGCGGTCTTGAACGTGTCGAACTTGGGCAAATAGTCTACAGTTTTTTTTTTGCCCAGATGGTCGCCATTAGAAAATGGATGTGTCTACCTTGACTCTCAAAGTTCGATGGAAGTTCTTTTAAGAAAAAAAAGTAAAAGTAGTTTGCCGGCAAATAATGCTACGAAGTCTCAAATATTCAAATTTGAGACAACATTTCGGCGAGAGGGTTGGTTTTTTTTTTTTGGTTAAAAAAAATAAAAATTCTGAGCAACTTAAATCCAGATCGTGTTTCAGGCTGGGTTTTTTGAAAAGAAAAACTTTTAAAAAATTTTATAATAAAAAAAAAAACAAAACTCACCAATGTGTGGTTTTGTCAAAATATTTTCTTGTTTTGCGTTCATCGCCGCGTCTGCAAATATCAAATCTTCAAGGTCAAAAAAGGATTTTTCAAAAGTGATATTAGAAAGATTCGAAACCAATCTAATCTTCAATGAAAAATTATGATAGTGCAAAACGAAATAGGAGAGACGTTTCTGAAAGAAAACACCAATGACAAAATCGGTGTTATGAGCCTTTAATCGATTTATTTTCATGTATTTAAATTGCGCAATTTAATTGAGTTTGTTTCTTCACAAAATTCGTAATATTCGAATAATTGAAAAATTCAAGTGCGCGTTACATCTGTGCATACACATCCACGAAAAATTGCACACATTCTCAATATTTATAATATTATATATGTATATCTTTTAAAAATGCGACTCTTCGAAATGTTCCCAAACATGAAAAATTTGCATTTTGTGTCCTTGAAAGATTTAAATTGAAATTTCTGAAAATTTTGAAAAAAATGAGATTCCTAACTATTTTCCAAATTCGTCGATGAAATCTCTTTAAAAAACTTTTTAAATTTTTTTATTTTAAAAAAGAAGTAAAGAAAAATCAAGCGGTGGAAAAGTAAAGCAAAATCTTAAAAAAAATCAAGTTTATTTGTACTGTCTATTTACACATTTATTTGTGTTTTACAACACTTAAAACTTGAAAAAAAAAAACAAAAAAAAAACATACACGTTGATTAGAAATATTAAAAGAAGCAAATATAATGAAAAATAGAACAAATAAAAATGTGACACACTGAATGAGCCGCTTATGAATTAATAGAAATGTTCACTCAACCTTCTGACGTCCTTTGAATTCATCCATCGACGAATTCGAGCCAAAGTAATCGGCAAGAGCTGAATAAAGTTCGAATGGGAGAATTCTGAAAAAAAAATCGATTCTTTCAGAATATTGGATTAAATAGAATTACCCGACAAGCGCCGTAATAATATAACAAGATCTTGGCATGATCAGCAATGGTCTATCAGTGAGAATGGCCTCCATAATGCATTCAATAACATAGTCTGGTTCAAGAATTGGGAAAAGAAGCGGAGATCTGAAACCCATCAATTCTTTTTTTTTTTCAATTTCCATATTTTGCCAATGCGCAGTCAGGCGATATGCCCATCGACTTGAAACAAAAAAAGTTTGTAGTTTGGTTTTTTTCAAATAGTCTATTTAAAGTTTTTAAAACTCTGTGTCTTTTTGAAATTATTGAGCAACCCTTTTTGAAATTAATTGTGCAATCACGATGACGGAATCTTGCACAATTTCATCTATAGCGCGTTCCCCAAAAATAGCAGCTAAGAGACTTTGTGCAACATAGAATGATTACGGTAGCCGCCTTTTTTGGGGTGCATTCTTTCAATATTCAATACTCACTATGTTTTTCTTTCTGATTAATTTAAAATTTGTTTGGTCCAAAAATATGTATATTGACATAGGTTTCGAATAATAGATTCCTTAAACCTTCAGTTTGAAAAATAGTTCCTCCTTGATAATTATTTTTTGAAATTATATCCCCGTCACCCGTTTGAAACTCACTTGGTTTTGACACCATCAAACATTCCAGTGTTGATGAAGAACGGGCACACCAATGTTGTTTTGACTCCAAACTTCTTCTGATGGGCAATCTCCATCGTCAATGAGTCATGATAGCCACAAGCTCCGAATTTCGAGGCGCAATAATCCACCAATCCCGCGCATCCGATTTTTCCGGCCATCGAAGCGATCGTCACAATATGGCCGGAATCTGCGTCGAGCATTTTTGGCAGGAAATTTTTCGCTGTCTAAATCGTCCAACCGTTTCAATTTAATTAGTTTTTAGCAACTATTACAAAGAAAAGGGCATTAGTGTTGACCGCGACCGTTTTGATCATCAAATCATCAGGACAATCGAAGAGTTTCTTTCCTAAAAGTGAGCCATTTACCAATTTTCGTTGAAATCTGAGCACAAACCAGTAACAATTCCAGCGTTATTAATGAGAATATCGACTTGTCCGACATCATTGAGCACTTTTTGAGCAACTTCATTGATATTTTTATGATCAGACAAATTGACAGTATAAGCATGTGCCTTAAATCATAGGGTACTTGAATCGAAAAAAAACGGTGATCTACGATCGGCTAGACAAGGTTGTGAATCATTTCCCGTTCTTTTTGGTAATTGCAAAAAGAGACATGTGTGTACAAAGTTCAAGTGAAAGTTTGAATTAGAAGAAAATAATGAAACTACTTCGAAAAAAAACCTTTGCTCCATGCTGCTCGACCATCTTTTTCGTATCTTCATTTCCCTTCGTATTCACATCCCAAAGAATTAATTCTGATCCAAGTTTGGCGAACTGAACAATTGAATTTCTTGAAAATGCGGTTATTTCGTCCTCACCTCAATGGACATCATTCTTCCGATTCCGCTTCCAGAGCCGGTTATCAGCACCTTCTTATCTCTGACAGATTTACGCGGCAGCACACCATTCGGCAAAATCGATTTGATCGAATTGACAATGCAAAAATAAACAGTGAGCAAGACCAATTTCAGCGTGTCCAATAGAATGTTCATGATTGAAACTGAAACAAAACTATAGTAGAGACAAAGGGTTGACTTCAACAAGCAGAGGCAGACAAAAAATAATCGAGACTATTTTGGTGGCAGGGGTGGTGTAATGGCAACACACAACGGCTGGCCGGTCAGCAGTCAGCCGTAGGTCAATTGTGTAGCCTGTTTATACGGCCAGAATGCTGATCGACCTGACTACAAACCGGCTATACATTGGACACAAAAACACGCCGGTCAACTGAATAATTCTGATCAATGCGGAGAACTCGGACCACGATGCGGCTCGCGCGAGACAGCGCACAGGAAATGGAGACGGCGAGATGTCGACAAAGTTTTTGATGGATGGTAGAGTTGACAATTGGAATTGTAAAAAAAACGAATGATTTTTAGACTATTGGGTGGAGCACTTAGTGGGTTTTTCAATGTGTACAGATAGATAGAAATTTTGACTTACCTGAAAGCAACTTAAAAATGACAAAAACTCTCAACATATTTCTCTGAGTATTGTATAGGAAAAATCCCTAAACTATCATAATCTGAATCTTTAAGTTTTTTAATACCTTGGTTAATAGCAAAAATTTCACTAATCAAATTTTCCAAATCATTAAAAAAATTTTTTTCACGATTTTTGTGTATTCGCCAGCCCGCATGGAATTTCTACTCACAATCAAGTTTCTCAAATTTTTTTGTCTGTTCCTAATTGACTAATTTCCTTCGCCTTTAGTCATTTCTCTTTTGAATATCTATGCTACCCTCGGGTCAATAATAATAATTTATATTGTAGGTAGTTTGCCAACAAAACTTGAATAGAATTCGGCAAATCGAGTAGATTAAGAAAATGTGCAATTAGAGCCCGAATAAGAACATTCATCCACATCTACTAATTAAAAAATCTTAAAAAAAAAACGGATCAAATGGTCCGCTGAGCAATTCAAAATGATTAGAATTTTATCATGTGAATAAATTAGAAATTGAACCATAAGAATAACATTCTTTCGAGGAAGATATGTATTTTCAGTTGACGAAACATTTCATTTTTCAATCAACATTTTGCAAGTTTTTTTCACCAAACTGTCATTGTCAGAAAAAAAATTAAAGCAATTCCTGATTTTCTCTGGGTTGCTGTGACACGACTACGTTCTATCATTACACTCATCCAAATACCATATGGCAGTGATCATCAGGGTCGAGTCTAGTCACTTAATCTTATCAGCTCTTATGAAAAGTAGGAAAGAGGGCGGAGAGAATTGGTCCCTTAATACTCAAATATGCTCTGCTCAAATATCAAGGCTAGTCAAATTTGGAATAGCGACCAGTCTCAAAAAAAAAGAAACTGTGCCTGTACCTTCCGACTTGTAAGGGGGAAACCAGTTTTGCTGAAGTGTTCAAAGGCTTTTTTCAATTTCGAGACTAGCACAAGTTCCTCGTGTTTTCTTATAATCAAATTTGATAATATTGTGCAACTTTTTTTCAAATAATTTATCATATTCGATAATATCGCAAATTATGCAGGCCTTAATGATTGAGTTCAATTGTCAAAGAAATAGAAAATTGCAAGAATTAAAAGCTGACAGCAGCTGACATGGAAACTTAAATTTCTTAAAATTTTTCATGACAAAAAAATTGTCTGGCAAAACAATTTTTTTTCTGAAAATCGATAATCTGTGAAAAGTATGCATTTTATTTTTTGAGAAAATTATTTTTAAATCCTACAGATCTTCACTGCTTACGAAATCAAATAATTCTAAATGCCGAGCAAAACAATTCGCGTAACTAGTGAAGAATACAAATGAAAACAAAATTTTTTTTTAAAACATTTTCTAATTAATAATTTGTAGTAATTTTTCAAGTGACATCAGTCTTTTCGTAGGGTTATGATTCAAACATGAGTATAGCGTCCACCAAACCTTTTTTTCTAAAAAAATTACAGGGTGCGGCAAAATTACGGGTGCATGGATAGAACGTAATAACTTTTTTAAAAATCAACAAAACTCTTTCAAATTAATACCAAAATTTATTCAACACATAACAATCACAAATTAATTATCGTTGTTCGATTCTTCCATCTCGATTCTTGATAACTTCCTTCAGACGCTTCGGATAGGCGTCGACGGTGGCACGCAGGTATTTGGCGTCCAATTTGTCCCATTCCTTCAGAAGGGCAGCTTTCAATGAGTTCATATTTGGGTGTGGGAAAGCTGACACCTTCTCTTGCAAGACCCCCAGACAGAATAGCCCATGGGGTTCAGGTGGGGCGACGAAGCGGGCCAATCCGTTGACTTGATGAATGATGGAAAATGGCTACCGCACAAGTCTTGAATGATTTTGGCTCGATGTGCAGGGGCTCCGTACTGTTGAAAAGTCCAAGATCGATTTCCGAAGTGAGATTGGGACCAGGGAAGGACATTCTTCTTCAGGATCTCATTAAGATAGTAATTTTGATCAATCTTCACTCCGGGATCAACGAAATCAGTGGTTTCTTGTCGTCAGCGCAGATCCCACCGAATACCATGATCTTCTGAGGATGGGAAACACGATGAATGGTTCTGCTTTTGTTCATAGCTTCTTCAGACCTTCTGGCAATCACTCTGTGGTTTTGGAGATTGAAAGCAGCTTCTACCGTAAACAGCTTCTCATCCATGACGAAAATCGTTAGGTGCTTTTCTTGCCGCGTGCCAGCGAGGAGCGTTTCGCACTTTTTCATTCGACCTTCTTTATTTTTTTCAGTTAGAATGGCGGATTTTCTGACACGATAAGGTATCAGGTTCAGCTCATCTTTGGCAATTTTTCCCACCATCTCGGACTCACATGGACATCTGACACCATCTTTCTGATGCTACAATCTGGATTTCGACGAACTCGTTCCCTGATGATCTTGACTCGTTCCGGTGTTATTAAAGAATGTTTTCTTCCTTTTCTAGGACAGCTAGAGGGTCCTCCTATCTCATCAAAACGTTTCCAAGTTGTTTGTACGGTGTTGTGGTGAACTCCAAGGATTTTAGAAATCATCTTGAATGATGTTCCCTTTTTTTCAAGTCGATGATGGCGGCACGATGAATAGAATCAGCTGTCATTTTTGTAATACGAAACGGAATTTCATGAAACTTTCAGAAAATGATTAAAACGTCATAGAAAATAAAATAAAAACATAAAACTGCACAAAAAATGCGACAGTGCACTGTGAGCTTGCACCAAAGTTATGCACCCGTAATTTTGCCGCACCCTGTAATTAAACAGATTTCAAGAAATGAAAAAAAGTCAATTTAATGTTATTTTAATTCAAAATTGGTTTTAATGTTTTCAATTTGTGATAAATTACGAATAGCATTGTGAGTTTAAAACGTTATCTGCAGTACCCGAAAAAATTGAAATATCGCTAAATGAAAACCGAGATGGACCACAATTACTCAAGATGCTCGTTTTTTTGAAAATACTAAATTTAATTGTTTCGGTCAGTATATTCCTTTAAATGGATCTCGCCACGAAACACAATTAATTGAATTATTTGGATCGAGTCGGAATAGTCATTTTTGCGTCGATTTTGACAAATTTTACGTAATTGGACCAAAATGCCAAATATCGACAAATTTGCAAACACCGAATCCAATTGATTTCGATTAACATGAACAAGATTTTTGGACAAACCGGAAAAATATGCCGAAACAAAAGTCGGGCGATGTATGAATGGTGTGTCGTACTTGAAGTGCTTAAAAAGTTTTAGAGCGAAACAAATTTTAGGAGCTCCCATGGAGTTACCGTGTTTATTACAATACCAACAAAATAAAATATAATTGGATATACTATAACGAAATTGTCCAGCTCGATCCGAATTTGGTCCTCGAAGCCATGAATTGATCACCTAGCAATTAGCAAAATTATCAAATTAGCAAATAGCAAATTGCACAATTCCTCATGATGTATGTTTTGCCTCTGTTTCCCCCTATTAATTTCTGAAACCGTTACCAACTTATCGCACCAATTCCATTTGTTCATTTCAGCCAAAAACCAAAAGAATCGAAAAAAATGAGTAATGATGATGAGGTAGATCCCATGGGTTTTCTTTAAATCCAACGAGAAACAGAATAAAGTGAGAAGGAGAGAGTGAGAAGGTGTGCAATTGTAGCAGTGTGTGTGTGTGTGTGTGTGTGTGCCTCATTCGCGTCCGGCTTATTCATTCGCCAATTATTCGACGGACGAAGATGGATTTGCTAAGCAATCCCAAGTTCATGATAACCCTCAGCTACGGATCGATCTCAATGATGTTGTATGCGATCGTCTCGATCGTTATTTTCAACGAGCACCGCCAATTCAATGGATCGTTTTTTCGGATGTTCGTTGCCGGTTCTTTCATGGTACGTCCAGCTCTTTCTCAATTATTGTAGATGATTCATCAAGAGGGATTTTCGAATTATTTTTAACTTTCAATGATGAATATTAGATCAAGCTTACTATTTTTGTAATTGAGTCTTTAATTAGTCAGGCAAATTTCTGAAAAATCTAAATATCAGCAAACCCTATTTAGATTAAGCTCCCTCGAGGAACAATTTAAAACGATGAAAGAGTTACTGTAAAATAAAGGTCCCACTTAGTTGAGAACCTCTGAGTCTCGATTGGAAAAATCCTTGAATAGTAGTGATTGTTGTTTCCTCCAAATCCAATCATATGAAATATGGATCCAATATCCCTTGTTGGGCTTTCACCTCTTCTTCCTTATCAATTTTTTCGACATTTTCCGGGAAAAAATTGGAGAATCGAGTTTTCCAAAATGAACATGCTGTGCAGGTCCCAATAGGATCTGACGTTGATGTTGTTTACAATGCCTACAATCAATCATCTTGATTCCATAAAGCTCATAAAGATTTCCATAAAGATTGATTCCATAAAGCAAATATCTAACTTTTGGCTCTTTAATAATTCAACTCTAAACTACAGGGACCTCCCATACTACGAAAATTCTCAAATCATTCTTCTTTCTTGTTTTTTTTTATTTATAGCACTTTTAGTTTATCTCACGTTTTGGATTTCTGAACACCGTTTAAGACGACAATTTGCCAATCGTGCGAATATTTGTTTAGCAAAAAATTTTTTATTCATAGAAAAAATAAACACGGTGGGAATCAAATTTGTCATTTTCTCATAAAGTACAACGAAAACTCGACTGACTTTTGTAGTCTATTAAAGAGGCCTGAAACGATATGTCTGGCTGGGTTTTCGAGGATCAAATGATCCAATGGATAGTCCAGAGGATCAATAGAATCTTATTAAACAATTCTGGAAGAAAATACGAAATCGCACGATTGCGGATGACGCGGTCTATTGTAGAGTTGGGTCTCGCAACATGAGTGTCGATTTACGCCACGTTATTAAGTAGTGCATCTTCCGTATGGAGTACACAACTCCTCGGCACCAATTTGTCGCAGTTGCCCAATTCCCACAATAGTAGCAGAAAATAGGAAAAGGTTATACCAAAAAAAAATGGAAAATGACGAAAAAATGGAATGATTCGATATTTCCATTAGACCCAATAAATTTTTTCAAAATAAAGACTTGATAATAATTTCAGCGCAATATTATTTATTCAGAATCTGTGGACATATCTCAATTCGTTCGTCACAATCCGCATTCCGCAACACACCAACTACAACGGAACATTCGCTCCGATCTACCTCAAACTCAATCAACACAACACGACTCCGTGCAGTTTCTTGAGCTTCTGCCATATGATGCATTTCCAATTCGCTTATACCCAATATATGTATAATTTCATAACATGCCTTAATCGCGTCTCAGCAATACTGTTTCCAATGAGAAGTGAACAGGTGAAAATCGGGTTACGGGGGTGAATCATTTTCAGCGATTTCCAGTTCTGGCAAAAATATATCTGGGCGATTTTGTCGTTTGTATTCATCGGACCATTCATATTCACATATCATCTATATTTCAATACCTCATATTTCGAGTATAACGGAACATTCTTTGTAACCCTTTCGACATATGTAGTCCTTTTTGGGGTTATACCGAATATTCATTGGTATTTCAGGGCCGCGCTTCCATTTACAAATCTCTCATGCCAGTCTTAATAATAATTACCGGAACCAATTGTATAATGAATTTAATAGCTTTGGCTCAGTTATTGTCAATGAAGAAGTGGCTTGAATCGAATTTCAAAAAAAGAAAAGAAATTCTGATTTCAGTGACGGCAATGCGAGGCCTCTTGAACTTCATCTATTCTTCATGTCCTTCTGTGTCTTTATTATCGATATGTTTCTATCAACTTTGACGGTTTCCATCCAGATCCCAATTGATCCCTCATATTTCCCCCATTCAGATTGCTAATTATGTTTGCTCAAATGTGCCAGAGATCAAAGAAACCTTAGGAGAAGACACTTACAACGCATTGGTTACTATCGTATTAGTGTTGACCCCATTCGCGAGTGATATGCTCACTTTGTCGCACCCTTGGCTCATTCTAATATTTAGTCGAGGAGTAGGTCATTTATATAATTATCAATTGATATTGATACGCATTGCAGATACGCGAGAGGTTCCATATTCGACTACTCCGATTCCCACTCTATAAATGTCTGAATAAGCAGTTGACTGCCGCCAGCACTGGTCGTTCGACCCCACTGCCTACGGTTGGAAGTGTCGGCTTTCTCAATCGTCATTCTTCTAGAATCGCAAATGTGAATTGAAAAAAAAAAAAGAAAATTTGTCAGTTTCAAGTCAACACAATAAATAAACTATGCAAATATATAAAAAAATCAAACAAAATCTCAATGTGACGCATAATTTTCAAATTTCATTTATTACTCATTTTTGATGGCCGAAAATCAAAATTTAATTTCAATAATTTTTTAAATTCATCGAGTTCTCGTTAGGCTCGTCATAATTATTCAGAGAAATCGAAAATTGAATAAAACCTCTGGAGAATATCGAACAAATGATTAAAAACCCGAAAATTTGATTAAAATAATTAAGTGACTTGCTGAAACGATCGAATTCTGTGAGAAATGATGAATCACTTCGTATACGAATCCAATTAGACATCCACAAATTGCATTCAGCTTCCAACTTTGAATAAGAAACCCTATGGATCAATAACTTATTGTCTAATAGTCTGCTTTCAAAGAAATTTTAAAATTTTGACAAGCGATATAATTGTAATAAGCAGATTTTGGAAAAATAAACATGCATTGAATTATTTTTTTCGCGATCGACAAGAATATTTCAACCGTTTATTTTTAATTTTTTTTCGAAATTTACATATTAACGTAAGTGTCAAACTTCAAAAAATAAATCTAAAAATATTTTGAGTTTTAAGCATAGAGAATGTCTTAAAAACAATTATTATAAAGTGAACAGTGTTGAAATTCTTTAAAGAATCTTAGACATGTAATTAATACCGTATAAAATGTTGAAACGGCACATCAAACATCAAATTTGTGATAATTTTTAATTTTGAGTGGATCATATCGAAACCTTCCATGTACAAACGTGAAGCAGCTGAGCATATACACTGTGATTCACACAATCTTCACGTTCACACGGTCTGGTAACAATATGTTCTGTATAATCCAATATTGTGAAATCTGTTCGTCAAAAGTCCAAATTCCATTTTTTTATTTGCGCCATTTTTTGACAGGAATCGAGAGATACAAAGAAAGAGAAGACGAGTATTTAGAGATTCATCACAGTTTCATTAGATTTCAAAATTTTAAAGATCACGATATCGATCAGGTTCAAGTCGTGCGTTTCATACGAACGATCCAATATGAGTCATCGTTATTTCTATGAGGAAGAACATTATCATAACACATAGAATTTGCGAACAATAGAAGCGAGAGAAAAAAAAATGAAATTTCTTTTCTATCTGTTTTGTTTGTTTTGGGTTGTTTGTTCGCAAAAATATGACAGCGCCACAGATTTACTGCTAATCATCACAGTTCGGGTCGCCGATGGATGGGGGCGTGGCCGTTATGATGAATCAGCCGTCGCTATAAATACTGTCAAGTATTGTACAGGTTAACCACAACCAATATGATCAAGATCTTTGCCATTTGCCTTCTAGCCTCGATTCCAATAGTCAATGCCCTATTGGGAGTGATCGGAAGAACCCAATCGGTTACCGTAACCGGAAGACTCATCTGCAACGGGCAACCTGCCAGCGGAGTTCTTGTCAAAATGTACGAGGATGGAACTAGTGAGTGATTCTATATCTAAAAAGCAGCCCCCAATTCCTTTTATTTGCAGTTTACGACTCAAAGATGGGATCGACGAAGACCGGACCTGACGGAACATTCCGAGTGTCCGGATCTCAAACCAAAATCCGTACGATTGACCCGAAGGTCAACATCTACCACAAGTGCAATTATTCTGGGGTAATTAAATAATTATGCAATAATCAATAATAATTAATTGCATTGCAGCTCTGCTCTAGGAAGACATCAATCAGTGTTCCGAAATCGGCGGTTCAGAGCGGCAGAAACGCGAATCAAAACTACGACATCGGCACGATCAATTTGGCGAACAAATTCAAAGGAGACACCACTGATTGTATTCATTAAGTGCAATCGTTTGAAATTTGCCACCGACAATCGATCTCGTGTGTATATTGTACTATTTTAATAATAAAAGTGCATATTTTTGAAGCAAATATTTGGTTTTTTAAGAATGAGGAAGGAAGTTAATTTCGGCTGAGCAAACAGCCATTGTCAAACATTTGAGGAATATAATTGAACTTCTGTGTACATTGATTTTCTGGGAGAAACATCATAGAGCGTTGGAAATGAATTATGAAGATGATTTTCTAGTTTTTAGGCCATGAGTCTGAGAAAATCGAAGTAAATTTGTCGTCAAATAAAATGTACAAGTCCGCAATGTCATTTTCAGGTTCAATTCAAAGAGATGAGCGCGATTGAAAAATTGCCAACGAATATTGAAAATAAGCGAAATTCAAGTCATTGCGGACCTTGCATTTTATTTGACGACAGTTCATATCTTCATTCTTCGAGACAAATTCACGTAGAATTTTCGTTCTTTTTTCATTTTTCGATTTATTTTCTATTTAGTTTCAAATTTCTTTACCTATTTAAAGGTCCCCCACTTTAAGGGGACCCCTACCACTTTAAGGCACAATTATGAATAACTTTAAAAAAAATTGTTATTATCGTTTGGTTCAAATGATTGTTAATTATAATGGACTACAGGGTGGCTGAAAATTACCCGGACTAAAATTTCGAGCCTTCGTGAGGCGCACTGGTGCTTTTTCAGCGCAATGTTTTAAAATTTTTTTAATTAGCAATGTTTTTTTTTACTATCTCTCAAATTTTCATGATAATTGGTTCGGTTTTAGCAAAATGGCGAAGCAAAATGCAAACCGACCCGCAATTATCGCATTACACAAGTCCGGAATAGGTACGTATGCAATTTGGAAGCATCTGAGAATTCCGAAAAACACCGTCTACGATGCAATTTCTCGTTTTAAGGATCTTGGCACAACCCAGGACCGTGCAGGCAGAGGAAAAAAAACTGCGATGACGACTTCTTCGAACGTTAAGATCGTCCGAGACAGAATCAGACGAAATGCTCATCAGAGCATCAAAAAGATGGCTTCCGCCCTGAATATGTCACGAGCTTCAATGACAACCATTGTCAAAAAGAAGCTTAAGTTGACTCCTTATTGTGTCAGAAAAGTGGTCATCCTTTCTCAATCCAACAAGCTCAAACGGCACCAAAAGCAATGAGATCCTGAAGAAGAACTTGCTTCGTTGGGCCCAAAAACACTTTGGTGGACAACGATGGGTGTTCCAGAAGGACGGGACGCCAGCTCATACTGCAAAGTTTACACAGGAGTGGTGCGCCAACAATTTCCCCTCCTTCATCAAGTCAACAGAACAGCCCGCCTCGTCTCCCGACCTTAATCTGTTGGACTATTCCGAATGGGGGTCTTACAGAGTAAGGTCCGTGCTAGGCCCCACTCGAATTTGGACTCTCTAAAGAAAGCGCTGGTCGAGGAATGGGACAAATTGTCGGTGGAATACCTGCGCGCCACGGTCGACGCATATCCGAAGCGTCTTCGCGCCGTCATCAGAAAACGCGGAGATCGAATCGGACAACGAAAATCTATTTATGTTTGTTATTGTAAAAATAAACTAAATATGAAATTTGAGTGTGTTTGAACAATTATTCACTGAAGTACATTGGTTTTCATATAGTCCGGGTAATTTTCAGCCACCCTGTATATAATTACAGTTACTATTTGATTTGCCCATTGCAATAAAATTTTGGAACAGATTGAAACCGTGGTTTATTTTTTGTTGGGACTCTGAGCCGATGACTCAAAGTCAATCTTTGAGAATGCTGTTTCGATCATCCCAAGTACACTTTGAACGTTATTTTCCTTGGGATTTCATTTTTATTTTTTCTCCGCCATTTTTACACAACACAATCGACAACTGTTGGCAACATGTATATAAAAGTGGCATAGTGAAATGTTTGGCGAACAATGCTCAAACTTCTCGTTCTCGTGTTGGCGTTGGCGATATGCGCCAACGCGCTTCTTGGCGCCATCGGCTCGAAACAAACCGCCACCGTCACCGGCAAATTCGTGTGCAACGGCCAGCCGGTGAAGGATGTGCTCGTCAAGTTGTACGAGGATGGAACCAGTGAGATTTTTTGCCTTGTTTTCAAAGCAATTCTCATTCTCCACTTTTTTTCCAGTTATGGACTCCAAATTGGCTTCGGCGAAGACCGCTGCCGACGGCTCGTTCACCTTGACCGGATCGCAGAACAAAATCCGCAAGTTGGACCCAAAAATCAACGTCTATCATCGATGTAATTGGAAGGGGGTGAGTCGCACAGAATCCTCGAACTTCTGAATTCTTTTTGTTGTAGGCTTGCAGCAAGAAGGTCACCATTCATGTGCCAAAGAACGCCGTCAGCAAGGGTGGCAAACAAGGACAAGTGTTCGACATCGGTGTCTTGAATCTCGCAAACCGATTCCCGGGAGAATCCAGCGATTGCATTCATTAGTATTGATAGTCAATAAATCTTTTTTTTTTCTTGACAATTTTGTGAAAATGTGTTTCAACCAAACTATATAGATAGTACATATTAAAAATGAAGTTCTCTGTGCCACAGTGTTCAATCAAAATTTCATTTTTTTTTTGGTTGTTCCATGTCCTCATCATTTTTTAAACAGTTATATTTAAAAAATGTTTATTACAGCAGTATAAATTTCAAAAATTTAATGAATGCAATCGGTGCCTTCTCCTGGGAAACGATTGGCCAAGTTGAGGATTCCGATGTCGAATGTGTCAGCTCCTTTGTTTCCCTTGGCAATCGCATTCTTTGGCACATGAATGGTGACCTTCTTTGGGCAGATCTAAAACCAATAATGACTCCTCTATAAATATGCAAAAGACGGCTTACTCCTGAATAGTTGCATCTGTGGTAGATGTTGATCTTTGGGTCGATCTTTCTGATCTTGCGTTGCGATCCGGAGACGCGGAACGTTCCGTCCATGGAAGTCTTCACCGAATCCAATTTCGAGTCATAGACTAAAAGAATCATGAATTGAATGGCCGGTAGGTTCGAAGCAACTTACTGGTTCCGTCTTCGAACAATTTGACGCGAACATCGCGCGCCGGCTGTCCGTTGCACGTCAGTTTTCCAATGACGGTAACCGTCTGTTTGCTTCCGACGGCGCCAAGAAGTGCCGACGCGAGCGGAATCAAGACGAGAAACGCGACGACGAGCAACTTGAGCATTTTTATTGGCGCCAACAAAATTCTAAAGTTCCATGATGAGCTGTTTTATAGATGTCTGACGACAGTTGGCATTGTGTAATAGGATGGGTGTTGTTGAACGAGGAAAGAAAATAATGAAATGCTCACAACAGAAAACGTCAAGCTGGAAAAGAACATTAAAACAAAAAAGATACACTAAGGATCGAATGAAGTCGAAGGATGGATTCATGGCGTAAATTGAGGGGTTGGTTCACAAAAAAGTCAAAGACACACTTATTAATATGCCAGTAATGGTCATCCTTTGTAGATAGGCATGGCATGTACCAGGGCTGTGCGGCAATGGAATTGCCAATTGCCGAATTGCCAATATTTTTTATTTTCGGCAATTTGATGTCGGAAAAAAATTGGCGAAACAAAAATCAATGTCCATTGAATAATTTGAAAATTCGGTATTTATTTATCGTTGAAAAAATCTAATAGCCGAAATTTTTATTTTCGACAACTTGCTGATTGCCGAAATTGCCGAAATTTCCGATTGCCGCACAGCCCTATGTACATATATGTAAATGCCAGGAAGGACATTCAATGAGAGCTTATAAGAGGGGCGATATACAAGTTCAGTTCGAAAGCAAGCCATATGAATCTATTCGCAATTTTTTGAGAGTTGTCTCAGATTTATGGATTTTTGCATTTTCAGCTAGTAAAAACGCCATGTACTTATAAAAGAATAGACAAATTCTACAATGCTCTAATTGTGCAAAATGAGCTTTTACAAACATGACAGCGCTTAAAGGATTCAAAAATTTTTTCAGAAAATTCGAAACGCACATTTTTTTATGAACGTTTCTAAACTTCGAATATCTCCTACTGAAAAAAATGTATGGACTTCTCAGATAATTTTTAAGAATATTCAGGTCCGATCCGTCGAATTGTCGGGGAAATATTCTGGAATTTATTTCTAGAGAAATAGAGAAGATGAAAATCATTCAAACTGAAACATGTCCAATATCATTATGGTCCCTCATACTGAGACCCGATGCATACAAAAACATATTCGTCTTATACTACGCTTTTTACCGGATAAAAGAGAAATTATAAAATATTTTGCTTCTTTTTTTGACAATATTTTTTGGATTTTGAGATCAGAATTTTTTTCTGATAACGAAAAAAGGATAAATCAATATCAAGGCAACTCTGATTTTGATAATGAATTAGCGACATCTACAACTAATTTTTAGCATAACTTAAAGGGTCCAAAAAATGACGAAAATATTCGTATGCACAAGGCGCATACCATATTAGTTAGATGGGCCATAATTCCCCCTTTTTTCTTTTGTTATTTTTATTATTGAATTCAATGTTTATTTTGAATTATACATTTAGATTTTTAAAGTGGTAAAAATTTGCTCGAATAGAGGATTAATCATTGCAATCTAAATAATTTGAGTTCTTCTTTAATTTAACCATGTTGGGTTAACTATTCTTTTGGTATTTTTTAGAAAAAATGTGACTTCTGTCGGCCTTTTGTCTATTTGCTAATCACTAGTTCAAACTTTCAATCTTTTTGTCGAAAAAGTTCAAATAATTACTCTAGGCCAATGTAAACGCGGTAAATTTGATTTCAAGTGAAAAAATGAGAACATTCAAATTTCTCGAGATATATGTAACCTTGCTTCTTAGAATTTCATCTCAAAATTCCATATATTCAAGATTTTTATGATCTCTGTCGTGTTTCTCCTTTTTTTGAGAAAATTCTGGAACAATTTCGAGTAAACAGAAAATAGATAGACGTCATTTTGAAAGTCGAAAAAATAATTATAAATATTTGCGTTCGTTGGCGCGCGACCGTCCCACTTGGCACCGATTCGTCCCCCAATCAGTTTTAGTTCGACTAGTAATGATTCGCTTAGTTCTCCCACTACTAATAATAGCAGTCCAACAATGCCACGGTCTTTTTAATTATTTCGGTGACACACAAGCAGTCACTGTAACCGGAAAACTAATTTGTAACGGTCGGCCTGCTGACGGGGTCCTTGTCAAAATGTATGAGGATGGGCTAAGTAAGTAATGAATCATCCTTCTAGAATTTGTACAATTCTCATTTGTTGTTGTTGGTTTTTTGCAGTTTATGACTCAAAATTGGATTCGACGCGAACTGCCGCCGACGGCACTTTTATGGTATCAGGAACCTACACAAAAATCACTACAATTGACCCAAAAGTCAATATCTACCATACTTGCAACTATTCAGGGGTTTGTTCACAATTTTATTATGGAGAAAAAAACTGCATCAGAGGTGATCGAGGGAATTTTTCCAGTTTTCACGAGGGCTACGTCGAGATCTATTAAACTCTTGCCGAATTTCTAAGCAAATGAGAAATTTGTTCATCAATGATTACTGTAGATGATTAAAGGCACATGTGAGAAATCCTTAAATTTTTCAAAGGGGGAAAAATAAATTTTTTTAATCAATAATTTAATTTTTTTTTAATTTTTCGCTAAATTTGTGGCCAAAATGACACAAATTTGAAATCTTCTAAAAGCGTAGTTCTTTTCCGGATTTTCGGAAAATTTTGTCTAAGAAATTAGATCAAAATCGTCATGAAAAAATTTATGTTTTCAGCGACAATTTTCGACAAAACTTATGTCTTCCTAATACATATGTTTTAAAAATTTCAGTTATGCTCAAAGAAAGTGACAATTGAAATTCCGCATGAATACGTTGCTCTGAACACCGCTTCGAATCGGAATTATGACATCGGAACTATCAATTTGGCCAATCAATTCAGAGGAGAATCGATTGATTGCATCCATTGAACATATCAAATTGTACATAAATAAATAAACACATTTTCAATGGATATGTTAAAGATTCGAAAAAGAAGGGATAAAAATTTGTTAAAATAGAAATATTTTTATTAGACTCATACCACAATTATCAGGTTTCTTGATGATAAATTTAAATATGAAAAGTCTTGTATTTTTCGCTAATTTTAACTATAAGGTTGGGTTATATGAAAAAGCAAGTATTCTCATGGAATTCAAAATCTGTGTGAGACCGTTTTTAAAGGGACATGAAGTCATTTGATATTATACATACTCATTGATTAATTTAAAATGTTTTTTGTTCAATTTTTTGAGGTTTTTCACATTTATGGTGAATTTTGCCAAAATTAGTCACTATCACTACGAGATCATATCAAAAGATAAACACAAATATAATTCACTGGAGATCAATGTAAAAATTTAAAAAAAGTCGCATTTTTGAAAATACGAAAAAAAGGTCCAAAAAAAAAACAAAAATTGCGTCTATAATATCCCAAAATAAATTAATTATGTTTGGGAACACACTATCCGTTTTGTGGAAAAATTTCAGATCGATTGGTCAACTTTTCAGAAAGTTATGATTTAAAAAAAACGGAATTGTATATCTTACTGCACGGTACTATTTGTTTTTATGAATATTCACAATATTCGTTCCAAAATGAATTTTTTTAATCGCTCGATCTCTCAATTAACTGGTTTATTGCGATCAAAGTGTGTTTAATTCAACATTACGGCATTCGTCGATTTTTTTCAACAATAGGTAAGTAAATAAATTTTCAAAAAAAAAATATTCATAAAAGATATGTTGATAGCATGTCACAAAACATTGTCATGCTGCATTTTAAAGGAATCGCCTCACAATGGAGCTATTCATATATTCTACAAAAATCTTTCTGTTGAAAGTGATGACTCACAGGCTTTTTACGGAATTTTATCGGTTTTGCGATAGGGAAGACTCTAAGATCCAATTTTTGGTTAAATAAAACTAATTTCGAACCTGACCCAATTTTCTAAATTAGGGTTTTTATGTAGACATTGAACATGTAGAAATCAAAAATTTCAAGGGGTCCGAAGAAAAAAATAAATTGTTGATTTTTGATATAAATAACTGGACACTCCCTACAGGGCATCCATGCGGACGGACGATTGAGTGGACGGCTGCCACCCGTCCGCCCTTCCACAGTCGCGGCCGTGGCCTAGAAAAACATGTCCGCGACCATTCTTTTATTTCAATTTTTTTAACGAAATTTTTATTTCTATTTGATTTTTTCTGGCAACTTCATTCATCTTTTTGCATTTTCGCCTATAAATAGTTTTAAAAATATGAATATTAGTGTGTATAATGTTTATTTTTTAGATTTTATCATCACACAAAGAAAGTTTGAAACATTCAGAGGTATGAAAGAATGATGAGCAAGAGAAAAGCCAATAAAAAAGGCAATTACGAAGCGATTTCGTATTCCATATTAAGCGAAAAAAGGTATTGGCGACTATAAATAGTGGAAGCTTACAGGTTGATTTATATGATAAATTCATGGTCATACCGGCAAACAATTTATAAATGTTTTTTGATGAAAAACATGCTCATCAAATTTAATTTGGAAGAATGCGGAGCAAGATAATAAGCAAGATAGTAAATATAACTATGATAAATTAAGAATTATAATGCATAATGGGCAGAAATGGAAATTTTCGAAAAATTATTTTTCCGTTTTTTATGCAATAAATATTGTATTTGTTTTGTAATTTAAATTTTCTGAAGCAAAATTTTTTAATTTTTTTTTGACTGATTCAAACGGGCACGGATTTGGACCATAAGGATGGCGGAAGGACGAACAAATTGCGCGACCGCATGGATGCCATAGCCTCCTGCGCCTTTAATTCCGATTTTTTATGAAAAATATATTCTATTATTAAGACGCATCAACTATCTTAACATTTACTCGAGTTTCGCTGATTTTTTCAAATTATACTAACAATTTTCGACTTTTTGCTACAAAACATTTTTTTTAATTTAACCGTTAATTTACATTTTCATTTGTGAATAAAATTTTCCATATTTTAGAGATTTTGTTTCAGCACATTTTAAGACACTTTCCCATGTTATAAAACGAAGCCGTTGCAAAATGCATCAAGATAATCCTGCTGTTATTTCCAGTTCTTATTTTTTTCACTAATATTAATAATCTACTTTCTGAGAATGAGGTAATGTTTTTTTGCTGAAATTAAGCCCGATGGTTTCTGATCATCTGATTCTAACAATTATAACAATTCCTTGGGAATTTGTGCACGGAATTTCCCCAAATGCGCCTTTAAAATGAATCCGGGGGCGAATTTTAGAATTGGAAAATGTGTGTAAGATTAAACCCTTTTCAATCATATCATGCGCCTTTAATGTTGTCCAAGCAATGTGGTTTGTATAAATGTTTATGTAATTATCTCAAGAATACGCCAATCCTTGTTAGTCCACCATTTCACCCAGAGTCTCAGAGTGCGCCACTTTTTTCCGTGTTTCAGATTGATCAAATTTTTTGTATTTTCATCTCATTTCATTTTTTGTTGATGTCATTCGAAAATTAAAAAAAAAAACTTTTTGATGGCCAACTTTTGTTTTCAAAAGAAATTAGTCATCCCCCCGCCCCTCAGGCCGCTATAAACATTTTGCGCCGCTCAATTTATTTATAAATTTCGGGGCGTGTGGCGAAGTTGAGAGGAAGCCCCACACACACACACTCCGATGATGCCGATTTATCACGATTGTCGATGCGCCTCGCAGTCAGAGGCGCAATCTCTCCGAACAACTGTCGATTGGTCTCCACCCCAGTCACATGTTGATGACAGCCGTTGTTGGCATCGGCAGAGCTCGCTTCCATTCATTTATTGTCTTCTTTTTTGTTTTCTGCGCTATTCACAATAGAAATTCGATTGATTTTTCAGAATCATGTTCAACTTCAACGCTCTTCTCGTTCTCGTTCTTCTCATCGCCATGGTGTCGTTCGTCGCCGCCGACGTCTCGTGCTTCTTCGGCGAATGGATGTGCAAGTCGATCACTTGCAGAGTACGCATTCCAATCTCTCTAACTCCAATTCTATTGTCTAGCTGTTTCAGTCATGCAACGTTGCCACCTGTATCACCGGCGACTGCGTCTGCACCTTCTGCTCGTAATCATCGAATAATTCATGTTGTCATAAATGAATTGCATATAAATCCAATAAAGCATAAATACCAATGACATTGTTAATCAAATCATGGATAATCATATTTCTAAAAAATGATTGATAAAAAGAACTGTCTTAGCAGAGAATAGCCTCCTCCGAATTTAGCAGAGTCGAACCAGTGTTCAAATCGTATGAAGCATTATCAATTTTGTGTTGATTTTTACAGTACCCGAGAAGTGATTAAAAGTCGTTTTTCTTTATGATTTTTTTCGTGGGGATCAATTTGCATAAAATTCGATCTGTGCTTTTTATATATACATACATATATTGAATTTTTGAGTTTTTTTTCTTATAATGCTCTGTTAATGTGATATGGTGTTTTTTTTTCAAGAATTCTTATAAATCTCATAATCATCCATTTAAAATCTCAGGATTCGTTCAAAAATATGCGTCGAAAAATAGTACTCCACTTTAACGGACAATAAAATTTCGAAAATCTGAATTCTCGCCCTCAATTCTTTGAAATTTCGAATCATCGAATCTTCGACACTGTAAATCTGAGAAGAGTGCTTTTTTATCATCATGGACATAACTCTCAACCTCGAATTAAAAAAAAACTTGATTTCAGATTTGAATACGGAATGTTCTTTAAAGAATACTTCAATACTGATTATTTTTCAGACTAAATCTTGTTTAAAAATTGCCGCCTTTCGAGAGTCTCAAAAATTTTTTATATTTTGACCTAAAATAAACGAATTCGCGAACAGTTCAAAACACATTTTGGGGAAAAAAATCAATTATGGAAAATTGCGTCAAATTAATTCGTCTGCAATTTTTCATCATTCCTCGAAAATGTTCGAAAATTTTCTCATCGATCCATTTGTTCCTGACTGGAGTTTTTTGAAGACCATCGTGCTCCTCATACACTATTTAATAATTCTTTAACTGAAAAAGGATAACATTCTGGAAATATGTTTATCACAAGACCGAAAGACATTTTTTAAAAACATTGACTACGTGCCAATATTTTGCGTGTCTGTCGAGGCAGCGAAAAGTACGCGACATTGCGTACCTTGCATTTAATATTCAGTCACAGATACATTTAAATCTATACTGATTTCTTTAATATCCCGCCTCTCTTGAGTCGTTTGCAGGCTGATAATATTATTGATTTTTTGAGTGTAATTATTTTTCAACGACCAGAACGAGAAGTCTGAGGTGTACGCTCTGAAGATCGTCATTGAAAAAATTCTGAAGTCGGCGTCCGACACCTTCTGTCGTTTTGCCCCTTTTGATATGGAGTGGACTGTTTAATTTTTCTTGATAAGCTTGCCAATTTCTTGAATTTCAAACTTTATTGAAATTAAAACGACCCTTAGAATTTAAATTAACCAGTTAGACCCGAACGTGACCGTAGCAGAAGACGCATGCCCGTAGATCGACTCCAATACAGAAGTCGCCGGAAGAATATTTGATTGTTATGCTTTTAGTGTTTTTTATTTCGGTGTCAAAGGTCAAATAATGTCCTCGTCACTTGTCAACCAACAAAAATCGCGTCTCTCGTTCGTTTTAAACTAATTCTGATGTTTGAGCAGCGAACATTTTTCTCAAAATTCTTACACAATACCGTAGATTTCGAATCAGATGTTGGCACTAGTCACGTCGACAAAACTGTTCAGTTGTGTGCTTCACAATTTCGCGTTTCAAAAAATGTCGGCAGAACAACATCGACGAATTGAAACCAAACCATTCTGAAATCATACTAAATGTCGCATTTCTATATTTCGTTACGATAACCATTGTGGGAAATGCGTCGATGGCGGGATAAATAGCAATTGTGATGCAGCTCGAGCCGAACTCGAAACTTTGCTCGAAGAGGAAGGTGGCAGGGATGTCAATTGGAATGAGAGTCTGAAAAACCTTCTTTAAGGAAAGAAAAGAGAAAAATAGACAAAATTTCAGTTTAGATAAAAGAAAAAACATTTTTTCATTATCTCTACCTTGGCATTTAGCAAAATTTGTAGTTATAATACTACTGCCTAAAATTTTCGATCTTACAAGATCTCGGTCATTTTATTAAAATTGACTTTTTTTCTTCGGAGCAGCCTCAAATATAGGGGAGCTAGCGGATTAGGTGAAGGAGGTAGGCAATTGAGATTATCGACGTCGCAGTGCATTATTCTTGCGTCGCATGCCGAATTCGATTCCAGAAAATGTCCCATTTCTTACCATATAGAGCTCACTGATTGAGTTTGCAATAGTGAATGTTTTACCGATAATTTGAATTATTTAATTGGATTCAGTATATTGAAAAATTTATTCATTTACTGATTCCATAAAAGGCATAATTTTCAGGATAGCGAATATTGAAAGAGCAATGACAGAGTTGAGCGGAATTCCACTAAAACATTTTATTACGTTTTCAAGTTTTTCGCTTCGACCAACTCTGATCAACCACCAATTGCTTTTTAAATACATATTATTTGCGCATTCAATTAGTTTAACAAGCCCCACATAATATTATAATATTTAATTCGACCAATAATTGGCTTTGGGTGAGGTTGTCGATTATACTAGAATATTTAAATCGTTTGAGGACGAATTTAAAATCACACTGAAAGGCCTTTTGACCGATGCGTCTCGTTCACGATATTATTGGAAGTAATTTTAAACTAGAACGTTTAGCCATATTTGATAGAGCTGAAATTTCTTACTTGAAACATATATCTCGAATCAATTATCTTTTTCTTTACCATATTTATTCATTGAATTTTTTTATTCCAAATGAAACGGGGGGAATTAAACTACCTACTTATTAATAGTGTTTGCCCATCAAACTCACTGAAATTTTTAAAATTCCAACTATGCTTCAGTTTCTTTGCGATTCCAAATAATTCCCTCAAATTTTTTGCGATAAACTATTATAAAAGTCCACATTCAACACAACTCCCGAAAATGTCCGCAGATGCTATCAATAAAATTTTTGTTGTTACGATGAAAAAAAAAAACAGGGTAGGGTTGAGCTCATTTTGCCAGCGAAAAAATAAAAAATGCCCCATCATCTCGCGATTTCTCACTACTTCAAGCACACGACATTCTAGCACCGTTTCTACGGTTGAATAATTATTTCAAAATCAAACAGACGAGAAAAAAATTATATAAATTGCTTACAATGTACTTTTCAATTACTTCCGTGTGAATTTCTGGAGTCCTTTCTTATTTTCAGAATTCACTTTGGGAAAACGACATGTAGATCAATTTTTTAACGATGAAAATTTATATGATAGAGAAAAAAAAGAAACAAATAGTGAAAAGTGTCAAATATGTATATTAAGAAAAAAAAAACCGCATTTGATTACATAGAATTCATTAGTACAATCCAGATTTGTGGAGATTTTGCTGAATGATCATCGTGATGACCGAGTCGAGAATCTTCTGCACCTGATCGGTGTCGGTCGCGCAGGTCTCATGGACGAACATCGCCTTCTTCGGGTTGTTCGACAAATTTTCGAATTTCTGTTTGATGAATTTAATGGCATCTTCGTATGTTTGGGGTCCTGCAGCGAAATGATAGAATGAGAGAGCTCATCAGAAGCTTCTCGAATACCTCGATAATCCAGAAATGCAGTAGTAATGTTGACACGTTTGATTTTCTCAGCGAACAAGTCCTTCTTGTTCAAGAATAGAATGATCGAGGTGTTGTTGAACCAGCGCGAATTGCAAATCGATTCGAATAATCGCATCGATTCAACCATTCGATTCTGAAAACCGAAGAATGGTGTGGAGGCGAAGCATTCCGATTCTTACCGTTGTCTCATCTTCAAAAAGAACCTCATCGTATTCGGAAAGTGCCGCGATGAAGATGATGGCGTTGACATCCTCGAAGCAATGAATCCATTTTTTCCGTTCCGATCTCTGCCCGCCGACATCGAAAACCCTAGAATTTTAGGTATACTAATCGCGAGAATCTTCTCAACCAATGACTACATAATTATTTGCAATGGAAAAGCTTATATAGTTAAGAGTCGTGGGTCCACCAATTCAACCAACCTGAAGTGAACTTTCTTGATCACAAATGAGACCTCGATGATGCCAGTAGTTTTCGTGCGCGTCAGCAAAATGTCCATATCGGTCGGCCGGTAATTGGGATTCGCGATTCGTTCAACACTTTCGAAAAAGCTGAATTCAATCAATACTCCTTCTGTTTCTTCTAGAGCATTTTCCTTACAATTGGCAGCTTTCATGCAAATGCAATTCCAGCCGTTTCGTCTCATATAGCTCGCGAACCGCCTTGTCATTCCAAAGATTCTGAAAATCGGAAACTCATCAAAATTCATTTTGGAAAGTAGATGGATTACTGTAAGAGCCACTGTGAGCTCTGGAGTGAATGGCTCGGATTCCTTGCTCTGTTTCACGATATCAGCAATCACCTTGGCGTCATTCTGAGATGTGAACTTTATTGTAACCCAGTAGTTTAAAGGCGCATACCTCTCTAGCACTATGCGCGAAGCTGATATTATATTTAACCATTGCTTTGAGAAGCGCGTTCATCGCGGTCACTGTGTTATTATAGACAATCTTAAAGGGACATATGATGATTCAGCATTAATTAAATTGAGAATGTTGCCCGTTTTCAAAAATCTATGCTGCGGACAAAATCAAACCTTCTTCTGCTGCTGCATCTCCTCATCGGAAAACCCTTTGTTGTGCAATATTCGCATCTGTTTGAGAACCGTCGATTTTCCGCATTCACCCGCGCCTTGAATGCCAATTAATTGCCGCAATTAGTCGCACAAATTAGTCGAGACATACCGAGGAGGAGCAATTTGACAGTCTTCTCATCAGCCGATTGATTCTGTTTGAGAAGCTTATCGATTTGTTTGCTCTTCGAGACGCCGACCTTCTCCTCCTCGCTCTGACACAAACCCATTTTTGCTGGAAGGCGAACACCCGGTGGAGAATTGCTGTAACAACAACAAAAAATAAATAAATAAACGATAATGAGAAAAGGCGATGGTGACTTCATTCAAAAATCTTATGACAAAATGACGCAGGTGAAGTTCAGAATGTGGTTAGGATGAAGCTCGAAAATATACGATAGAGCACGTATATGATAAACGCTGCGTGAAATATTCAGTCGGTTTCGCGTCGTTTGTGATGAATTGTTTGCGTTTGGATGCATGAATGAGTGGAGAGATGGAGAGCCAAAAACGGAGCCAAACCGACGAGCTCACGGTTAAATTAAATTGGTCAAAAACCAAATAGGCAATGTTTAATTGCTTTTGGATGTGCTCTCAAATATATGCCTCACCATGAAATTGCGTCTTCCGATTTTCAGACGAAATTGGCAGATGTGATTTTGTAGAGGAGCACGTGAAACGCGAGCACATCTTGCTGATTAGCCAATTCAAAAGTGATATCGCCGTTTCAATTTAAAAGGAAACTTAAAGAAATTCCCACAAAACTCAATTTTTCCGAAAATTTGCGAATTGATTGCTGCTATGAGGCCATATTTAAAGGCACGCGCTCGAAAAAACGAAATCGGAAAAAAAACGCAACAAGCAAATTTATATAAATTCAAATGAATCGCCGAATATCATGTTTCAAAGGAATGGGTTTAAATAGAGCGATGCAAACAAAAATAGAAGGAAAAAGCCGACTTATCTCCATCAAATGATAAATAAAAACGCGATGTTTCGGGTCAATAAATTAAAAAATATTTTTAGAAATCATAAAGCCCCCTCCCCCCTCAACCAGAACATTCCATCAATATGAAATCTGTACTCTGGTTTCTCACATTTACTTGCTGGGTTGAATGGGCCTCAACTGGCCAATTGATCTACGTTATTAAACCGACGATTTTTTGACATAAAAAAGAGCCATCTGCGGACAATTTCAAGAAGGAAGAAGCTCGTTTAAATTTGGCCCTTGGTCCGCAAGGATAATATAATGGTCCCATTTTGCCATTAGAAGTGTCGAATGCAATATATTGCACCCACGCAAATTGATAATTTTTTCTGAACATTCCATCTCAATATGTAATGGCGTATTAATTAATCAATTTCAAGTTATGCGCCTTTAACAATGGTCTCGAAGCGCGTTTGCCTAATAAGGTCATCATCGGAAGACGTCATGCGCACGAATGAAAACTTGATGGAAATAAAGGAGTGTTGTTTGCCCAAAAGACAACGTCCGGAAATCAACGAAAAATAAATGAAATTCGATGCGATGATTTTTTTTCTCGGACGAAACGCGATGAATGAATAAAGAATGAGGAGGTTTTTATTGTCGCCTGAAAATAGAATGGCGAAATTTGTGTAGGTGGAATAATTCGGCAATCATATATCTCTACATCTACATCCAATAATACACTAATCAGAGTCCCTTTGGGATCATATTGTTAATAAGCCGGTACACTCATCAAAATTGCACTTTTGATTTGGGCTAATGAAAGAAGATGGAGAAAAATCGACGCAGCAGATTATGACGTAAGGGGGGGGGGGAGTTTGAATAAGAAGGATTTGTTTAGGTCTAAACTAGGAGACGTCGCTGGCTAATTATTATTTCCGACATTAACTACATACATATATCGGGTAGTCAGATCAGAACGCAATCAAACAATATCGTCATAAATTTTTGTATATCAAAAAAGGATAAATAATGGAATCGGAATTTAATAACACCGATTTCCGGTTAGCTTTACTCATTCTATCACAACGCGGTTTCCCCATAGCAACCAACAGCAATACATGTCGCGAGTCGGGCGGCCTCTGTCTCTCGTTTAAATCTAATTTGCTCGATATCAAAATAAGTGTGACAATCAAAAATGCCAATGTACGGTAATCGGCACGAGCGGTGTGAGGCCCCGACAACAAAAATTTTTGTTTTTGCAAAACCTGAAGCTGAGAACAATTTCTACGTAGCATCCTCTGGTGCAATCAAAATGGACCAATTCGAAAGAGAATTTGTTTTTCGCGGGCCATTGTAGTATGGTCTCTCTTCGAGACCAGCTTTCAAGATGCCCCCGTTAAGAAATCACAATTCTCCTATAGACTAAAAAGATCAAACAGGATTCATAAACGAGAATGAGATGACAAATGAGAAGTTAATTATTAGATAATTAAATTCTCAAGAATGGCAATTATGAATGGAAATTTGTCGAGTATAATTAAGAACCAATTGGGCCGACTTCCAAATATGGAAAATTATTTTTTGAGGAGGAAATTATTTTTAGTTTAAATCCTGCGCAAACTCACGTGTTTTTTTTTTCACACAAGCTCAACTATAATAGAAATTGAGAGGCTATCAGGTTCAATATTCATCAATTCATTCATACGCATATTCAGTGTATGCAAAGCGGCGTGAAAAGCAGCGGCTTCGCAACAACCGCCCCCCCCCCCCTATAATTTTCGGCGATAAATGTGAGCCGAGATGCCAAGAGATTCTGAATACAAAAGAAGGCGTCATCACCTGTCGCCGAATCGATAACTCGATATTTCGAATCTATATCAAAATTTTGCGTTCAAAAACACACCAGGCGACTGTAAATAAAAAAATTTCAGCGGTGTACGCTTCGATGATTCGACTATTCATTGAAAAGTTCTAATGAGTCAGAAAAGAGACAAAAAGTGAAAAAATCAAGTTTGGTCTGAAAATCACCTTCGCTCATGATTATGCTCAATATGTATTTATAAAAACGACAGGTGAGAAATTCACATTGTGTACGTCATTTTTGGAGAGGCTTTCGGAAACATTTTGCTTTGAACGGGCTCTTGGCACGATTTTTTTGGAAGTATTATAGTCTGGGAATCATTGGAAATGTTACGTTTGAAGGCGAGATGGTGATCGCGCTCGTCGAAATGTTTGGTGCAATGCGTACACCTTTAAACGAACATGGTCGACTATTGGATTTTGTAGAAAAAAAAAGGCAAATGTCGCGTAATTATAATCTTGAAACAATAATTATGAGAAAAATTACATTTGAAAATACATATTCCAACGAATGGAGCCCCTTGGCGCGATGCTTTGCTTCAATAGAGATTACTTATAAATGGCAAGTTTTTTGATTGTTAAAGGAATTCTATAGTAGCGTATAGTCAAATTTAAAGGCGCAAATAGCAAATTTAATTTTTTTTCTTGCAAATCAATGAAAAATTGCGTTTAAAATGCCCTGGTGTTCTACTCAATAACATGCACTTGTTCATAATGGCGAAGATTGTTTTTCGGTTGTAACCTAATCGGTGGAAATGAAAAAAAAAGCATAAACGAGGCTGCAATTGATCGACACAACTCGTTAATATTCGAGCGTTAACAATTTTGAAAGATATTTGCTGGCAATTTGTGTCGCCGGTGGCAACCGCAGATATGCGCCTTTAATGAACAGACTTCTCGCGTGTTGGAAAGAGATCGTCTCGTCGAGACCCAATTTCAAGGCGCACATGAGGAAAAAGGGAATCTTCAACGGCCCATTCAGTCGGCAACCAAAATATATCAATTTTTGAAGGCCTACAATATTTGTGGGCGCATAAACAAAAAGAATAATAATTATTAATGATAGCTTGTTGGGTGGTTTTCTTTTCAACTTTCTGAAAACACGGAAATTGCATATCTTGCATTAGATTTCGATGTAATCTCTGTTTAATTGTGAACTCTGCCAATTAATTTTTTTTTGAAAAATTGATTGGTTCAGAACTATCGACTTTAATTGGCAATTATTTGAAAATTGTCAGGGTCTTATGGTAGTTGCTTTCTTTTACACAATTTGTCTGGGACATTTACAAGCACCAATTAAAACCAATTTAACTTGAGTCTAGTTTGAATTAATCACAATCGCGACGAGAAACAAGGCCTTTTGATCTCGCTCCTTGAAAAAAATCCAATTTTCTGAAAGTTCGCTTCAAGAGCCTATTTAAAATGAGCTCAAATGAGAGAGAGATTCCGGCCTCCACTTGTCAATTTCTTTCATTTTTTTCTTGTTTCTATTATGAGAAAACTAATAATTGTCGGCACTCAAGTCTGAACTCTTGGGTTGGTTTTGTGATTGATTGAATTCCACACGTGGTTCGGGTCTTGGAACGTGATTATTTCAAATGAAATTATTCGATACATTGCCGCCCAAATGGAGCCATAATTTAATTGGATGAGTTATCAAATTTGTGACGTCGACGATGAAACAGAGATCTTGATGGCAATAATTAGCAAGCTAATTAAAATTCTTCTTCGAAATATCGGGAATTTATGCAAAGCAGCAGGGGTCTCATCACATAATTCCTACATACTAGAGTTCTCAAGATGCCCTAATTATGCAGCTTCTCCTCTTTAATTCACTATATCTAGATATTCTGAGACAAAATTATAATAATACTATTGATTTGTAATGTTATTGTCGCATTAATATTTCTTTGTTTATTGGCGGGTCTGTCTTGATTGGCCACCGACAAACACAATCGTATATTCGAAAATGATCAAGAATCACCTTCCTTTTATGTTTATTAATAATTCTAGATGTTGAAGCTGTTTTCACCTCAAACAAATTTTTTAATTCAAAGTGTATGTATAACAAAAAAATTGAAAATCGGCATAATTGTGACAAAGTGCTGCTTGGAAAATCCTGAAAATATTTATTATAATGCTCATTAATTAAATTATTTTTTCGCCCATAAAGAGTAAATCTGATTTTTTCATACTTCAGTGAATTTTTGCTGGAACTCATCTCATTTTTCCTTGCTTTTTTTGCGTCATAATTTTCAACGGAAATCAATTATTTTCAAAAATAGTTTTTCTCGGATATTGGCTATAGAAAAAATGTTCCAAAACTCATTTTAAAATTCAATATGAAAATGTCCAAAAAAGTATTTCTAATTTTGAGAATGTCAAGCTCGCTTGATATTAGGGACCCTTAAAATCTGCAAAGTTTCGAATTGCGAGATATCTCTACATAATTTTAAAGAAATCGTCAAAAAAGCATAAATTGAGGAAAAGCAAAAGCCAAAGATAATAAATTATTTTGACGGAATGTGTTGGAGCATACATACATAAATCAGATCAAACTATGTCCAAAAATGGAAATTGATTAGAAGCAAATTTATAGCACAATCCAATTCGCTTGGCTATAATATCATGTGGGATAATGGTTGCTATTAGAGTAAAAAAGGCGCGATAAAGTAATATGTATGTTTATGAACTAATATGGTGTTAGAGGAGGGTGTGGGAGAATGGCAAGAGGAGGCCTCTTCAAAAAAAAAATGCATGTATCCCGCCACCAAAATATTGTGAGGGTGTTTCTTTTTTTCAACGAAACTCGAATTTGTTTCTCACTGATTCTATGAATCGAATAAACTTCAATTTATTAATACTCGGTTTGGTTTCTCATGAACTAGACGTGAGGGTATTCGATTAAGGTGCACACATTTGAATATATGTACATATTTGCTGACGTCGAACTTGATTCTTTGGTATCAACAATTTATTAAAATTCAACAAAAATCTACAAATAAGTTATTATTATTATTATTTATTTTCAATTATTATTGTTTTTTTTATTTTTATTATTGGGTAGTGTATGGTTCGATGAGCTGCTCAAGCTCATGAGTATCATTCGCAATCACGTCATTCTTCTCGGTTTTCGGTCGCGCTTCTCCTTCTTCTTCGGACTCTTCGATTAATTTGAGACCTTTGGCCCAGATGAACACCCAAACATCGGAGAGGAGCGAGAAGATCCGCAGGCAACCATAAATCACGTGAAGTCTGAAATCGTGCGTTTCAGCGTCAACCTCCATTTATCGACGCCTACCGTATCCTGAGCTCGTCGGTATCATAGATTGAGCACGAGCTGTGTGAATCACACGTCTTCTGCCACAACACGCAAGACATGTCAATGATTTTGCCCCAAATAATTGGCGATGGGAGTGTGGCGAGAAGGCTGACGAGGAACCCGTTGAAGCCCAACGACACGCTTCGATGCTCGGGAGGGACGGCTCTGAATCGAATTTTGAAAATGCGAAAAAGAATTACAGAGGGTTCAACCTCAATACTATTAGCATTCCAGGGACCACTGAAAGCCCGCCAAATATGGCACCGATTGCTTGATGAAGGCAGAATCGATCCATTTCGGATTCACAATGATCTGTAAAAAACTCCCAAATGGTGGCTGTATGACTAATTCAAACATACCCGTCTTGCAGAATGTACGGCTCACTTCCTGGTGCATATTTTCAACGCATGTGCAATTTTCGAAAATCTGCAAACAAATTGAAACGGCTGCGCAAAATTCCGTCAGATTCTTACCAATGGTGTGCTTGCTGGCATTGAGGTGTTGAAAATGTTGTAGCCTTTCCATCCGAGAGCGCATCCAGCATGACATGGCGAATAGAAGACCTCACCACTGCATAACAGATCAGTTCAACAATATGAAGACAGAATTCGTACCTCTTGTCACAGACTGGGTAAAATGGCGTTTCTTCACACAAGCAGTCGCTCCTACATGATTGGAAGTTTGGCCCGTTTATCTTCACTTGATCTCCGATCATTCCGATCACTGATTTGCATCCAACCGTGCCGTTCATAAATGAGATGAGAGCTCCTACGAGACTGCACGCTGAAATCAAGCAATTCGCAATTTTCAGCTTTCAAGAGCTGTTGATCTACCGGCGACCCATGCGGCCGCTTTTCTTCCTTGAAGTTTGAACTTTCTCAATGTGAAACTTCCGAGCATCACCCCGACGGCGAAGCCGACAATTCCGGTTCCTGCGATATAGCGCTGAATTTTGTATTGTGGAACGCCGAATTGCAATTCCATATATTTGGCCATGAACACGAAATATCCCTTGAATGCCAAAACGTCGACAATCCGACCCAACATCGATCCGACGAATATTTTATTCTTCAGCAAATTTCCAATAGTCGATTTGAAATCTGAAATTGAGAAAGTGCAATGAAAAGAAAACAATAATTATGCGGCTACCATTAAATTTATCTGCCAGACTTTCCGGCATCACCGCGTTTCCTTTCGAGTCTTTCCGAATATGCCGATCAACCAAGTTCAGCCGCTTTTTTGCTTTCTCGCCCGGCTTCACCGGCACCGCGACATCCAAATCGTCAGAAGGGAAGAGGTAAAGAACAACTGAGGGTCCGAACAGCAAACCACCGAAGATGAGGAATCCGAGCCACCAGCATCCGATCCACATCGGATCAAGCGGCGTGAGGCCCTGTGGAGCTGAAGAAATTCTCGATGATTGACAAGGTATCTCGAAATTCCTTACTTACGATTGAAATCATAATAGAGTTTGTTCAACTGGCCACCGACAAGAAGGCCGATAACCGGACCAAGAATTTTCACGAAAAACATAAAGGCTGAAAAACGCTGATAAGGAGAATTTTTAAGGGAAAGCTTACAAAAGTAGAGGGGCAAATTATGTTTTTTGACGTTATCATCCATTAAAGGGAGTCCCAACGAAAATGGCATTGTTCTAAAAAAAAAGTTAAAGAATTTGGCCCTTTTAAAATTCTAACATACCTGCCTACGCCTAGAACTAGCAATCCACCGAATATCATCATGAATGGGCCGAGATTCGACTCAGTTCCTTTACATGCGTAGTGCTATTAATAATGCTAATTTATAGCCAATCGTTTGAAGGCTTACTTCAGCTCTGACAAGATTTAACATCGAATGACAGAATCCATAAGGAAGGGCGATCATCGCGCGAACACTTGATAATTTTGCCTCAGTCAATGGAAATTTCATGGAGATTTGATCCTGAAATTCAAAGTATTCCATCGTGAAAATGGAGAATATATCGAAACCTCCAAATCTTTGCATATTTTCGAACCATTATTATAATAGCAGAATTCAACGTACTTCTGAAGTAGATCGTTTTTCTCGTCTCCTTCCTTTAATTCAAAACGTTTCGAGATTTTAGCGAACAACTCTTACATATTGAGTAACTACGATATTGTGCGGATCTGTCAACGGATGAATTTGCTCGAGCCACTCGTGCTCGGTGTAATTCACATCTCTTGTCACCAGATTCCTATCGACTTGGTGTGCGAGAATCGGATTGATGTTGGTCGTCATGTTCACCTTCTCAACGGGAAACAAGAAATTGCTACTGGCGATCATGAAGTTGGCGATGGCGATGAGAATACAGCCAGCTCCGATCCAGCGAGCTCGATTTCCCTGAAGACAATTAGTTGAGATGTTTGAAATCCCAGCTTTTTGAATCACTTTTCCTCCAAAATAGCTAGTAAAAATGACGATGGGAATGTACGCAAAGTCTCCAGCTGACACCATTGTTCCGCTTAATCTTGATGGAATTTGAAATTGTTTTTCAATGAACACAACCGCGCTGGAAAAAAATGAGAGGAACTCGATGGAAGTTATGATTTGATCTACCTGGTCATATAGAATCCGCCAATTGATTCGAGAAAATATACCGTACCAAATACAATAAAGAACCATGTTACTTTACTAACCATATTACCCAATTGTGTGAATTTCGATTTCTGAAATTTTAGGGAAAAAAATATTTACAATGATTTAAATGAAACCAAGCAACAGAAATTTTTAAAGGCGCATTCTCTTTAAATAACTTCAATAATCGTTTGAAACGATTAGAAAGTAAACCGACAGGTTCATTGACATGATCATATAATGAAATTTTTGATAAAATTTGAAATGCAACTTTTTTCGTTTCATGGAATCTTAGGAAATTTTGAGAAAAAAAATGAACAAAATACAAAAATAAATAAATGGTGAAGACAATGAAGCAACTGTGACCACTAAAATTTTGTGTTCACCGTATTGATAATCGACTGATAGGGATTACGAAAACATTTGAATAACTAGCAAGGCGCAGACATTGCCGACTGATAGCGATATCGAGAGCACAATGTGGGCGAGATACAAGTCATAAGGTTTACAGCCATTAAGTGCCTACAATTTGTCACCGTGTGTGCGGTTTTGGCCCTGAATTTAACTATTTTGGGTTCAAATAAAATCACGTATTGTTTTTGTGCATTCTAGGGGAAGGTAATACAAAAAAAGGTCCGTAAAAGATATGCACCTTTAAATAGGCTCACATGGGAGATCTTAAGAACATTTTAAATAAAACCAATGAAATGCATCAGTTATGATTATCTTTAAATTAATTTTTAGTTTCATAAATGTCGAGAAATAATTTTTTAACAAAATTTGTTAAATTTAAATATTTTTTATATCGCCATGAAACTCGAAAACGAGCTTTATGGTATTCTTTGGGAAATTAGTAATATTTTGGTATAAGTATTAAAAATTGATTTCAAAAATGTTTGTCAACGACAACAGTTTTGTTTCTCTTATCAACCATTTTCCAGCGTGTCATCATTTTCGACGACGGGCTTGAACAACTTTGAACGATCGTTTGTTACTGTATGAACCTTTAAACAAAATTGAAACAGAAAATATTCAAGAGTAATTTATTAGCAACTATTTCTCAACGGACATTTCAGATGTCCGGTTTCTAGCAAAATGCAAAGCATACAGAATGCGGCATACGAGAAAATCATAAGGAGTCCAAAGAATTTATCCATTTTCCATTTCGAGATCGCCACACATGCGAGTAGTACCAATAGCATCGCGAACAGCAATCCCAGCGAGCACGCCAATCCATTTGACGTCACTGATACTGCAAACCGAATCACATCAAAGGCTATCGGATTCCTAGGACGCTACTATTTGAATGCGAATTTTTGAAATATGCGATGACGAAATGAATGAGCCATGGGACCGGCAAACCAACGCAAACATCGAACAAATTTGAGCCTATCGACGAGGAGACCGCCATGTCCCCGAGACCTTTACGAGCAACGATCACCGACGTGATCAGGTCCGGAATACTGGTGCCAGCCGCCAGAATTGTCAGTCCCATTATCTGTACGACAATCGAGGTTTTCTACTCAAAACGCACAACGCCAACCTCGGTCGGAATGCCAAAAGTTTCACCAATTGTGTTCGCCCACCACACCATCAAATATGAATAAGCAGCGATCCATAGGATCGCGCCGCAAAACGTGATCGCAAAGTATTTTCGACGACTCTGAAAATCTCATTCATATTTCGAGCAACGCTTCGGTTTTGATTGATCTCACTTGTTTGCGAACATCTGGAAGAGTATAAGCTAATGGGAATGTGATGGGAACCAGTAGCACAAAAATGACTTTCTTCAGACCCGATTCCGGCCACGAGAGATCGAGAGGCTGCTCAGCAGAGGATGATGCAATCGACAGCTGAACCCGACCACAATTGCCAAGAATCAAACAAGCTATCATTTCTTACATTATCGAGCATTATTGGCGGCACTGGGCTGATTTTATTGCCGGTTGAGCTCAATCCATTGCTCACTGCTGGATTGACTTCCACAGGTGTCACATTGTCCTTATTTTTCTCGCCATTCTGCGAGCCGCCAATATTCAATATCGATGCTGTGGTCGTTATATTATCTACAATTTCATTTCATACTATCCAATATTAGGGAAAAACGATATGAATACTTTGCTTCACAAATTCATCATCATTTTCTTGTTTCGCCGGCTTCACCATTATCACGTTTACAGACGGAGCAAGTTTTGTATTATGGTTCTCACTCCGCGCTGATGTACGAGATGATGATGCTGACGTTGGAATTGAAGTTGCAGATTCGTCTGAACATGGCCTAAGAGCATGAAATCATTTCAGCCATACCTTCATCTCCCATCACTAACTGCGCTATGCTCTTCCGAACCTCCTGACCTATAAAGAAATAATCTAAAGAGAAACTGGTAGTCATGTTGATACCTCCATGAAGCATTGGGAAGCTTCGACGAGGCTCGTATCCATCAGCGCTTTCTGGAATATTCGGAGTACCATCGATTCTTTCATTTATGGTGATTGTCGTCTGAATCTGAATTCCTCCGATGCTTCAAAAAAAATATTCGATTCTCTTACTTGCTGATTTCCTATGGAGAAATTTCGCAATAAAAACATTTTGACTTTGATTTCGAGCGCGCTGTTGTACTTCATAAACACCCCGTACGCAATGTACATGAGGAACATGACGAACGCCTGTCATAAAAGAAAATAGATTGCAAAAATGTCTAGGAGGATTGAAGGCGGTCTCGACACGCGAGAAATGCATAGCTAATCAAAACCAACCTCATACCACTCGATAACCTCATCTTTGAAGAAAATGAGCAACAGGAATAGGGAGACGGTGTAGAAGGACATGTCGCGGAACAATGGCCACCACGTCAAATGGAGCACCTGGCGGGAGAAGAGTGTGCAGAAGGCGAGCACACATAGAATGTTGAATGTCGCCGAACCTGAGCTCCGTAATTGGAATCGTGTTGAGCATGGTCCCTATTACCAACAATGGTGCCGACACCGACATTATCCTGCGCGATGAACACTCCGAATAGGGATGTGAAGAACTCTGGCGCCGATCCGCCGGCGGCCATGAAGGTCGCACCGGCGACGTCATCGGATATTGAAAGCTGAAATATTAAACAAGTTTGAACTTGCGCGAGGAAGTAAAATGATTGCGGCAGACGGCTAGAGTATTATGATCGAGACGCAGAGGATCGCCTTACCACTTCCGTGATGACTGATAGCGATGGCACGAAGAATTCGTCGCAGACGACGGCGAGCGCGACGAACATGTAGATGAGCAGCAGAATGTGAACAATGACACCGCCATGACGTCGAGTTGACAACGACATAAAGTCTTCAGGAAACTGGGAGCTGTTCGAAGTGGCGCCTGAATCTCGATGCGCTTGAACTAGCTGTCTTTCAGATGAATTACCTGCTGGAATTCGTGGTCTGCAATCATCAAACTCGTATTCCACATTCCTCGTATGTCTAGTGTAGCGTTGAAGACGCGTTGATGAGTTTTCTGTAGAAAACGAAACAACAGGATGAGCCAATTAGAGGAATCGATGATGCGATTATCCTACCATAATTGTGTTGGCGGTAAATAAGCGAGAATATCGCGAGAATGATAAGCGAGCATGAGAAGAGCGTTATCGAGATGATGGTCCGTGCGCGGCGAGTCTCCTGACAAACCCACTTTACCATTGTCACATAATGGTAGGAAAGAAGGAGCCCTTGAAGAAATGATGAATGTTGTGCCGAATGCCACGTGGCAAATGATGAGATTCAAACACGCAATGAGCAATCGACTTCGTGGAGCTTTGAATACATTATTTAATTAAGAGATGATCTTTCAGATGCAAATCAAAATTCACATGGATCTTGAAGCGAATTTTCAAAAAAAATAGCCTTACACTTAAAGGTGCATGGTGGAAAAGAAGATAAATATAAAAATTAATTTGTAGCTTTTAAAATTTTATTTTTTTTTCATTCGTGAGGTTTTTGAAATTCAAAAACTGTGAAATTCTGGAAATTCTGTGCAAGAGACGGCAGAAGGTGATTGATTTAATATTTTGAAGGCCTTTCTTCGAAATTATCATTAATTTTGATTCCTTCAAGTTGATTATTAATGTGATATTGAAAATAACACGAAAATTCGATTGCAAATATTAGTAATAAATGAGCGGTATGGTGAGTGTTCGCGGCCGAAGCGGCGACGACGAGTCCGGAAGCGACGCATTAAATGTCTAAAAATCTCGACGAGAAACTTCAAAAATTCTGTGAGCTTTTGAAAATATTTTGGAGACGTTTTACGTGACATTCGTGAGGTTTCGAATCTGATCGGTGATATGGGTCCAAACATTTTTTTTCGACTTTTTTGCGCATAAAAAATGTGAAAAAAAAAACTATGTGTCTATGCTACGATCGTTAATAAAAAGAAACGAACGCCCCAGTAAAAAAATCTACAGCGAGTTTGATTCAAAGTAGTACGGTAGACGAGTTCGAAATTCGAATTACCGCGCTGACAAAATATGCACGTTCGTCTCAAGGGGCTCGTTTTATTCGCGACGGTATTTTTTAGGCGCTTCATAAATTTATATGGGCGGAAGGCATCGGAAACTCGTGCGATTCTTAAATCGGATAAAACGATAAGATGAAAAATTGAAGAAGTATATGGGCAGATATATGAATAATATAACATGAATTGCAAATAAGATACATCCGATGCAGCATACAACTCGCTTGCCATCCTCCTCCTCTCGTTCATCTTATCATTTCAGGCGAATTTGTCAAAACGTGTCGAGTCTTGAATAAATTATCGCTGGTTTTATTACGTTCCAGTCGAGAAGGAATATCCGAGCAAAACGAAAAAGAAGAAAAGTGCGAACTGAAAGAACATTATGTAAATTATATACATTTAATAACCATTAAGTGATACTTAATTGGCTAATAAAGCATTTCACGAATTATTCTTCTCTGGAAATTCCTTCAGAATTCAATGCAGCAAAATTTCGGCTTTGAAATTGACCGATTTCGGTTTGTCTCAAATCATTTTTGATTACTAATTGAAATGAAATTTGAATGGGAAAAGAGCAATTTGTACTCAAAAAACCAGTTTTTACTCGAAAATCTGAATTGTACCAAATAATAAAATATTAAAAAACCCTCCATTTTATACTATTATTCATATTCTAAATTTTGGTAACTTTCAAGGTTCAATTTGTTAGTTCTTCTATTTCTTGAAGAAGACTAATTTTTCTCTTCCTTTCCCTTTTCGCTCCATTTTTATAGACGGTTTGTGCAAAAAATGACTACTAGAACCGGCTGCTGCGAGACCTCTGGTAACTCATTATAAAAAATATTTTCTTCAAGTCGAAAATTCCTCAACCACTGATTTGTGTGTGCGTAAGGTGTGTGATTTGAGTCTTGTTGCGATTGATACTGTTTTTTCTTTCAGAAACGCACTACAAAAATTGCACACGAATAAATAAACAGTACAAAACTTCACGCTTACAAGCGCCCTTTGTTTAGTGTAAATCGTACAAATTTAAAAATGTTGACGTTGTCTTTTTTTAACTCACATTTTTTTCTTTTTTTTGCAAATCTAACTGGAATGTATCCAAGAATTTTTATTTTTGACGGTGGTAATGATCAAGTACATTTTTCCATTATAAGCGCATATTTCACTGATAAAAATAATAGTTCTTCGATTATTTCTTTTATCAGTCTGGCTGTCATTTTTGGTCACTATACGATATCATGGTTGAAGTTGTTTTCCTTTTGTCACGCCTTATCTTTACAACTTTCCACAACCAATTTAAATTAATTTATTTTAGATTCAATGGCCCATTTAGTCAACAATGCAATTGAATCGCTATTCCCCGGCGATTGCTTCGAGGAGTTGCTTATCAAGTTCAATTTTCTTCATCGTAATACTAAAAAAAAATAGGAAATGAAGTTGTATTATTTTTTTAGCGACTTGTCCAAAAGCAGTATTAAGTCGCGGTCTTGGATATGCCATCACTTTGGGTTCAATTCTTCTTTTCGTTCCTCAAATTTTGAAAATCCAAAAAGCTCGAAGCGCCGAGGTAAATTAATTTTATTAGAACATTCACAACTGATTCAAACTTATGTTAGGGTATTTCTCTACTGTCCCAATTACTTGCACTTATCGGAGCTCTCGGCACCGGAGCCTACAGTTACCGGAGCGGCTTCGTGTTCAGCCAATGGGGTGACGCCTTTTTCGTCTCCATCCAGCTTGTCATCATTCTCATTCAAATCTTTCTGTTTTCCGGAGCTTATCTCACAGCAGGATCATTCCTCGCCATTGTGTAAAAGCTGAATAAAAGAGAACTGCAACAATAATGTGATTTCAGTGGAGCTATTGTGTATGGAGTCGTCAGCAAATTAATTCCAATGAGCGCTTTGATAGCCCTCCAGGGAGCCACTATCCCAATCGTTATTGTGTCGAAGGTTTTTTTGCTCCAATTCTTAAAAAAATGACATCTAGTTTCAGACGCTCCAATGCTGGCAAAACTATAATGCTCAATCTACTGGCCAATTGTCTTTGATTTCCGTTTTCCTCCAATTCGCCGGTAGTCCAAATAATAAAGAACATTTTTATAAATTTGATTTTGCAGGTACCGTTGCCCGTGTGTTCACCTCAGTTCAAGATACCGGCGATCAGCTTCTCATCGTTTCTTTCGCATCAGCTGCGATTCTCAACGGTCTTATCTTTGCCCAATTCTTCATTTACTGGAACAATTCCGACGAAACTCTCAAAAAGAAGAGAAACTAAAAAAAGAACATCTCGGTGGTAAATTTCGTAATTTATTATATAATATTCATGTGTTCTGAAATTTTTCTCTGAATATGAAAATGTATAGAAATTCTGTTGAACAGCGATATGGAAAACAAAAATCGAATATACAATTGAACATGAACGGTTTTTTCCGGTGTTGATTAGGGAAGTTGAGAGGAATGGCCGCCATTGAAGGCGACAACTTCAATAAATACTTTAAATAAACTATGCATAACAATCTGGGAAAATTTAACAAATGATGATGAGATCAAAAAAAAAATGAAAAAAAAACAAACAAAATTTTTAAAGTCACATGCAAAAATTACGCTCGACAAGTCGCTTGCATGTTTTGCACTTGACTTCACAGCACCAAATAAATTGGCAATGACACGGCTCTTCAACGATCTCGCGGCGACTTCTCCAACCTAAAGAAAAAATCACATTTTTAAGATTTCATTTTCTTTAAATTCAGAAATACCTCTTCCGCAGCAAATTTTACCGCAGTTGTCGCCGCATTCTCGATCCCTGACATCAATGGCACAATAATTCGGAGAAGAATCGAGATAAATCAATTCGGCGCGCATGTTCTGAAAAAAGTTGATTTTGAAGAAACTAAAAATTATCGAAAAACAATGAAAAATGTATTTTTTTAATTTGAGAAGCCTATCGATATTTCAGATACAAATCTTTAACTTAATTTCTTAAAATTAAACTTTTGTTCAATTTAATCCGTTCCAAAAAATGTTGAAGCTTGATAGAAAAGAAATTCTAAATTATTAACCTTAAATTTTACTTCGTTGAAAAAAAAAACAAAATCGGGTATAATGTTTAATTCGGCACCATAATGAGCACGAATGCGACTTATATCTGCTAAAATCAAACCTTTGCCGAATCCACAGTCTTCAAATATCGCTCGGATCTTCCATTCGACGCGCTGCGCACAAACAGCTTCTGATCATTTCCAGACGTGGTGACATGTTTCGCTAGCTGATATTTTTGGTACAACTTCATCGCAAAATCATCAAATCTAGAAAACAAATCATATAAAAGCATTTTTGCTTTGAAAATATCCCATACTTTTCGACAACTTTCCAACACGTTTTAGTCACACAGCTGCCACTCACACCATGGCATTTGCATTCACGACGCATTGTGCTGGCAAGCATTCGCCGACCGACGCGATTGTTGTGCAGATTCATTTGTGACCTGAACAATTCAATTAATTGAATTTCTTTCTTTTTTTTGTTGTTGTTCATACCTGGGCTCCGACGCGTGCTGCTTATCGTAAATGTCGACGAACCGCCGCCCGAACGTGTTGGCGAATTTCACGTTGTCCGAACAGCCGGCCCAGACAAAGTCTTGTGAACGGGCAACACCGGCGATTGGAACATCTCCACAAGTGCATTCTTCAATTAATCCCTAAATACGAAATTGAATTGATAACTTCAATGAAATTCTACCTTTGCGCAGGCTCTAGCAAGAGCGTGACTCACACCAGCGGCTGATATTGCGTAGACATAAGCTGATTCGCGGGATGCTACTAAAAACGGTAATTTATTTAGCAAAGAACATTTTGAAAATAAAATAAATTACATAAAATAAATTTTTTGGAGGACTCAAAAAATACAGTCATTTAAAGGTACATACGATTTTATGATGAAGGTCTTGACCCGAATCAGAATTGAATTGTTTAAACTTTACGATTAATTGAATTTCTATTAGTTTGTTTTTGAAAAATTCCTTCAAAAAATTCTTTGTTCCACTTGAGAAATAATATTTAAAATTTGAGTTTTTTAATTGAATATTTCAAAATTAATCAGTTTTTATAAATAGTTCTGAGGTGTTTTCACTTTGTAGCGTTTTTAATCACAATAATGAACATTCGAATGGCTCATTTTCCCACAGTTTATGCAAATTTATGCCGTGAATAGAAGGAATTCTTACTTTTTAAAGGGGCAGTTCCAACTCCAGCCACATTTAATGTGCAATTCCATACTTCTTTCTTAAACGCGTTTTGGCATTCCGTTAAGGCGGTTCGCAACCCTTTAACCTTCAAAAAATATAACAATATCTTCTTTAATGTATTTCTGTCGTTTCATACCAGGTATCGAATCGCCTGCGGATGACTCATGCATATTTTGCGTTGCTGGACGGTGAGACCCGGCACTGTGGCACACGTCGTCGAATGCATAATGGTATCATCATAATTGTTCGAAAGGAGCCTGAAAAACGTGTGTGTGTGTGTGTTTGTGGGATGACATAAAAATGCAACCATATGTGCAATCGGATGGGATTGCGTTGATACACAAAGACGCATAAAATTCGGCGCAACGCAAAAGGAGCCGCACAAATCCCGACAGTCGTAAAAAATTATTGGACCGGTTGGCGGGTTGTAAAACTGTTGCAATTCGGGATATCGGCCGGCAATGTTGTGCAAACAATATTTCACAACAATACTTGTCAAGGGCAATATCTATATATAGGAAGATTTCCGCAAAATTTTGATATGTCGATTTTGCCGGCACTGCCTAGAATTATCATGGGCAAACGTATTCGGAATATCAACAATCTCGAAAAGCTTTTCTCTACTCGCTCCCTTGCGGCAACAAAAATCTCTAAAACTCGCACTCTTTTGCTCACAAAATCTTTTTTCTGTTTAAGTTTTTGCGGAAGAATCATATATAGACTTCTACATCAAACTTTAAAGGCGCTTGCAAAATGTATACGGTCTGGCTTAAAATATATTTATTATAGCGTTCAACAGCTCTGTCTTCAGTGAGAACAAAAACTATTAAGAATAAAGTGTTATAATATCTAATATTCGGGAAATTATTACAATCTGAAAATTGTTTTTCTATTCTTAAAATTCGAAAAAGAAATAGTATTTCTCGAAACCAAAAGCATGGAAGATTTTCGGAATTTCTCAAACAATTCCCACAAATGGAATTAAACAAATTTTTATAAAAATAATAATGCAATCACTTACCACCACGCTTGTGCACTCCTTGCTGTGAGAATGAGCAATAGAATTAAGATCAGTTCGGCATGCATTGTTTCGTGTTTGTCGTTGTGCGGGTGTGCGGACCGCTTGCCCCCGTCGGATCGACAATTGGTGGGCGTGACAGTGTTGTCCGCTCGTAAATCATTCGCGCGGCAGATCAAAACCGTAGTTCAAAAAAAGGGGAAATGTTGTATTCTTATCATAATTGGTTATTCGACATGAAACAAATTACAAATAAAACTCGGCTATTTTCCGAAACTTGAAGTAATCTAGAAAAAACGACAAAAAATAAGCAATACAAAAATTGGTTAAAAATTACGAGAATCTGTTACTGATTATACACTTAAGATATCGTTTAATCGTTGTTTATTCGCTCTTGACGTAGAGCACTAAACGATGAAGCATGTCTCCAACGCGCTCCGATCCAAGCATGTCAACACATTCTTTCCTAGTCAACTCGAGAAACATTTTTCCGGTAACCTCCTGCAATTTTTAAATTGATGACAGCACAACGAAACAATTTGAAAATCCAAAATTTCGACATATTGGTCATGATTTTTTACGGACATTTTCATTTTCGATGACAAATGACTTCTAGAAAATTGCGCGCGTAATAATTGGAACTACAGATAGGTGTTGGAATAATTTGGCAGGGATTAAAAAATGTGCGAAATCACGGTATCCAATAAAGAAGTATGCAAAAATTTGTTTTTTTTTTGTCCGCGACAGAATTTGAACTCAATTTGACTTAAATTGTTAGCGTTTCAGAGAGTTTCGATTAATTTCACTCTTCGAAAATAATAAACCGGAAAACAATCAAATGCCACCCACCTTTTCGCGAATTGTTCTGATCGCCTCGCTTCCAATATTCAAAAAGTTTTCCCGCAAAAATAGAGAAAGTCGATCCGCATCCCACGGCATAACCATATCAGCAGTTATCTTGCGAATCATCCGCGACTTGTCCTTCAATATTGTTTGTTTTTAATGAAACCTTTCAAATCTCTTCTTACATTAACCCATTTCTCTTCAAGCTTATTCAAAGCCGAGCTAGTCGGCGATGGATTTACAGATTTCGGCGACAATGAGGGAGGTGCGCTAAACAACGATTCAATCATATATGAATAAGTTTCAAGTCGAAACTCGAACCCTGCTTCCGATACAACCAAGTTGGGCATCGGAGATGGAGTAGACAATACAGGCTGCTCCGCCGATCCAGCTTCAGCAGTAGGGTCCTGTGCATTTTTCTTCGTCACCATCTGCATTTCAGGCCTAGATGTCAGCAAAGACGTCGTCATCTGTTGTACAGCAGGCGACATCAATCCATTGGGAATCTGAGATATCAGCGGTTTCATGTACGGCGGAATATTAATTTCAATTCCACTTTCCTGCGCTACCTGAATTTCAAAACTCAAGTGATACACTGATTGAATAGAAAACTTACCTTCTCCCGTTTTGCCATTTCGATTCTCGCCTGCTGTCGCGCTAACTCAATTTGATGTTGCTCTATATGGATCTGCCGTTGTCGATTCATTAACAAATAATGGTATTGCAGGTGAGGCGGGAGACTACTACAAACCAAATAAGGGATTATGTAAAGATAACATAAAAAAAGTTAAATATACTTTAGTGCAGCTGGATATTGTGCTTGCATGGGATGCGGGGCAGGAATTGTTGGCTTTCTTATGATATTCGGTCGTGAAGCGCGGATTCTTAAAAACAAAATGTGCATAGCATGTCAAAAATATGCCGCAAAATCGCTTACCGCGCTGTTTTCACTGGAGGACCACCACCGCCGGGCGACGATCGCTTCACTGGTAGATCGGGAGGAACCGGAGCGAGCAGCAACGACGAATTCGTCGCATTCCTCATTCGCTCTTCAAGCGATTTCTGATGTCCACCGAAAATGTTCTCGAATGAAGGAATACCCGGCATTTCATCCAATTGCGATTCGGCTTCTGCAGCTCGAGAAGAGGATTCTCCAATGTCGGATGATGAATTACTGAAAAAGAATAACATGTGATATACTTATCCGAGAGCCATGTAAATGATACAGTATTGAAGCGGCAGTGGACGGTCTCGACAAGCTAGGAGCAGGGGTTAACGATCTAGGTGAAGCCGTGACGTTTGGCGACAATGATTTAGGAGCCGATTCGCCGGACACAGGAGAAATATGATGAGATGTGGACGAGCTCGTTCCTGGGTTGATTTGAGCAGATTGTGATAGGATTCTACTCGGTCCTGCATTCCATTGACCAGGTTGAGTCATAATTCGACTCGGGCCGGGTTGAGATAGAAATCTATTTTGGACTGTATTGAATTGTGATGGATGTGACAGAATTCTACTGGGTCCAGGAATAGATGAACCTTGTCTGTCGATCGACGAAATCGGCGCAGAATGACTTGGTCCAGGAATAGACGAGATCGCTTTGGATGTCAATTTCTGTTTGAGAATCCTCGGAAGAGATCGACTTTTTCCAGGCTTGAAATAGGGCGGAGGCGCCTTTTTTGGCAACTGCTCATTCAAAAATGAATTGAATTTGGGTCCTCGTCCAGGGATGTCCGCAGGTCGATGTATGACGGGTCCCATGCCACGAACATGCACCGGAGCAACGAATCCGTCCTGTTTCGGCGCACTCGGTCCAGACATCGCGCCGGCGGGCTTCGCCGTGTCCGCCGACTCCTTCTCAATCGGCGATGCGACGCGGAATTGCGACGCAGCAAGATCGACCTGCCGCGAAATCTCGGCCGCAGCTTTCTGTTTAGCTTCCTTTTCACGATTCCTAAATAAAGTCAACTTCAATTTCTCAAACGCAATTAAGACATATTATCAATAACTTACACTTCTGATCGAATCCAATGCAACGTTTTCGTTCTCTGAAAATCGAATTTAAATCGGTGGAAAATGGTTTTCGAGAGCTTCTTACATTAGAAATGTGGCATTTATAACGACAAGGGCCATCGTGTTGATTTTCAAACGAAATAAGGTTAGGGCAAGCAGAAATCGCACGGAAAATTGTCTTAAATACAAAATAAATTATTAGTTTGAAGAAAACTAGGCTGACCTTAAGAAATCCATTAAGCTCATCAACTGAACGAATTCCGATTCCCTTTATAACATGCGATTGTTCAGTGCCTCTTCGATATTTCGCAGAAACCACTGCAGTTGGTTCTGCAGAGCATATCGATTTTTGAATGATTTGCTGTAGAATTTGACGTTTCGATTCCGTCCGAGCACATCGCATTATATGCTAGAAAAGTTTATACATTTGAAAATGAATGATTTTTCAAACCATGTAAATATGTTGCACGAAGTCATACAGCATTCCACCTTCAAACTTTTTGGGTGTCTTCTATAAAATGAAATGCGTTAACATTTTTTTGCCCGGACAACAATAATCTAATACCGCAAATGCTTTTCTACACAATAATGGTCCTACATTACAACGAACGTTCACATAAATAGTCGGAACCACTTCATCTGAAAAAAAAATTCACTTCTAAACATAATTTTTTTTTGTGAAATATACCTGCAGTTCGATAGCTCGGAAGGAACACCTTATTCAATTTAACCACCTCCAATGGATTGTCCGTGTATTTTTCTTTATCGATTTGAATTTTGACATCTTCACCGTCTTCATAGTTCAACATCAACCCATACGCCTTTGCAGAACCGCACGGGAATAAGCATCGATCGCTTAAATTCGAAATATAAATTCAAAATTTGAATGGAGGCAGTACGTTTTTCGAATAATTTGCCAATCCTTTGAGAAATGCCTGCGAATCCACAAAATCTCGCCTTCGACGCGACATACAACACCGGCGTAAAACTCTCCGACATCATAATCGAAAATCTGGAATTATTTTAAGGTTAATTCTTTTAAAAAACAGAGAAATATAAAAACCTCTAATAACCGCAATGTTGGTAATTGCATGTCTTTTTTTGAGTTGGAACTATTATTATGCTCGTCAGTAACATCGCGGAGAGGAACATTCTAAAACAAGGTATATTTATTTATATTGAAACGATTATATTTTTTTGAAACCTTGATATTTCTAAACTTATTTCTATAATGCTCCCACTCCCGTCTTTTTTTCGGTTCCAATAGTAGATCAATCGGCACAAATACTTCAATTCCACATTGTGCTGCTGTTCCAGCGGCAAAAATCTCAGGGCTATGAACATTATAGGCAGTTTTCTTCAAAATGATTATAAATAGTTGAAAAATATTCAAAATAAATCTTACTTCCAATGGACACCGCTTGCTTTTCTCTACGACTAAACGAACGTTAAAATAATGCTCATTGATAACCTCGTTCACGATCCCGTAGCACATTTGAGTTTTGTTTTTTGACATAACTTCGACCAAACTTCCAGCCTGAAAATAGTAAATAAGAAAACTTGATTAGAAAAAAAACAACTCTCACCGAAAATTCATGCCGGCCCAACTCATTGGCCTCAAAAATCGGTTTGGGCACCTGATTTTCCAACAGCATAGAATAATCGAACATTCGACAAGTCACCGAATAGTCCACTCGCTGATCATCACGAAATAGAAGGTAATTCTGCTCCCTCGCCCATCCAATATAATGACAGCGAAAATCGAACATATGAATGTAGACGAGATCGTGATTTATTCGCACTTTCAGAATTCCGCACGAATTCTCAACAATCTCAGCGAAGAAGACAATATTGGGGCGAATTTTATGTTGAATCTCGAGGTACATTCCGACGTCGACAAGCTCATAAACCTTCATCGTCATATTATCCCGATAATTATGGAGGAATTTGTAGTCATAAAAACAACGAGCATCCGCTGGTTTCAGTTTGAATTCCCTGAAATCCACCAAATCATTCTGAACGTTTATCAGAAATTCTAACCGTTTTGCTTGCTTAACACTCTCTCTATCCGTCACAAGATCTGCACAATCGACCCATTCAACCTCATCTTCATCATCCAAATATTGAACGTGGATTTGAGTAATAATAACACTCTAAACGCAAAAAAATAGGAATTTTCTCAGGGAAAATTTTGAATATTACCAAAACGGTTGCGAATCGATTCCCCTCCTCACCCTTAATCAGGACGGTCACACCTTGCGGGCAAAAAAATTCAACAAGTGTTTGATGAGCGTCGCGATGAGCGTGAAATAATTCGCGATCCGTAATCGGTAAAATACTCGTTTGACTCTAAAATCGTTCAAATTAATGCAATTCGTTACAAATCTCATTCACCTTTACAAATTTTTCCCATTTCTCGACCGATTCGTTAATATAATTGTCGTCGACGACTTGAATCGGAATACCCGAATAAACATCCGCCTAAAAAATTATTAATATACACTCCTTTGATTATCTTGATGAATTCTAACCATTTTCCTTAAATGCTATGTGAATTAAATGAAGACATCGATGAGGGTTAATAGCTGAAATTTAAAAATAAAGCTTAATAAAAATAATGGTTTTAAGTGGAATATGCGATTATAACTTGAAGGTATACGATATTACATGATTTGGATAATATGGCATAGGCATGTGCGCTCTACCGTTAACGAGGTGCTCTGCGTCTCATCCACCGCGTACACTCTCGTCGTCTGTCAATGCTGCGAAAGTTTACTGTAGCGGTCTTTGCGCTAATCGGTGTTAGAAAACTGATCGATTGCCAATTTGAACAAGACAAGGTTTCCCCTTCCGCTGTTCGCGCGAAGTGAATAGAAAATGCACTATTATAAATTCCATGAACTTGTGAAAGTGCAATGAAGCACTTGATTATTTTTTTTGCAAAAAAAAAATTTAATATCTCTGACCTCACGGCTCGCCCCAACTCACGTGCGGCCAAGAAAAATTGTCCTCAAAAATAAGCTTCGACCACGGTCACACTTTTTGGATTAAAAAAAAACTAAATGAATACGGCTGTATTTTGTGTGCTGACGATTTCAAAAACCAAATTTCGAAATGAAAGTCACAAGTTCGTAGAAATGAAAGAAAATCGCGACTAAACATTGCACATAATTTAAAAAAATTAGCCTGTGATAGTGTGCCGCACTTGCAGTTTTTCTCAGAATTTGCGACGCACATGAGGTGCGGCAAGCCGTGACATAAGCTGATTCCAGTTCCATCAAAATTCACCCAGTATCACTTTTTAAACAAAATCATTTCAGTTCAATAGAAGGAACACATGCCTCCTCGCGAACCACAAACTCCCCTGACTACAAAGACTTTCAGCGGTCGATTCCGGTAGTCGCTTTTTTCCAGAAAGGACTATAATTTCACATACTTTAATTAGAGCGTTCCTAGAAAATTGAGGCCAATGTTCATTGACTCATACTTTTTGACTTGACTCATGATTTTTGACTCATAAAAATTGTATCATGATTTTTTATTCTTTGACTCATGATTTTTGACTAGTGATTTTTGACTAATATTTTTTTGACTAACAATTTTTGACTAATGATTTTCTGAATTTTTTTAGTTGAGATTCCTGCAGTTTTTTCAGTATTCGATTCTGTTTTTTTGGCCAATATTGATGGGTAAGAAGCTAAAGGGTGGGAGGAATTGGAAGAAATGTTATTACTGAATGGGGGAAAGATTATTACTGAAAGGAAAAAAAGTTCTTCTAACTTCTGTAAGCTTAAAAAATTGTTTTTTTGGCATTTCATCGCTTATCGATTTCAATGAGAAGCGTAATCCCAGCTAAGCGGATCCACCGAAGGAATCGACTGTAACATTAAACGAATATCCGTAGTAGGCCAAATGATATGTATGATTTGATATTTTTTAGTAGTCTCCGTTATTTTAATGAAAACAACTAAACACAGTTTTTATTCGATATCATTCATTATTGAGCGTGAATAAAAGAGGGAAATGGATGGAATAACGCGATAAGTGATTTTTTATTAATTTATTTTGCAAATTATTTTAGCTTATACGGTCAGGCCTGTTTTAAAACGACATAATTTTCGATTTCTCATCAAAATTCAGGAAAAACGGTATATTCAAAAAATAAGACATTGTTATACTTTGAGAAGTTTTTTGAAGGCTGTTTTGTTAGAAGTACCATTTTGATAAAGTTTTAACGGTATAATGATCTATCGAAAATTTCAATGATTGATTAATTTTAAAAGTTTTTAATAAATATGTTATCGAATAAAAACTGTGTTAACATTTCTCCCAATTCCTCCCACCCTTCAGCTTCTTACCCATCAATATTGGCCAAAAAAACAGAATTGAATACTGAAAAAACTGCAGGAATCTCAACTAAAAAAATTCAGAAAATCATTAGTCAAATATTGTTAGTCAAAAAAAAATTAGTCAAAAATCACTAGTCAAAAATCATGAGTCAAAGAATAAAAAATCATGATACAATTTTTATGAGTCAAAAATCATGAGTCAAGTCAAAAAGTATGAGTCAATGAACATTGGCCGAAAATTGATGAAAATGGTAGTGGACATGGATGATTAATACATAAAGAGAAAGACAAGACATAATATTCCGAAAAATTTGCAATTCAAGGTGGTCACGTTTTATCTAAATTATACATCAATCTGCAAAAGGTGTGTATTATAATCGGCATCCTAGCAGCAGCACCTACTTTTGCAGCCTTTTCGGCGCAATGAGACCAATCATTTGGTAGCAGCTTACGCAGAAAAAATCGATTCGCAGCGACTGCCGCTTGGATGTGTTCTATTAATGCACAACTAATGTGCTGAGAGCCGAAGAAATCGTTATTGCACTTATTTATAAAAAAAAAGAGAAAATTCTAAAAAATTGGAACTTGCAATTGTTATCCAAAATGTTAAACTTTCAATATAACGCTTTGATATGGGTTCAAAATGAAAAAATCAATAAAAATCCAATATCTTTTATTTTAATATGAAAACCGAGAACGCAAATGAAAACATTTTCGAGTGTCATGTTAGAAGAACAAAAATACATTTAAAAGTCCAAAATATTGACGTGTGATGTTTAATGAAGAGTATAGCCTTACGTAATATGTGCTTTTTATAGAAATTATATTTATGAATAACGTAATTTCATTGATAAGTAGAAGAGATCTTCTTGATATGACCCTTTATTTTAAATGTCTTGCACAATGTTGAAATGTTAATGTTTATCCGACGTTTCGATCTTTAGATCATCATCAGGGAAGGTCAATTTACCTACAAGATAATGAGTAATAGATTGGTCAAAAAAGGAATAAAAGAGTTAAGTTGTAAGTATCAATCAAAAAACAAACAAACCATAAGAACAAATCAAGAAACAAAACAATGTCCAATACGTAACACAAAAATATGTTAGGAGCGTTAATGTGAGGATGTAAGATAACGTAATTTCAGTTAAGTATTATTTGCATGATCGCTTTTGGAAAACTATAAGTGCGGTCCAGTGAAAAATGTGGCGAAGAGACCACACTTAAAGGTACATTATCTCCAAGGACTTTCTTATTATTCATATATGAGGACAACAGCAAAAAAAGCATAATCATTGGAAAAGAATATACAGAATTAGTCGGAAAATTTTATAGAAATCAAAATGTTAATAAAAAAATATAATTCATTTTTATATGATTACACCCAAATATAGTCATTTTTCCAGGTAAAATATTAGTCATATAGAGCACCCTGAATAGATTTGATTCGCAGGTTATCTGTAGTACGGTACCCGAATATCCACAGTTTATTTCGAAATTTAAATCAACCCCTTGAAAAAAATACGATGTTCCACAAATACTCAAATATTAATATAGTCGGCGTCCGGCGATTGCTGTACGCGGGTAGATTTACGCGCATGCGCCTTGAAAAGGTCTCGCCACGCGTGAACGCTTATTTTGCTGTTTTCACGTAAACTGCTTCATTTTTCTTGATGAGTTTCACATTTCCTTGAATTTCCGACGTCATTCGATTAAAAGATTATCGTACCGGTCCATAAAATTTGAAATAACCTGTTAGTCCTTGCGAGACCATTTCGAAAGACGCATTCCCGTAAATCTACCCGCGTACAGCAGTCGTCGGACGCCGACTATATTTTGAATGAATTTTCCATGGACATTTTTTGAGATTTCCTCGCATTTCTTCAATCGTCGTGAAAATTGAAATTGTTCCAGAATTTCGGCATTTGATACTCAGTCAACTTGGGAATTTCCCGCGCCGGTAAATCTAGAATGATTTCGAATGTCCCGCCAAGATTCGGTGGTTTGAAACCAACAATTTCTGGTAAATTCAACTTTTAAGATATTCCGTTGGAAAAAAGATTGAATTCTTTCGCCGAATTTTTCTTCGACAATTTGAAAGTTGGTCTTTGCTTATTCAAATTCCGCTGATAATTTTTAACGATGTGTAAGAAAATACATTAACTGCCCGAAACGTGTGATTTGGGTTCGGCGAGCTTCAAAAAAAACCGAGAATTTTATGGGTTTTAGTTGAAAGGAGAAATATTAGATGGAATTCGTAATGGAAGAATTTCGAAAAAGAAAAAAATTGTAAATTAATGAATAACACGAATATAGCATGTATGATAGGATGATATGAATATTAATTGATAAGTGCACTTCGTGATTCAATCGTAAGTGAGCAGTGTAATCACGCCCCAATGATTTTCTTATGACAGACTAATTAAACACGTAATTACGTATATTTTGAATTAGCTTATTGATAGCGATGCATGATCATCTGTCTATGAAACCGGAACGTTTGGCTTGTTCTTCTGCTAGCCAAACCGATTAAAATTTCAGAATTCCGGCTGATAATGCACATGGTTTCACGAGGCTCATTTTTTTTTATCAATTGCCCGCCAATAATTCATACAAATAGGTGTGAATTTGTGATAATTTTCGCATTCGAGCAAAATGCTTAAACTAGCGACTGTTCTCTGTCTGGCGGTTTACGTCTACGCAGGCGTTTTACCCGAATCGCGTAAGTTTCAATTGTCGCTGACAGACAGTTAACTGTCGGGGAATTCCAGCAATTTAGACCAAATACTATTTTCTTTTTTCCCATTTCGCATGCGCCTTTAATACTGTAGTTTTGCATATATTCAAGGTAAATTTTTACGAGGCCAGAGACCCAAAAATCAAGAAGAAATAAAGAATAATTTGACCGTTGGTGAATATAAATGTCTTCGTCTCTCACAATCACTCACTATCTCGCCAGCTTCTTACAAAAATACCATAGTTAAAGCCATTTCTACGCCGCGAATTTCTCGTGAGCAGCCGAATTGGAAAGACGTGGCCGGAAAATTTTTAGACCACAAATTTTCTAGGCCATAATTTTCTTCCGTTAATGTGGAGGGATTGCGCAGACTATGGATGTATCCATTGTCATCCACATTTTAATCATTTTCGATTTATTGCATTATTTCAGTTTTGAGCAAAACGGTTGCAAATTTTGCTAGAATGTGTGATAGAAATAACGGAATATAAATTGGAATTATGTATGTAATAAAGAAGTGGTTTGAAAAATGGCATGTCTATTGTTTACATTTTCTACGTTTTCCAATAAATTTAACATTTTTCTTTTTTTTTTCTTCGCGCGAACATCAGGGCTGTGCGGCAATCGGAAATTTCGGCAAACCGGCAATTCGTCAAAATAAAAATTTCGGCTATTAAATTTTTTCAACGATAATTCGAAATATAAATACCGAATTTTTCACGGCATCTCAAAATATTCAATAGACATTGATTTTTGTTTCGCTGATTTTTTTCCGACATCAAATTGTCGAAAATAAAAAATATTGGCAATTCGGCAATCGGCAATTCCATTGCCGCACATCCCTGACGAATATGTCCATTTAGGATTAAGCTGTTATCTGCGCGTTTCTCTCGACGAGTCTAGAAATCAGCGAAATTAAAATATTTCGATTTTCTTCAAATTGAAAAAGTAGTTATTTGATTTAGAAATTTTCAGAGGTTGCCACTTACACCGATGCGTTTGCTCGTGGAAAGATGCTTGCAATCGCCTCGGCAGCTTACGCGACGAATCCGCAAAAATGCCTAACCAAAATGTTCACAGGAGGACAGGTTTCAATTAAAATATCTTACTTATATTATTCACAATTTATAGTTGAAACGTCAAATCAACGTGAAGAACTGCGCGATGCTGAAGAATGATGTGTGCTCTGGATACACTGCGGTTTCCACCGGTGACAAGGCTATCATTGTCGCTTTCCGCGGAACCCAAGGGTTCTTCCAACTCATTTCCGAGGCCAACAAGAGTATTTTCGAAGCGCAAGTAATTATCATTTCAATCAAAAAGGGACCATTTTGAAATTTGAGATGAGTTGGGTTGCTGGAGGAAAAGTGTCGAAGTACTTTGGCGACGCTTTCACCAAAGTCTGGAACGCCGGAATGAAGGACGATTTCAACGCGCTGTTGGCAAAATACCCAGGATACGAAGTTTGGGTAGCTGGACACTCGCTGGGGGGATCGTTGGCTTCTCTTGCTGCTTCATACATTGTCGGAACCAAGTTGGTGGCCGGAAGCCGCGTGAAACTCATCACCTACGGTGAACCACGTACTGGAAACAAGGCTTACGCTCAAGCTCATGACAATCAGCTGGCATACAGCTTCCGTATCACGCACAACCGTGATATCGTTCCACATGTTCCAAATGAGGACTTTGAAGGATACTATCACAACAAATTCGAGGTTTGAGAAAAAACGAGTTTCAGTATATATTCAGTATAAAGCATATTTTTTGTAATATTTAGGTTTTCTACCACGAACACATGAAGCCAAACGCGCCATTCACCGTCTGCAACGGCGACGAAGACAAGAAGTGCTCCGATGGATTGTGGATCACCACCTCCATTGCCGATCACCTCCATTATTTCGAGAAGGATGTTTCTGGATGGGGAGATAAGGGATGCAATTGAAATTCTATCGAATTCGTCATGATAAAATCAGTTTTGTTGTTGCTTTTTTTGATATTATATATAATATTTATTGCAAATTGCTATAATTGTGTTACATCTTTTGACATAAGAAACGCGATTAATTGAATGATCGGAGAAGAAATCTGGCGATTAAAGAGAGTCATACGATTCTGTTATCAATATTCCTTCTATTCGTTTTTTAACATACCAAGTCACGCATTTAAACTCAGTTTCTATTGTCTCCCGCAAAGGAGAGACGCTTCCAAAATTCCATATCGACACCACTTCGTTGAAATGGGTCGGAAATTCAAGGCAAACCTCAAACTTGGGTAATTAAACCTGGGATGGAAGCATGCCACAGACTCCAGTCGAAACGCTGCTGTTGACATTTACGCAGGACGCCAGACGTGGGTATGTCTCAAACTGGGAGTGGGTCATCCAAAAAAGTCTCTTATAAGTGGTCAAAAGATTGATTTTCATGGGTCTCAACAGAAATGCTTCAGTTATTTACTATAATGACTACTATTAACTTTTTCTTTTTCCTGCTGCTCTGAATAAGTCGAACTGTTTTAAGATTATCAATTCATAACGTCATTTTTATCTAATCAGGCTTGGCTGAAAACGTGTTTTAAAATATTGATATTATTTATACAGTGCGTTTCACATTTATAAAGCCACCCCTGTTTTTGGGTGTAACTTTGTCAATAGTGAAAATTTTTGAATTCTGTTTTCAAAATTGAATTCAGGGCTTAAAAATACATATGTGTACAAATTTTCATAATGATATCTGAAAAATTGGCCGAGTGGCATTGAAAATATTGAAAATTGGTCACTTGCAACCGTTTCACATTTATAAAGCCACCCCCGTGAACGCAGTAAAAGCTTTATTGACCTTTATTATTTATTTATTATGGCTTTATTTTTTTAACCGCTTCAGATACGAAGAAATCCTTCGGTTCGACCACCCAGCGATTTTTAAGGAATAGATGGTAGCTTTTTCGGCATCGTTTAGTAAAGATCCTCGTGGCATGATCAAATTTATTTAGAAATGAACGTAAAATAAATTAAAACATCGTACAATACTCTATTTAAAGGTACACTGCTAATTCTCGTTCAGGTTTCCACAATTTCAGACCTTTCACGGGGGTGGCTTTATAAATGTGAAACGGTTGCAAGTGACAAATTTTCAATATTTTCAATGCCACTCGGCCAATTTTTCAGATATCATTATGAAAATTTGTACACATATGTATTTTTAAGCCCTGAATTCAATTTTGAAAACCGAATTTAAAAATTTTCACAATTGACAAAGTTACACCCAAAAACAGGGGTGGCTTTATAAATGTGAAACGCACTGTATAAACAGTCCACTTTGCTCAGAGAAACAGCACGTTCGTTGAAGTATACAAAGATTAAGTAACTTCGCGCTATGGAAAAAAAATGATCGAGTAAAAGTAATTTGAAATGACAGTCAAAATGAATAAAGTAAATAGGTGCCTCTTTTCACCAATGTTATAGTAGTACTTATAATTTATCTAAAGCCTTTTTGTTGACAGCCTTAGAAATAAATATGTTGACTCCTAAGAGATTTTGTAGAATTCTTTCTTTGAGGCACACCGCTAAGAAACATTGACCCCCTGGGCAAACTATTCCCAAGATTTCATTGTCACTGCAAATGGGTTAAAATTGTTAACACATTGATTTATAATAAATCCTTCTATAGTCTGAACCATTTTTTATTCACTCATAATCCATTTTTTCCTTTTCCCAGTTACAATGATGATGAATGAAAAATTTGATTATTTTTTAGTTTTTGATGATTCGAAGTTGAACGTTGCTGAATGATAAATATTTCAGACAATCAGTAAAAGCTTTCAACTTCTCACTGGACGATTTCCTCTAGTGCTGCGGTGTGAACCAGCGTTGTGCGGCAATCGGTTTGAATAGAACTTTAAAGATTGGGAATTTGTGTTCCAGATTACGGATAACCTATCCATCAACAAACAACATTGTAATTTATAAGGTTCGCTTTTTGAAACAGGAAGATTTTCATTTATTGCAAACCGCTTATTCAATTCCAGCGATGGTTTTATTTCCTGGGTCATCTAAAATCAATTGGTTATGAATGGTTCAATAATTTCGCGTGATTTAACATTTTGATCGATGTATCGATACCATAATCAGCTTATACTCCAAAACGCCGCCTACGACCCAGATAATTGTGATAGATTATCGAGTATAAAAGGAGAATTCGAATAATAATGATCAGATTGCATTATCATCATGTCTTGTGTTATGCTCTTTGCTCTTTCTTGTCTGATTGCTGCTGCATCAGGTAAACATTCACGTAGAAAACGAGAAAAGGCAACTCGAGAATTTCAGCATCAAATTGCGATTCGAGCCAGAAGCCGAACACGTGGGCGAATGTTGCCGCCGAGCACGTGTTCTTCAACGCCTGGCAGCCATCCAACGATCTTCCAGGATTCTGTGTGAATGTAAACTCGAAAAATTTCTTTTAAAAAATTATTTTCAAACTATTTTAAGAATGATTTTATGACCAGCATGTTGAATTATTCGTCGCATGTCTCTTTGAAGAATTCGAAAGCGAAAAAATCTCAGGAGACCATCACAAATAAGGACATTGGTAATTTGATGTTCTCATTGAACTTTGTACATGTATAGCAACGGATTTAGCGAAATCGAATTGTGGAAAATCACAAAAAGAAGTTGTTTGGTGTGTTTCCCACTGTCAGAACAAGGATCTAGAGAATACCATCATCTCCGCCGCCATTGTTAATGGATCCCTTCCCTTGGCCATCGCCGAAGAGGTCTTCCTGAAGATCGGATCGCCCAAGGATGTGAGCATCGCTGCTGTTCAAGTGAGTCGTTTCAATAAATTCGCGATTTCAAGTTTCTTCATTGTTCAGATCGATCAATCAAATCCAGATGTCAAGGTCACCTACGACTACTATGATGATTTCAATTTCTGCTCTGTGAATCTTAAGATCAAGACGAGTTTGGCATTCCCATTCACAACACTTCTCACTGTGCAGAACGTGATCGTTTAAATATGCTTTATTAAAAAAAATAAATTCATTAAAATAATGAATCAGTTTGGTTTTGGAACAATAGTAATTGGAATAGATTTTGGCTTCTCTTCCGGCTGCTTCTCGTACTTGACAGTCAGAAGTCCCTCCTTGCTCAACTCGCTTTTGATGTTCTCCGGACGAACTCCAGCCGGCAACGTGTACTTGCGGACAAAGAAACGCTCAACCTGTAATCTTCCAATTAAATATGAAATTTGGATGATTAATTAATTACAGTTCCATATTTGTCCTCCTTCTCCGAATGCTTTCCCTCGATGATCAGCTGATTATCGACAATGTTCACTTTGAGCTCTTCTGGAGCAAATTGCGAGACGTCGACAGTCACATTGTACTCCTTATCATTATTGACAAGCTGAAATATGTTAGTTTATGCATGTCTATAGTTTTTTTCTCGAAACTGACGTCAACTCCATCACCAATGCGATGACTATTTTGGAGAGTTTGCTCAGCCCAATATGGTCGGAGTCCAAATCGGTCGAATTCGAAATCATCGAAGAATCTGCTGAATAATTCCATTTAATTAACAGTTTGATTGAATATAAGACAACTTCTTTAATTTGTGAACCATTATTCCGAAAATTTGACTAATAAGGGGGGGCTTAAAATGTAATTTTGTAATTTTTAGAGAATATAAATGTAAATCTATTTTTTATAAATTAATAAAAAACGAGCTCCTTATGTAGAATGTTTGATTCGCAGATTATCCGTAATAAGGTATTCGAATTTCCACTGTTTAAATTCAATTTTTTGAATTATCACCTCTAAAAAATATGGTGGTCCACAATTACATGGGGTGCTCAATTTTTGCGGTTGTAATGAAAGAATAAACTCTAAGAAAAAAGTTTTGAGGGCTTCTAAAATTTTTTTTAAATGCTAAATAATGGATTTCGAAACATTTTATTATAGAACATCGTCGCACAAAATATTCTGTTTTTTTTTTCAGTTTTTTCTCTAATCAAAACTGCTTTTTAGAAATTCATGAAACCTGAATAACGATTTTCGTGAAGTCACAAACCTGCTGTGATTGAAGAAAGGCGAAAAGTGTGGTGGTCTGAGTCCAAGACGTCTATCCATCGTCGATCTGAATTTATAAAACTAGTTCGAACGAAGGAATCGAGCAAAATCGTGAAACAATGACGAGAGTTTTTGGTGGGCGGTTGGGAGGGAGGTTTTGTGTGGGATGATCGCAAACTCAAACACAAATCGATGTACCTGTGATGGCGCTCTTCGACTTCTTCGCGGACAAACTTATGGGTTGATTCGGACATAACGCACAAAAAACGAATGAGAAATTCAATGGAATGTATTATTTTTTTTATCAATCATCCCCCACCAAAAATGGCTTTTGGAACATTCTAGAAAGTGTTGTGAAATGTGTTGATGATAAGAACGTGAAATTGTGCACAAGTATTTTTGGCATACCGTCCATTTTAAATACAACGAACGGTGGCGGGTAATCGAGAGGGAAAACATTGGGGAAAGAGTGAAACAACAGCAACGGATTCTCTCATTTGCAATGTAAATATTGCACAATCGAAATACAAAACTTCGGGTTGCGAAATAAGCCTGAACCAACCAGCAATCATATTTTTCATTTTCGGAACATCAAATTTATTCATCGAAATTTGTAGGATATTTTATTGATGTGAACGAAGGCTTGCTTTTCGCCTACTACGAAGACGCACTAGAAATTAATGTTGGCCGAGAGAGGGTATGATTTATAGAAGACGTGAAACACAATTGAACCAGCTACCAGTTTCCATTATTTTTACAAAGTGAAAATTCGGCAAATGGGAAAATGCATATTAAAATGTACAAATAATTTGAGGCAGAGAGTTTGAATTTTAAGAGCATTGTTTTGAATGAGTCAATCAATCAACAGAAAAGGGCGAAAGAAATAATAAAAATAAAACGATTTGCAAAAATAAAATAATTTATTTTACTGAAAGATTTTTGAAGTTAGTCCAAAATGAAATCGTAGAGTCGATTGCATCCGCTCTTCTGGAATTCGTTGTTTCCGTTCTTCTTTGGAGTCGTCTTCAAACAGCACTTGTAGATCGGATCGGTTCTGCACGTTCCGCCGAGAGTGAGACAATTCATGACGCACTTGTTGAAGCACGTTCTGTTCGTCTCGGCGGCGAAGCTCTTGAATGGAGAACAGTAGTTGTTCGATGGTCCGCCGTTGACGTACGAGCAGAACGTCTCACAAGCGGTCACAGTGACTGTGCTGACGCCAGCGACGAGGCACAACAAGGCGAAGATGCGGAGAAGCTGGAATTATTCGGACCATTTCGAATTTATATAGAAAATTACCATATTTGGGATGATGATTCGATGAGAAATTATGATCGCAAAATTGAACAGCTCGTATTTTATACTCGTTCCATGATCAGTAAAACAGTGTTCCAGCAGAGATCCATTCAATGATTCCAATAGAATTATATGAAACTTTTTTAATATGCCAGTTGGATGCCAGATTTCACAAAAGAATCATTGTCTAGGATTTTTTGTATAAAATAGAGTCTGGTCTTCAGAATCCGCACCAATTCTCATCGAATCATCACCCGAAATATGGTAATTTTCTATATAAATTCAAAATGGTCCGAATAATTCCAGCTTCTCCGCATCTTCGCCTTGTTGTGCCTCGTCGCTGGCGTCAGCACAGTCACTGTGACCGCTTGTGAGACGTTCTGCTCGTACGTCAACGGCGGACCATCGAACAACTACTGTTCTCCATTCAAGAGCTTCGCCGCCGAGACGAACAGAACGTGCTTCAACAAGTGCGTCATGAATTGTCTCACTCTCGGCGGAACGTGCAGAACCGATCCGATCTACAAGTGCTGTTTGAAGACGACTCCAAAGAAGAACGGAAACAACGAATTCCAGAAGAGCGGATGCAATCGACTCTACGATTTCATTTTGGACTAATTTCGAAAAAATTTTTAAATGTTAAATAAATTTTTCCAATGTCTATCGTTAATATTACCAGAACTATTTTCTTCCCACAATATGACGTGTATCAAACTAAAAATGTTGAAAATAGTAAGAAATATTTTCCAGACATTTTTTCTTCAGTCAATAACCTTTAACTTGGCCTGTGTGAAAGTGAAAGGACATACGTATAGCCTAATTGTGCCTTTTCCAAGTGTCACAGGTGCAAAATGTATGGCTCATGTGGCAGACAGAGGAGACAATTGTTTTTTGCTTAAAATAAAATGCAATTTGTTCGATTACTTTCCAAAAATGTTGAATGTTCGCTCTGGAAATGCAACAAATTGGTCCAAAACAAACTGATTACATTCGGTTTTCTTCTCTATTTTTGTTTTTTCTCTTCCATTATTTTCATGTCATATACATGTATGTATACATATTGAGCCTTTTAAGGAAATTCGAAGATCGTGTTGTCCTTCGTAAAAGCCCACGGCTTCAGAAAATCAAACACCTTTTCTCAAATCGAATTGTGCTCTTTTCATGTTGAAAAAAAAAAAAACGAGTGCCGCAAAAGAGACAAAGTTCCATTTTTTTCCATTTTATGGTCAGATTTCGAGGGTCCAATTTTGGCAAATAATTATTGCCGGTTCTTTTGTTCTAAAGTGTTCATGGCCATTCAATTTTTGCACCTTCCCCCTATTTTTAGAAGGGTTCCAAAAGAATACTCGGGTTTCGCGAGAAATTCGCCGTTTTGAAATTGAATATTTTTTAATATTAAAAACTTAATATTAATGTTAAACACCAATTTTCAATTTTTTTCCAAATAAAAAAAATGTGTTCTAGCTTTTTCCCTGCGAATTTTTCTAAGAGTTTCCGATTTTATATGCCTTTTTTCAATATTTCCTTTCTATGTGCTTTTTCTGCTTCATCGATTAATCTTTCTGAGAATATATGAATACTGTCGGTCGGGATTATTTGATAATTTGCGACGGCGTCACCGCGGAAAAGAAATGATTCTTTTTACGTGCGATTTTTGAGCCAAACCGTTTATTCGAATTTCCTTATTTTATCACACTTCAACCAACATTATCTGTCAACACACTCAATACATATTTTTATATAGTAATCCGGATATTTGGTCGGAAATCTTAATAATTTCCTTTCCCGCATTTTTTTTAGTTGAATGAAACCTTTAAATAAGTCCCTTTCTAAATATTCGAACTCGATTTGCGTCATTTGATCACAATTTTTAAAATTTGTTTTCTAGAAATTAAGTTTGTCTGGAATGTTCCTTTAAACATGATATCGCTGCTTACAAAGTATAGAACGGATTATATGTATATTCTCCAATGGTTTTGTTTCAATGACTTTCTTTAAAAACTATTTTTAAAGGTGCATCTCAACAAGACCCATTTAGCCAAATCCATCGAGTTTTGATTATGGGCCAACTGGTTATTTCTAAAACTCGTTTGAAACTCAACGTGTTTGGCTGGAATTCGGACCTTTTTTTATAGCACAAATCTGAAAGTCTAAAAAATAAAAAGGTTCATATGAAAAAATTGAAGTTGGTGGTATTTAGTCGTAAATTTTTTTGAATTGCTCCAAACTTTTCAAAAATTCTAAAATCTTTCACAAATTGATTTTCAACTAACATCTTTCCTAAATTTGAATTCTTTTGTTGAAAATTTTGAAGAAATGCAAATGTGTGCAATTTCGCGTGCGTGTGTATGCACACCTTTACGGACGTGACGACGATTTTGAAAAAAGTGTCCATATGAATCGAATATAGACAAGTCGAATTAATTCAATCAACCGCTTATATCCATCGTGCACTGTTTTATTCATTTTAAATCACGAAACTCCAGTCCTCCAGCGAAATTTCAAATTTCTCTCCACCCACCTACTTTTTTTTATTTTCAAGCTCTTGAGAGATCTCAGATCTTTTTTTTTTATTGTTTTCATGTATCGCCACCGCTCAGAAATGACAGCCACCCACCTACATGTGCGAAAAAAATCTAATTGAATTTTTTTTCGACAAAACACATTCGAGTTTGTTTAGAATGTGACTCCATCGAGGATTGAATAAAAAAAAACATACCAAGAAATTCAGATTTAAAAATATTCTTTTTTGAATTTTTTAATTCCTTTTTAGTTAAAAAAATGAATCCCAATATTTCATTTCGAGTTTCCGCGCATTTGCATTCAAAATTCACCTGGGGAGGGGCTAAAATTTGAAGGTCCATATCTCGATAACTAGAAGTTTTCGCATGTAGGGACATAATTCATTCGATTGGAAATTTTCTGAAGAATCTGTATGCAAAAAAAAAATGAAAAAAAATTTTAAGACGGACGACAAAAAGACCTCCCTTGGAAGAAAAAAAGAAAAATGCAGAGTTTTAAGAAAAATTTGATTTCATCGAAATATTCTAACAGAAAAAAAAATAAAAATCGAAGAAGGAAGGTCGCTTTGCGGTTTGTTGTATTCAAATTCGAGATACCATACGGATGGCGGCAAACCTGGACTACCGCAATAAGATTCTCTTATTTTTTTTTCGCTGCGTTTTCACTTCGTCAGGGTTATTTCATTGTGTGACCGTTATCGGGGTGTTCACCGGGTGTTCAGGGACCCTCTCACATCAGATGGCTGTCTATAATAAACAAACAAACTGCGATACGTTTTGGTTTATCTCTGCGAAAATAATTGAATATTTGATTTCAAATCTCTTCACATTTTTTTCTTCGTCTTTTTTCTTCATTTCAGTCTCGCATTGAAAACAAAAACAACGAATTTCCGCATTTTTTTGAACTCGATTTTATTCGCGTCGTTTTTTTTTCCTCATTGGAATTCTCAAAATAACTTCCAATTTGGGAAAACAATTTTGGCAATTGCGGAACAGTGATGAAAATAACTAAAGGTTCACGACGTCTCATCTTTGCAAGACCCAAAATTGAATTTGATATTATTTTTTTTTCAAAATTAAATAATGTCAGGGTCACTGCTTCAATTGTAGTTTCAAGATCTAAAGAGTCGTGGGAGCCTTTCTATTTATATTAATGTAGATTTACGTGTTGACTGAGTATGAAATGCGTGTCTGCTTCTCTTCGCCTTGAGACACCTGACATATGGTCCATTATTTTTCAAACTTAAAACAATCATTTGACGCCAATTATAGACACCATTGAAATTCATAAAAACGCGAAATGTTTTACTAGAAAAAATCTTTGCATGACCCAAATGTAAATGTAAACGTTGGTGTCGATTTAGATTTCGATCATTTTCAGTCCGGAATGCATTATTCTCAGTGAGCCATAGGAATGGGCGTGGTTAAGAGGCTTC